AAAAGTAAGACGCCGATGATGATGATAATGATCCTCGTAAAAGGTGAAAAAAAAAAAAAAAAAAAAAGGAAAAAACAGAGAACCACATCGAGAACCAGCGGGATTTCCGGGCTGACCATCTCCTTGCATGTGCACCTCACGAATTTCAGGGCCGCTGAGCATAGTACGTACATACATGGTCAGTGGGGAAGCTTTGCCCACACAATACAACATCTATCAATTACTGCAAAGCTACCGACTTTCACGCGTCATCGCAACAGTGGTCGTGGGGGAGGAAAGCGGAGCAGGATAGTCGATCTCCCAAGACAGCTGGTTCGACGGCAGTGACAGCCGAGAGACGCAGGCAGCTTGACTTTTTGGCCTTAACTAACGCACGCATGCTCTAGGAGGAGAGATCACTCCATAATGCATTGTTGTTGACTTTTGGCGGGAGGCAGGTAAAAAACAAAAACAGCTTGCAGCTGCGCCCGCGGATCGAAACGATATCTCTTGTTGAGCAGCCTCCAATAGTAAGAGGGATGGCCCATGTAGAATTACTGATAGACTTTTTTCCTCCCGGCTTCTAGTCCAAATTCCTGCTGCGCAGTCCCCAGTGTCACCACCGGCCGTTTTGGCGATCCTAGGGTTGTTGCTTGGGTAGGCAAGGGCGACCGTGATGAGTGAGGCCGGTCACCTGCAGCAAAAGCTGTGTAAGCGCGATCGCCGGGCCACACGCAGCAGCAGCAGCAGAAGATCCATTGCTCCGGAGTAAACCACGCCGTGGGAGAAATAAACCCTACGGCGTACTCAGTATACTCGATACGATACGACATGATCGCCCTTCAACACGATCAACATGATTGCACGAGGGGAGGTCCCCCGAACCCCCTCAGATAGAGATGCATCTGATATTCAATGCATGCGGAGAAGAGGCACCCTACCATGGTGGGGTCGGGTTGGAGATGGGGGCAGATGGGAGGAGCAAAGGGTAAGAGGGGTTTCAGAAACTGTCCAAAAGTCAAAAAGAGAATGTCCACCGCCTTTTCCTCTCTACAGCATGTGAAGCTGGGATGAAGCGCAGGCGATAAGTTCTTACTTACCTTGTCATTACCAGTGGTTAGTTGATGTCTGTGCTTACCTTATCGCGATAAGCGTTGGGTGGTCGCTCAAGCCCTCATTGAGCAGCAGTATGCAGTGCTCCTGGACCCGCCCATGATACCGAGTAAAACCACCTCTTGCCATCCACGGAAAATCCCGCATACTCGTACTGCAACACATGGTGGGGAGGAGCCCGAAATGTCAATTGAAAGCCCGTAGATAAGTTTTGGAGGAGGTTTTCCGGAAAATCAGAACTCAATGCAAGCGCTAGTTAAGTGTCGGCGATCGACGGGGCAAAGGAAGCGATGACATCATTCGGCAGCGATTGTCAATGGGATCGCGCCATTGAGGGGGGCAGAAGTGGAGGAAAAGGAAAAAAAATTGGAGAAGGGGAAAGGGAAGGGGAAGGGAACAGAATTTGGCACGTGGCAAGGCAGCTTTTTATTTATGCCTGAGGCATAGACTGTGTTCCTTCAGGCTCGACTCACGTGCTATATGGCATCCTCGGCCAAACTGAAGATCCGCGTCCGATCGCCCTCTTGGTTTAGCGCGACAGGCAGCGGAAAGGCACGTCCGAAGGGCCTCTTCCTCCACCTTACTCTGTTTGGCGTCCCCGTTCCCTCCTTCCATTCACTCCAAACGGTTGCTCGCTGTCAGTCAACGATGGCCCGCAAACTTCGAGCGGCTGCCCAAGCAGCAGCTCAATCAATGAGTATGATATTCCCTTCCTTCCTTTCCTGTTAATTCTTCTTCGGCTGCTTGCCAGGGCGTGCGTGCGAAATTGAATCCATGATGAGCGCGAATATTAATTTCCGTTTAGGGAATGCCGCACCTCCGCTCCCCGATGCCTCTGACGAAGAAATGATCGAAGCACCGCCGTCGCGTGACTCCTCGCCTGCGATGCCAGATCCTGGCGATGCGTCGGACAAGGATCCGGATGTGGAAGGCCCAGCAGACCCGGCCCCCGAAGACGAAGAGGCGGCAACACCTGCACAAAATTCCAACGCGCCATCCCGGGGCGACACACCGACTCGCACTGGAGGTCGCATCTCAGCCATCCCGCGCAAGCGTCGCATAGGTCGCCCCCCCAAGAACCGTCCCCCAGACTGGGATGCGCCCGACGACGGTTCCGCCCCCGCGCCGATTCATGTGAGCACGCCTGTCAAGAGGAGACGAGGACGGCCTGCTGCCAGCGGTGGACGTTGGGCGCGTAATCGCGGACCGTCGCATGTTACGCAGGTTCCAATCGACAAGGAAGGAAACATGATGGATGTCATCGACGATGAAGTAGCCCTGCCCGACGACCCGGAGGGTGAGACGAAGGTCGACAAGTGCGGAAATCTGCTGGGTGGCCGAGACTACAGAGTCCGCGTTTTCACACTTCTTAACCGTGGCGACCGGAAATACATGCTGTCTACAGAGCCGGCCCGCTGCATCGGATTCAGGGACTCATACCTGTTCTTCCAGAAACACAAGTTCCTGTACAAGATCATCATCGACGATGACGCGAAGCGTGATTTGATCGAAAGAGAAATCATTCCACACTCCTACAAAGGTCGAGCTATCGGCGTGGTCACTGCCAGATCCGTGTTTCGGGAGTTTGGCGCCAAGATTATCGTTGGAGGTAAAAAGGTCGTCGACGATTATCATACCCAGGCTGCGAGAGAACGGGGAGATGTGGAAGGTGAACTCGCTGTTCCCGAGGACAGACTCCCGGCCCCGGGGGAATCTTATAACAAGAATCAGTATGTCGCATGGCATGGAGCCAGTAGCGTCTACCACACTGCCACACCCGCAGCCCCCTTGCCCACGGGCAAGGTGGTGGATTCTAAGAAGCGCAAGGTCACAGTCACAGGCGACAATTGGATGCTTGAGCACGCTCGCGAAGCAAGGTATGCGTTTTCTTGTTTCTTGATTTGGCTAGTTATACGATGCTGATTTTATGGATACAGCAACTTCAACAGCCTTCTCACCCAGACCCGCCGCATGAATTTGGATGGTCAGTATGACATCCACACCAACCTCATGCAGTACCCAAAGGTCATGCAGCCCTCTCATGCTCGCTGGGAGCGAGTACCGCCTCCTGACCCGCGCCTTGCGAGTCGACTGGCACAGGGAATGTCGACCCTCAGGTTGACGAATGGTGAAGACACCAACGAGTCAACCGTTGTGGCGGATAGGGAAGCCGATGAATCGATGGATGACGCCGGCGACACGACAGCAGTAACAACAACCGAACCGACCGACCCTGAAACCACTACCATATTCTCCTCTGTCCCAATGGCCCTTTCTCGTCGCTTCGCCATCCACGATGTCCATTTTGAAACCGCCCCGCATTCAGGTCTCGGCATTCCCGGCCCGGACGGTGATGTCCACGATGTTGGCTCCAATGGATTCCTCAGCGTCGCTGATCCAAAGAATGTCGAATTCATGAGCCCGGAAATCCTCGCGGAACTCCCGTCGGACTGCCAGGAAGCTCTTCTTGATGCCGCTGCAAATGAATTGCATTGGAAGTCGAAATGGGCCAGCGAGGCCACTGACGGAGCACGTAGCAACCCGCTCAAGAGCTACGCCTGGTTCCCTTGATGTGTGCCACATTCTTCTTCCTCACCCCAGGGCCAATCCTGCAGGCAATCCGAATAGCTAGCTATTCTGAGCCATACTCCATCGCGTTTGGAGAGCATTGCAAGGAACCAGCTGGCCCGGAACGGACGAAAAAGTATTACGATAAATGTTCCTTTTCCGACTACTGATCATGCAACGGCGTCTTCTTTTCCCAGGTCTCCTTACATATCCAAGAGTTCATCCTTTCACTCACAAATTCGATCCAAATTCGGCACAGGGACGGAGGTGTCAGGTTTCCACGCGTTCTTACGGATGGGTTCTTTCATCCTCCCCCCCTTTTTCACCTTTATTTTTTATTTTGCAGAAGGGTAAACATCTCCTTGGAGTTGGCGCTTTCCGATTCATATCAATCGATCAATTGGGTCCCCCTGAAATGTGTATTAATAGCTTTTCTTAATCTGATAGCTGAAGCTTGACTTGCGTCGTCTATAATCTTTTTGGCCCTGGAGTAGGAAGACTTTCTCTTGCGTATCGGCCCACCTCTCATGGGAGATGTCTGAGCGTAGACGGCCAGGCACCAACCTGTACTTCATACACCTCGGCTCATTCTCCGCAAGAACCTCTCCACTTGTCATTTCGGAAAACTTCGACCATTCGATCATCTATCCCGAAGAAAGAGTAGTCAACAAACAGACACTTGTAACAATCCAAGCGATACAATCTTGACCTTAGTGTATTTCATCTTTTGCAAGCTGTAGGGGCTTGAAGGTGGTCGGGCCTAAGCTGGTACTTAGAACTAGTCCGACCCGTGACCGGATCAGATACCCCGAAGTCCCATAGACCGTACGCCAGCCAGCTGAGCTTGTGATAATATGTACCTATTCTACAAAGCAACTTTTTTAAGGCAGAATAAGTCACGTCTCCAGGCTCCAGCATGATATGTCTTAGTTTTGGCCAGAAGAACGGGGTGCAACACGGCGGGCAGATTCTTTCCGGAGACTCAAGATAAACTGAGCGCACGGGCATTGAAATTAATTCAGTGATTTAGGCAGTAGTCAATCATAGTATCTAGTTGTGGACGTTGATTCATTCATTCCATTCCATCATGCGAATGTGGTAGTGGTAGTAGTAGTGTGGTGGTGGTGGTAGTAGTAGTAGTGAAAAAAAAAAAGGGCAAACGCAGCGCAAACGCGGCTCAACTCCAAGACGCAAAAGAAAGAGAGATAAGAAATGGTGTGAAAGAGCAAAGCACAAGAAAAAAAAAGCGGCGCAAGGGCAGACAACACAAGATTCTTTAAATACGGGGGACAGAATAAAGCAAAGAAAAAGGGAGGTGCACAGCGCCCCCCGATCCCCACTTATCCCATGGCCATCTCGGCGCGAAGCTTCTCCAGCTCCGCTTCCTCGTCGTCTTCCTCGATGTGTGTGGGTCGTGTTTTGACTAGATGTTTGATGCTTAGTTATTTATGTTCCAGAGATTGAGCTTGGTGGGAGGATAGAGAGGATGATAAACTTACGTTCTCCGTTGGCCGCGGCGGGTAATCGGTTGAGCTGGTCTGCCACGGGCACGGTGCCGGTCTTGAGCATCCGCTCGTCCATCGCCTCCTGCTCCAGACCCTCGAGCTCCGCCTCCAGATCGGCCTCGTCCGGTTGTTCGGTGATGGAGCTGCTTGTGATGGCCTGGGCGATCTCCTCGCTGAGTTGGTGCTGTTCGCGGAGTTTGTCCCTGTTCAAGTCCCCACTGATTAGATGCGCCGCCACTTCCAACCATAATAAACATATGTATACACGTACATCGTCTCATCCACCTTGTCGATGGTCATCGAGCCATGGATCTGCGTCATCGCCGCACCGGCCGCCTTCATGGCATTGAGAGTCTCCTGGTTGATGTTCGCCGCCTCGATCGAATAGATCTGCTGTTCGAGCTGTACGATCTGCGCGGTCGTCTGCTCGAGGTTCTTCTCGTGGTTCTTCTTCCGTCGCAGGGCGTTCTTGGCCGCTGTTTGTTTGGAACATATTAGTTGTCTGTGTATTCAATATTTGCTGTACCACTTTCCCGCCACCGTTTCCCCGGACGTTGAATCACAGGAAGGAAAAGAACATACCGGTCTTATTCGTCGTCACGTTCTTCCTCGCAATCGCATCCTGCTCGTCCATCTGACTTTCGAGATACTTCTCGCGCTTCTGGAGCATGTCCAGCTGCTCGCGGAGCATCAGGATTGCCTCCTTGGGCGCATCTTTCCGCTTCTGAGCGGCCGCTCCGCCGAACCAGGACCACATTGTTGATAAGGACTGTGAGTGGGATGGGAGAGGGACTTGAATGTGTGCGAAAGACTGATTATCCCTATGAGATTCTGCGTCTCACACCGATCCGCAGTATAAAAGCTCGAAAGGAGGGGGTGGGTTGTTGGGGAAGAGCGGCGAGTTTCCTTGGAGTGGGATGGAAGGCGGTCGAGGAGGTGTGAAGTGGGATGAGGTCGCAATAAGTGGATCTCACTCGATCGGACCCGGGAGTTAGTGTAGAAAGATGGGAGGAGGAGATCTGCGAGTCTGCCTGGATTAACTAGAAGACCAAGTACAGAACAGTGTCTAGAGTTGAAAGCCGGTGCAGAAGGCAGAAGAGGAGGAGCGAGAAGGCAACGAACCCAAGTTGGATGATAATGCCTGGTTTGGTTTTCCCCTCGTTTTGGCCCTATGACATACACGCTAAGCCTATCGGGGAGGTCACCGTCACGTGCCCACGTCATTTCCCGCTGCTTCGATATCTTCTTTCTTTTCTGCATCAATGTAAAGTAAACCACCAGCTATCTATGGTCCGATGAAATCTCAATAACCGTCCGAAGGGATGAACGGTCCCCTTCCTTCAAACCGCTGTTTTCTCTCGGACCTTCCCTCCCTCCCGATTGATTCGAAAATCCGATTTCTCGGTTGGTGCGTCGGAACTTTCCCTGAAGTGCAACCACTATCCCCATATAGAATTTATATAAATCCCCCGTAGAAGCAGAAGCTAATTCAAGTCTTCAGCGTGAGAACATACTTGATCCGAACAGGCCACCTCGTTCTGGAGCACAACTATCCCCACCGTGAACCCCCGCAAGAGCCAGCCTCGGTGTTGGTCGACGTCAATGCCGTGCTAGAATCGGTCACGGCCGAGGAATTGCGTGTGGGTGCGTGGGTGACTGTGCTCGGGTATGTGAGAAGAAGAAAACCAAGCGAAGATGCCGAGGATGCTGGCCCTGCCTCCGTGTTCCCGGCTATCTACATTGAAGCTGTGCTGGTGATCCCGGCGGGTGCGGTGTCGTTGGGGGAGTATGAGCGGATTCTGCGGGACTCATTGGAGGTTGAACGGCGAGTGAGGAGAGCGGTTTGAGGTGGAGGTGGAGGTGGGGAGTATCAAGCTCAATTTCAGCATCTACGTATGCCCTGATGATCGGAGCCATGCTATGGAAGTTTGAACCTTGCACTCAGATTTCAGAGTAGGGGTCATCGTATAGATTTGGACCATGCACATGCAGCGCCAACTTTCGGTTTCAGTCATGCAGAGATCCCTTTTGGAAACACATGAGCGTATGATTCTTTCTCCAATTCATGCATGCCCCTCTCGATGCAAAAATCCCTTTCCATATCAAACCTCCATTTTTGTTTTCTCCGACACAGCGCCCCTCTCACCTCGTTGCATTTGTCGCTTTCGTTTCATCTCCAAATGCTTCTTGTCCTCCTGCATCCGCCGAATGAGAGTACTCCTCTCCCGGATCTTGTATCCATACTTATAGAACACGAATGGAATTGGGACAATCAGAACCTCCAACAATCCCAGCAACGTACCAGACCAGTTCGGCCCGATGCCCGAGTACATGTACGTCCCCACCAAAGGCAACACGCCGCCCAGGATACTTCGGATGACCGAGTTACCTGCCATGGCCGACGCCGCATAGACGCCATAGCTGCCCGCCAAGTAGTTCGTCGCATAGATGAAAACCCCCGTGTTACCCGCACCGAAGGGGATCCCCGCCAGGATCGGGACGATCCAATGGACCGAGGCCGGAGAGCCGGTCCACGCAAACCAGAGCTCCCCCGCGGGGATCAGAAGCGCGGAGATACAGACGATCGACACCATGGCTTCCGGGGAGGGCTTGCCGGTTTCCGGGTCAATCTTGTGGCTGTTGATCATGCGGCGGATGAGCGGTTCACAGGCGATGGTGATCAAGCACCCAGTTCCAATACCTAAGAAGGCTAGGCCGGATAAGCCGAGAGACCAGCCGCGGATCTGGCGGAAGACAATGGGGTAAGCTGTGAAGCATAGGTATAGAATGCCATAGACGATGGCAATGTAGATGTTCCAGAAGATACTGTAGAAAGTACCACGTTAGTCTCGCGTATCGGGAAAGTGTAGAAAGAACAGCTTACCAGATCGGCTCAGTGACGGCCATGACAAATGGACGACTCAGGTTGACCGTCAGCAGTTCCTTCAGACTAGCCTTCTGGTCGTAACGGCACCACCAACGCGATTCACCAGTTTCTTTGCGCAAACGGGCCGCCTTTTGCTGGAGGATAATGGGCCCATAGGTCTCCTTGAGTATGCACGAAAGGATCAACGCAACCCCGGACAAGATCAAAGCAATCCAGTCCATCCAACGCCAGCCCAAGTACTGCGTCACGAACCCTCCAACTATGGGACCGACCACTGCATTTCTAGTCAATTTTTTTTTTCTGGTCTTCAATTCTCAGATCGAACATTTGCGCATACCTGGACCATTGAGGGGACCAATACTCCAAATCGACATCGCCAGTGCGCGCTGATCATCGTGCGAAATATCCGCAACCATACCTGGCGCCGTCGAAATCATCACACTGCCGAAAAGCGCTCCAATGAAGCGGCACACAATCAAGGTGGCTAGGCTCTTGCTGACTGCGCAGGGGATGATCATGATTGTGAAGATTGCAAGGCAGCCGACAGAAACGGGCTTTCGCCCGTAGAGTTCACTCAATGGAGCCATGAACATAGACCCAACGGCAAGCCCAATCAGGTACATGGTCAGTCCCAGAGTGACCACTGTGGTTGAGGCGCCAAACTCGGCGGCAATTTGAGAAATGCCAGATGTGTAGGAGGTCGAATAGAGAACTCTGGTATTCAAGAAACAGGAGGGTCAATCCTGGGGACGTGGAATTTTCCGAGTGTAGGGAAGGATGAGTGTAGCTCACATAATCAGGGTGTTGTACGAAAGAAAGAACATCCCCATGGCTTTGTATCCGAGGGACCAGTTCTTCGGGTTGGTCCTGTCGAATTCATCCTCCCAATCGACCTCATAGTTCGGGTCGGTTGTCCCAGTAGTGCCAATGGATGTCACCTTTCGCGCTAGTGAGGGTATCGAGATGCGCGATGTCCTCGTATTGATGTTGGCCAGGGCCTCTATCTGATCGACAGTCTCGTCGGAAGATGTTGTTTCCGCGATGGAGTGGGCATATCTTGTGGTGGTCTCCTCCTCGCTGGGACGAATGCTTTTGTGGACATCTGGGGGCGGGGTCTGCGGGGACGACATGATCTTTGCTGGCCGTTATGACAGCCGAGGCACCGGCGTGAGTTCGGTATATAACGCTCCAAAGTAGAGACTTGCTCTATATGACGATGTATTAGATATTAAGACTAGGAATGAGGTTCCATGAGCTGAGTTGGTTTGAAGGCCTTCAGGATGTGGCTGTAATATTGTTCTCCCGTTTCGTACAATAGGATATAGGCCGTCAAAAGCTATCACATAGGTAGCATTCAGGTTCAGATGTAGCAAGGACCCCAAGGTTCAGCTTGAAAGAGCTAGAGATGTATAGAAAGTGGCGAGATGGAGAATAAAAGTCCAGAGGGGCCAGGCACTGGAGCGAGAGCTAGCCCTCTTGAAGGAGTGGGATTGACATGGACAAGGCCTTTTTTTGAAGATTAGCGGCCTTGGGACTCTTGCTAATTCGGTTCAGGAATACAATTTAGGCTTAAGATTGGCGAGAGAGCAACGAGAGAGTGGGGCGACAATCTGTGCTGATAAGACTTTGGCGATAACTTGTAACTTCTCTATTATGTGACCACCGGTATCGCATGTCAGTATGACTCGACGATCTGGCACTCTTCGCTTGTACTAAGAGGGTCTGCAGTAGTTTCGGGATTTGATCAAGCACTACCCTTGTCCGTAGGGTCGGTCAGGTTCCTCTGCATAGCAATATTCCTAGGATGCCAGATTGGTGCTCCTGCTTCGATCCCCGGTTTTACCCCAGATCATGATGGAGCTCATACTCATGAGTATTAGACTCATGGGGTCATCCCCGTGGAAAGGTGGACACTGGACACGATCTGGAGAATCGAGTTGATTGACGCCCACCACATCCATGCAATGACGGGAAAAGAAAGCACGTTACAGTCATTTACAGGCACGAGCCAATCAACGGACTTAGACAGAGATCGCAGGCCGGGTCCGGTTTGCCGCCCGTGCCGGTTTGCCGATCGACCTACAGGCGTTGAACTGTTCAAGGTTCTTATTTCAAGGCCTATGAGTCTTCCCGCATGTTTGGGCCCTCAATTGACGATCACGAGTGCTGATTTGGGAGGCTTTCAATACATCTGAACCTTGGCAGAGGCCCATTGTTGTTGACTCGTCCCATAGAGTTACTCCCTCCATTATGCGGTCCTTGAGGCCCAACGAAGCGCTGGGAAGCTGCGTCAAAGGTGTTTAAAATGTGGATTTTATGTGCCAACAAAAGCACCAGGTCTCTATGATCTAGAGCCATGGCGAATAGAGAGAGTATCATGCTGTGCTCTCAAAGCCATCAGCAACTGCCCAAACTGTACACTGTACGGAGTACGTAGGCACCGGATTAATTAAGACATTCCGAAAGATCGAATGGAGTCTCGGACATTTAACCTTGATTGGACTGACGACCCATTCGTGCTCGGAATCATCCCGAGCGACAATCCGGCCAATTCGTGGTGGAATCACGTGGGCGCATGTGACATTGTCCGGATTGACTCGACTGTTAAGTTACTCCGACAGTACTCAGATGCAAAACACTCATCAAGTTCGACATTCCACTTGCCATCTCTTGCCCTGCCGCAAACCTGGTTGAGCAGCAGATGTTGGAGCGACATCACGCAGCTTGGAGCCATGCTCCACTCTATTCGTTTGATGAGTAATCATCAATTAAAAAGCGAAGGATGGTCAAAGCTCACTCTCAATGTCCCGCGGACACCGCGGGATGAACAAGCACCGCGCTTGTGAGAGATCGTTCTCCTTTCTAGATTTCACATCAATTTCACGGCAAGCCCCATACTTTCCAACTCCCAGACCCGCACTCCTTCAGAAAAGTCCGTGACATGCCCGGTAGAATGCTCCGGTCAACCAACGAAAGGCTTCTTTAAGTTGTGGATCGCTGCATCGCTTTCTAACCGAGGCGACTAAATTTGGATCCCGTTCGAAGCGAACTCAACGCCCATGGCTCGAACCGCCATGGTGCTACCCCCGATAGGCTCGTGGCTCAGGGACACGGTTCAATGTATTGGCATTAAATATCTACCTGGCCTCGAAGTCTACCCAATTGTCTATTACTTGGAATCATGGTCCCTATGCCACCCATCATATAGACTCGAAACCGCCACTTTTGTGCTCAGTTTAGCCCGGTTTTGGCCATGCTTCCTGCATTAGTCGCCGTGTCCGGCCTGACCTTCCTCTACCTCTATCATGTCAATCGAGGCATGACCGGGGTTCCAGAGGAAATCCGCCGTCTGTCTCCTCACCGCTGGACAGTTGAAGAGATCAAGAACGCCTACGAGGATGCGATTCGTAACCCTGTGGACGTCGAAAGCAGTCTGCCTCCTAAACAGAATCGCCGCTACATTGTGATTGGTGGATCGGGTATGTCTATAGCCCTGAGCTGTCTGCAGGGAATCTCCCGACTGCAGATGCGAACAGATAGCTGCCAGGTCAAGAGGGGCCCATGTGCAAGAAGCACCTTCTAACACATGCTAGGACTTGTCGGAAACTGGATTGTCACACATTTACTTGCTCGCGGAGAGAACCCGGCAGCTATTCGAGTTCTAGACCTTCAACCACCTCGTCATGAGATTCTCGACCAGGGAGTCACGTTCTTCAAGACCAACATTGTCGACGAGGAGGCCGTCTCGAGCGCCTTTGCGCACCCATGGCCTGAAGCCGTGGCAGCCCTGCCGTTGACCGTGTACCACAACGCGGCAGTCATCCGGCCCGCCGAGCGTCACAAAGCTTTCCTATCACGGTGCCGCAACGTGAACGTGACCGGCACCGTCAACCTGCTGAATGCTGCCAAGAAGCACGGCGCAAGCTGTTTCATTTCCACCTCATCCGGCTCCGTCGCTCTGCGCAGTGGCTCCTTCTGGCTCCCTCCCTGGCGGAAGACCCCTAAACACATGGTCCAGGTGATCAGCGACGCAACCCCTCTGCCGCAGGAACACTACGACTTCTTCGGCAACTACGCCGTCTCCAAGGCGGAAGCCGAGGCCCTCGTTCGTGCCGCGGACGATCTCGAATCCAACTTCCGCACCGGCTGCATCCGACCCGCGAACGGCATTTACGGAATCGGGGAAGAAAACAGCGCAGGGGTGACAACGATGTATCTGAAGACCGGCGGAAACGCCAGGTGCGCAGGGCCCTTCCCCTTCCCCTTCCCCCGCAATATTTCCTGATCCCCTTTGAGGAACAATCCGCCCTCCTAACCTCTTTTTGTTTCCCCAAAATAGCTGGATCTACCCGGTCGTCCAAAACTTCGTCAACGCGGAGAACGTCTCGATCGCGCACCTACTCTACGAACAACGCCTCCTCGAACACACGGCCACCCCCACAGAGCTCCCCAACATTGGCGGACAGGCCTTCCTCGTCACCGACCCCAACCCGGCCATCACCTTCAGCGACATCTACCTCCTGCTCAAGACCCTGGCTAAGACCCCTGTCGAATTCCCCCGGGTGCCGGCAATTCCCTTTTTCCTGCTCTCCTACCTCGTCGAGTGGTACTCGCTCCTGCAGCATCTGTACCTGCCGCGGCTGCTCCCGCCAGTGCCGAGCGACCTGGCGCAGCTGCAGCCGGGTCTGTTCGCGATCTCGAACGTGCACGTCATTGCGGACGATTCGCGGGCGCGGAGGAGCCCCGCGCAAGGCGGGTTGGGGTACGCACCGCCGATCGGGACCCTGTACGGGATGTGCAAGCAGCTCGAGGATTGGAACCGGCGGGCAGATGTCAAGGCCGCGGCGGCCGCGGCGAAGAAGGGGATGGTGAGTGTTTCGGAGGGTGGAGGGGTGGATGTCAATTTGGTTGTGCCTCCGACGAAATTATAGGTTGTTAATTGGGGCGGCACCTGTACAGTACACACACACATATATTTATACACACGTCACTTCAGAATCTGTACATACACATGGGACTTACCACAGTTGAATAGGGCGAGCAACCCACCCTCGCACACAGAACATCGAGATGACCAACCCAACAGAGAATTCAATCATAAATACGAAGTGAACATATACCCAAGAACCTACAAACAAGACTACCCTCATAAATCATAACCCCCCAAATCATCCCCAGCCATGTCCAGAACCGAACAAACCCACACACCTACAGCCTCGACAACCCCTTCGTCTCCCCCGGCGCATGATACTCAGGCACCTTCATCTCCAACGCCGCCCCGCGATACCCCAAATCCTCCGCCGTCAACACCGCACATTTCTCCCCGATCAGCAAGGCCGTCTGCAATTGCCGGGGAACAAAAGTCAGCTGAATGAAGCCCCCACTCAAGAATCAAAACAGCCACCGTGAACCTCGGGCAGAGGAGAGGAGGGGTGGGGGGAGGGGGCAAGAAAAACGTACACTATAAGTATTACACCCCACATTATCCGGACAGATGGAGAGATCCGCGACCTTGAGGCCCTGCACGCCGTGGACGTTCAGGCGCTCGTCGACGACCCCACCCTGCGGGGCGAGGGCGTTGCCGGCCCGCGGGGCCATGCTGCAGGTTCCGAGGGAGTGCCAGGTTGTTTCGACGTGGCGTTGGACTTTTGATACAGATTAGTGTGGGGTTTTTCTTTCGAGGGTCTTGTGGATGGAAAGAGGTTTTGAAGGGGGGGGGACACAAAGCGAGGGACAAAAACGCACCCCATTTCTCAATATGCTCGATATCCTTGGCCGTATACTTGAGCTCGTCCCGGGTCTCCTGCTTGTTGGAGTTGAGGAAGGTGGTCGTCGGCGAGGTACCGGGTTCCAGGGGGGCGGACCAGGAGCCTGTTTTTGTCAAGCATTTTAGTATTTCTTTTTGAGCTTTGTGGTGGAAGGGGTTTATGTATGCCAGGAACTGGGGGGCTGCTCACCGTGCTGAATGCCCGCGGTGAGGTGGTTGGGCCCCGCGTAGGCCTTGGTGGTGGTGAGGTCGAGGTCGAAGGCGCGCGCCGGCGAGTCGTACGAGAAGTGCGGGTGCATGCCCGTGACCTCGCCGGCGTAGGCGTGCATGCGGCGCGCAGTCTCCCGGGACTTGATGTAGCCCCAGACCATGGGGGCCATGTCGCGTTTGTCGTTCATGAAGCCGGCGTCGAAGTCGGGGCTTTCGTAGGGGTCCGCGGACTGGATGTGCGTGAAGCCCCGGGAGAAGGGGTATTCCTGATCAATCCCAGAAGAGTGAGCATGATGGGTTAGGTAGTGGCTGGATGTACTGGTTGGGTAGGTAGCTAGGTAGGTAGGTAGGTAGGGCAGTTGACTTACCAGGAAGTGGAACATGGTGAAGAACTTGCCAGGGGGCATGAGCATGTGGTCGCCGAACCAGCTGAAGGGGATTGATCGTTAGAGAGGGAGGCAAAGAGAGATTGAGAGGGAGGTGGGAGAACTCACCCAGCGATGACGGAGTAATGCATCACAGGCTTATCGGGCTTGTTCTTGAAGTAGCTCTCCCAGCCCTTGTAGAAGTCGTTGGTCGGCCAGGTCTTCATCTCCTCCAGTTCCTTCGGGGTGGGCCGGATTTTCACGCCGGCTTCGATGCCGTTCGTCGCCAGCGGGCCGGTGCCTTTGATGTTCCATTCGTCGAAGACTTTCTTCTGGACTTCGGGGTCTCCGCGCACGAAATCATCGAAGGACTCGACGTCCGGCTTGGCTCGGTAGACCGAGAAAGTCAGATAGTGGTCTTGGAAGTTGCGGCCAACACCCGGTAGGTTCACCAGGGGCTCGACGCCAGCCCGGCGGAGCTTCTCGGGGTCCCCGACGCCCGATCGCTGGAGAATGAGCGGGGAGCTGAGGGTGCCACCGCAGACGATTATCTGCTTGCGGGCCTTGAAGACCCTCCGCGGTGGGTTGTGGCCTGCCAACGGCTTGGTTGGAACCGTTGCGACTCCAACTGCGCGGCCGTTCTCGATGATGACCTTGTCAATCTTGGTGTTGCACTTGAGGTGTAGGTTCGAGTACTGGGATCGGGTGCTGTGGACGTAAGCGTGGGCGGAGTCGCTGCGCCGTCCTGGTGAAGAATGTTATTAGCATCGGTATAATGAATCAAAGGCGGAAAAGACTCGTACCAGTATCACGGTTGATCCATTTCAACCAATGTTCGGCTCCGTGGCTGAGCAGGCAAAGTTAGTGTCAGACTCCGATATACAGTGCTAGCTACTGACCCAGTCTTCAAGTCCTGCAAGTCATCAGTAATAGGGATGTCCTGCGACTCGGCCGCGCGGAGGAAGTCCTGCATGATCGGGTAGGTGTAATTTCCGAACGAGACCTTGATGGGCCCTTCGAAGCCATGGATGTCGCGGTTGTTGCACGCACGTTGGTAGGTCTCGTGCTTTCTCATCAAGGGCAGGAGTTCGTCAGTCTTCCAGCCGGCAGATTCCCAGTCGTCGTAGTCGGAAGCAGATGCACGGGTGTACATCTAGAATAACCATCAGCCATGACGGATGTCAACTGTCAAACATTAAGGTATGCATACCATGAAGTTGATGGAGCTACCGCCCCCAAGAACATGAGCACATGGCACGACGGCGCGACGTCCATCGAGCCATTCCGAAGGCCGCGAATAGTAGAACGAGGCTGTCTTGGAGTCCAGCTTCATATTTCGGGGATAAATTCCCGGGCGGTAGACCCTAAGACACGGTTGGTAGTGCTCTGACCACAAATAGTGGGAGAACTTACCATGGGTTGTTCAGATTGTCCTCGCCGGCTTCAATCAGCAGGACTTGAAGATTGTGGTCAAGGTTGGCGAGGCGGCCGGCCACCACACACCCAGTGCTTCCACCGCCACAGACGATAATATCATATTCATCGGGGATGGTCATGGCTGCGATGCGATGCAGTGCTTTCTGGAAAGTATAAAGTGCTCCCCGGTTATGGAACAGAAATGAGAATCAATCCCTGGTGGCCTTAGATGCTCACCGAGTTTATATAGCCCACACCCCGCCTCCACTGAAATCTGTCAAGTCATCATGACCAGACACGATAGGGCAAGAGTGTTACAACAAACGAAGTCTGTCTCCGCACGAATCGTCCATGACCCCGCATACGACTCCTTGACCCTCCATGGTCAAGACAGGTATTGACCGCTCGCGGCCAATCAGTAAGTCGCCTGAGTCAGGGTACTGCTATAGTAGACGAGAGTTATCAGCTTGGATGACTCTTGGATGACTTAGGATGATTTAGGATGACTTAGTTGAGAAGAGAAAGCTGGGGTATGTAGTTGGAAACAAAGAGCTTCCCCGCATATAGAGAGGGGGCGATGCATTCATCATGCAGTAAGTGGCCCAGGGATACGATTAGGCAAGGGCATATAGTATGGGAGTGATAGTATGGAACATCATGAAACCGGAACGCGCAGGTACCGGTCACACTTATATTATCTAAGATAATCCATTAAAAACCGTCCGTGTCTTCTTCGATGAGAACAAACGCAAACGGTGAGGCAGGAGAGCACAAGCTTATGACTGGAGATATCAACCTAGACATTACTCCGACCAGCAAGTTTCCATTGCGATTGCAATGAAGTTGAACAAACAGCTAGACAGCCGTGGGAGGTATTAGTGCAGTAGCCGACGATGTGCCGGAAGGATTGGCACGAAGGATTTTGCGGGGGAGCAGTGGACGGGAAAATAGCCACGGGAGAAAGTAGTGCAGATCAATCCCTGACAATAGTGGGGGGGTTTTATGCGGAGCTCGTGTTGTGGGTTGCTTTGAGCTGGCGGGCTGATATCATGGATCGAAGTTCCAGACGCAGGAATTGTTGGAGGTGAGGTACAGCATAGTGCAGTAAGAACTGTAGTGCGGGGATCGCCAGGACCCAGAGCTCTTCCCCACCTCCAACTGCAATGCATTGCCACCGTCAGTTGCTCGGCGCCAATAAATGATTTCCCCCCAATGACCCTCGGACTTAAGAGCCCTGCTATTATAGTACAGGATCCGCCCTGTTTGTTGAATATGGCTCTGTCCTCCCTCTTTTCTCATTCAAGGCTGAGTATGCTCCAATGCACGGGAGCGGAGAACCCTTCTGGAGGCCTACCGTCATTCGAGACATCAAGCAGCACCCTAGAAGAAGAAAAAAGTACGTTTCCCGGTCCATCCGGCCGAATCACTGCGCTGCGATACCCCCGGCCCGGCCGTCTGCTCTTTTTCAAAAGTGATCTAAATCCCTTGAGGACGTGGGTTATTACCGCGCATGCTGCTGCGCCAGCTGGCGTCTCTGCTCCAGAATTTGCATGCGCAGACCCTCTGCAGCCAACTCCACATCGAGGATCGCGCCCACCCCGCGTTTCCAAGTCTCCTCCAATCCTTCCAGCTCGGCTTGATTGGCTTCCTGGGCCCTCTTCCTCTCCTTGTTGACCGACTCCGCAGCCTCCTTTGTCTCGGCCAGTTCCTTCTCCAGGCCGCGGAGGATCTCTTCCAGCTGCGAGTTGCCAATCAGCCACGCGTTCTTCCCGTTCTCCTCCAGTAGCGCCAGGTTGTCGTGCCGCATGGACAGATGGGAACTGGCCGTGTAGGCCTTCTGCAGTGTCCGGCGCCACTCCTCGAGGTCGGGGGTTCCGTCCGATGCTCTGGCGGGCGGTTCGGGAGCCTCGTAGCGTGATAGGTCAATTCCACCAGTCAAAGGCAATCCGGACGCCTTGCGATCCACCTCCTGCTGCATGAGGGGGGAGAACTGGGGGTCGGGGAAAGCGGGGATAGACGGGTGAATGGTGGTCTGGCTGTCGCCCGGGAGCTCTGCGGCAATGAGCTTCTCCGCCGCTTCTCTGGCTGAAGTTGAGGGCTCTGCCTCGATATCTATGAGGAAGATTCACGCTTGTCAGCAGGAGAATTCTTCTGGAGCCTTGAGAGCAAGCAACTCACATGGCAGGGAGTCGTGCGATTCGTTAATGAGAGGCATTTCTGATGCTTGTGTCTAATCTCTTATGATGGATGTCAATTACGCCCTGAATGAGACTTGGACCTGTATAGGTAAGGATGAATGCGATAATCAAATATCTCCAGGGTGTTATCTGATGGACGACTTGCCGGAGCTTTTGGCCAAGCACAAGGGCGGTAGGAACACCTAGATGACTCAGCAAGTTTCTGCCCAGGCCCACCGCGGAGCGTGGGGGGAGCACAGAGGTGCGTGGTCCTCTTTCCTAGACTGCTGAAGTTGAACATACTCTTATTGCGAATATCTTCCTGGTGAAACTTTTAGTTACCGTGTTCGGGCTCTTAGTCGGGCACGTTGGGATGATGTCCCTTCGAGGTAGAGGTAGTGGGCCAGACGCTTAGGAGTGATCTTCTTTTCTCTATGATAAAGTCACTATTATGCGGATGGAACAGTACCTTTTGACCCCTTGACAACCATATAGCCTCCACTGGTCTTAATTTCTTCGTCCTGCCGGCCTGCATATGGCAGGCGCTCTTCCAACAAGGTCAACTTTGAAAGGTGTGTCTAAAGGAGAGTACACCTGTATATCGTGACACCGCCTTTCTCTTTGTCTATCTCTCTCAACAGAAAGATGTCTACTCCCATTCCCGTCCTTGCTCTACACCTGTTGCACACGGTAGCTGAGCAGGAAACGTCGGCGCATCAACGCGTACCGTACCCTACATGAGTACTCTCGTGTGGCCCACTAGTCGCTTGTCGTCAAGATCTTCTTCATAATATACGGCTACACTAAGGACCCGTTCTGGCGGTAGGTGGTTCTTCTCAAATCTCACGGTGGTTTGGCACTCGACCAGCAGTGGTATGGGTGTCAATTTGGTCAGCATTCGGGAGGATTCGCAGTCAATTCTGCCGACCCGAGTCCCCCATCCTGCTATTGTAATGAATCAGCCTGGAATGCAGGATATGTTCTGGTCATGAGTAAACTTACCATAAATTTGGGTCAGGCTTAGCGGCGTATCACTTGCCACAATAGTAATGTGAGCGTCTCCAGTAGGGGTGCGTGGCACCTTTATACGATCCACCACGCAACAGCCATCATTGAACGGCTCATTCTGCCCAAGGTCCACCACGTCAGCAGCAACTGAACAGGCTAAGAGAGCGTCTTACCTGTTCGAGAATCGTCACAGGTTTCTTCTGGCTCTCCCAGGCTAGATAGTAATTTTTTCAGACTTTGAAATTGAACTTTGATACCCCGCGGATGCCGCACTTTGTGCCACCAAGGGAGATTGCTTGCACCTGAAGATCTCTATGAACTCTTCGGTAAGCTTTAAAGAGTTGGGAGAAGAGGGTATGTTGCAATGGGGGTAGACAGAAGTCTTACACATCTATGGGCAGGTAGACCGTGATATGGAACTCGTTTTCAACGATATTTCGAATTCTGGCCGAGATTTCAGGGGACTGCGTCAGCCCCCCGACCAACAGCAGCTTCTGTCAAGCATGATTAGCCATTTGATCTAGCCTTGAGGGGCTCTCAGAGGATTGAGTACTTTAATCACATCTCGACCCACGTATATAGTTGCGCAGTCCACCTGCTGTCGAATGTAGCCAACGGTTTTCGTGACAAGGCTAATGTAAGACGCTTCGATTACTTCCGATGGCAGATCCCCCCAATTCGGATCAATGACCGAGCCAGGGCCAGCTGGAAAAGCCTTCTGGGCCCATTCGGAGAACGAGCTACCAAAGAATCCGAAACTCCTTTTGGCGCGGGTAACCATTTGAAGCTCCTGAAGTTTATTATATATTAGGGACTGGAGCTGAACACCTCCCCAGGCTTGACCTTGTAAGAAATTAGCCAGGAGCACATTTTCCCAGGGTCTTCCTTACTGGTGTACGCGGTTAACCTCTGGTAATCAAAGGAAGGGGGTGTGCCGTCGATTAAAAAGGCAGTCAAGTCCTTGCTTGCCGCCTTGGTAGAGCGAACACCATCTATTTTATTCACACTGGAAAGAGCCATTTACAATCGTACTTGCGCCGCAGTCACATACAATGACACCACCGCCTAACTGTTGTAGAAAGCCTCGGTCATCGAACTGGCGGCGAGAGTGAGAGTTAGGCAGCACGGTCTAGTTACCTCGCTGAACTGTCTCATGTTGAATCCGCTTTCATGGGCTGCATACATGGCAGCCGCCTCGGCCTCGGTGGTGAAGCAGACGGTTGCGTTCCGGTGTTCAAAGCCTGCTGAGTGAATGGCTTTCTTCATCGTCATGCGGGTGTGCTCCGACCAAGTAGCCGGAACGGTCAAAACATAAAGCCGTGGCAGTTCCTTGCTATTAGGGAAACTCTTCAGCTCGGCCCGTAGATTTTGTAATAGCACACGGAGGAAATCAGCTGCCAGGTGGTACGGATTGTCTCGCTGCTTTCTGAGGCAGTCTGTTCCGGATTACCCTGACAAGTTCCTGAATGGGCTTATCATCTGACTCATCTATCTTACATGATTCATGCAGTAGATGCTTTAGCCAGTAGATACAGTTTGACTCCCTCACGGCGGACCTGCCAATACAGCATAGCCCATCCGGACGATAAGCGATCGTCGATGGGATAATAGCACTTCCGTCAAGGCACAGAAGGTGGGGACTCATATTTATGGCGCTAGACTCTTGAAATGAGACCACTGTGTAGATAGAGAGGTGTGAGTAACGAACACATTAGGGGAGATGGAAAGAAGAATCTTGGGGGTATAATACCTGTCTTACTGGATCCAAAATCGATTCCAACGACCAGACTTGACCTTCCCATGGTTCTTTGGGTAAACCACAGCACGATAGAACAATGAATAGTGTGGTTGAGCGGGTTGGCGATGGGAAACTGAGAAGTTGGAATACTAATTCGCAACCTTTGTCCGGCTCCGAGATCTATCAAGTGCTAGCAGATGTTTGGGAAAGGAAGGGTAATGGGTTTTTCTTTGTTGTTGTTCCTGTTGTGGTGGTGGTTGTTTGCTGTGCGTTTGTTGTGACACAAGACAAAGAGAAGACCAATTCACTGAGATGGGACATTGACACCCATGTTATATACCCAGAGTGAATACCCACGGGGTGGGAGTCCCCTCTGTTATCTTCCCTACTCCATGCCTATTCTCATACTCACTTTCCATTTCCATTTAGTTGAAGCATCATGGTGAACACACGAAGCCAGAAGAAAAACGGAAAAGCAAAGAGGGTCAGTTTCTTCTCCACCCACCAAGATACCATCATGTGTCCGATCTTCAGATAGGGACGCAAGGCAGCCGCCGGCAGTAATCAGCCATCCAGAAAGCCTTCAGTGCACCTGACAGTTGAGGAATACGAGGCCTATCAGAGCCATTGTGACCGTATGTTGATTACTTTCCGAGGAACAGAAACAGAAGATTATTCAAGGTCTAGATACATACTGCATTCAAGAACCTTGGGATACTATCCAAGCATTACTCTCTCCCGAATCCCGTGATCAATTTCACCTATACTTGTGTGAAGCCATGGTCAATAAATTGCTCTTCACCCGGGTTCTCAACAGACCATTCTGGTTCCTGGATGGGAAACTGGATGGGAATGATGAGACTGGGGATCCGTCGTTCGCTGATCGACTCCGTTATCTGTTCCGAAGATACCACGAAAGGTCAGTTGTTCCGCCCCGTTCCCTCTCTTCGACTGATGGATGTATTTCTGACAAAGGCGGTTGTCATTCTTGGTCTTTCTAGCAAGCCCTGTGAATGCGGTCTGGTGGAGGATGGTCACCCTCGCCCTGGCCAACCTGAAGAAAGACTTAGCGCCCCGGGACCCTCGTGACAACCCTCCTTACATTCTCGGAGATGAGAATCGCAAGCGACAGGCGGATATAGCAGAGAGCCTGGCGGACCATCTTCTAGCAGACAGCCTGTTTCAGCTATTTCTCGATAAGTTGGCCATTGCGGAAGAAGAGACGAGGCGTTGTCATCTGATCAAGGTTTTCCGGGAGAGTGTGCAGTATCTCACAGCGCATGAGGTGACATTGGGAGGGCACGTGAAGTTTCATCAACTGCCTGAGGTGAAGCAGTCTGACCATCTACAGAGCTTATGTTCTCGGCTCTAGTCCATGACAGGGAGCGGAACAATACTCCGCCGTTGATCCCCAAGCCTCACAGCCGGGTGGTTCTTGTCCTACGACCTGGGGTGTGCCGCTACGATCTTCCCAATAAAGTCGTGCCGTTTGATCGTCACAGAAGTTGGGCCGAAACGGCGACTGATATTGAGTCCGAACTGCTTTGCAAAACTGAGGTTATCGTGGAAGCAGTCGAGGCCACCAACCCATCTGACGCGAGTCAGCGCGACCCCGCGGATGCAGATGTCTTCCATTACTGGTTCTAAGAAGGTCCAATCCCTCCCGGGATACTGTATGGTTTATCAATTTGTCCGGGCAGGTTTTGCTTCTGAAGGTCGTTCTTCTATCTCATTCCTCATTCCTCCACGTCGTGAGCTTTATACGTGCGAGAATGTTTCTATCGCGGTGTTTAGAAAACAAGTATATTAATCGCTCAGCCCGTATCCGCAATTCGTGGCGGTAAATCACTCCTGTAGCCTCCTGGCAACATCAACGCTGGTTCATGGGCTTTTTCACTTGCGCCTTGAGCGTCCAGCTGTTCGTGCATATTCCCACGGAATTCGCTTGGCCCAATTATGGGTGGTTGGAAGGCATCCAGGTTGGTAGTTCACTGTGCTGCTGGATGTACTGTGTAGGATTTGAAGACTGGCGTTGGTGGAAGAGGTGAGGTCCACTGGGAGGGTAGAGTAGGCTGTTGTAGTGAAGTCAGTCCGTCAGCCGTCCGCTATCCATCCCCATGATAAACACCGTGAGTGACTACCACTCTGGCTCCGGCTCCTCATCGGAGGAGACCAAGGCCAGTACCAGCCTGGCAGCCTCTATCCCCCGGAGATCCCATCGCCGCGGTGCCGTGCGGTCCATCCATTCGGACCAGTCCCCCCAAGCCGCCGACCGGAGGATCTGCGCGTACTCCCAATATTCCGGATACCAGCCCGCGTGCTCCCAGTCCAGAAGCCCCGTGATCCGGTTGTTCGCATCGACCATGATGTTCCGGGGCGCGATGTCCGCGTGGGTGAAGATGGTGCGCTCGGATCGGGGCAGCATCCTGGATAGATCATCAGCTGCATACTGCCAGCCGCCGAAATGCCGGTAGCGCTCACAGATGCGGGCCCGCAGCTCGGCATCACTCCGGAGGGCGCGAGGAGGGTCCTGCAGGTCTTCGAAGAAGGTATCGCGGGGAACGGAGCCGTCGACGCCGCACCGGACAATGTCTTCAAGCTCCGGTGGCCGCGGAATCGCCTGGATCTCTGTGATGAGCTGCCACGTTTGTCGGCAGACGGACTCCTTGCCCCGTTCGTCCAATGTATCCCATCTTCCGTCGAGCGAGGTTCCCGGTACGATCGTCATCTCGATATTGCCATAGCCAGCACTGCATGCGGTGTGGATCACGTGGGGGACCGGGACGGAGGTATGCTGAGACACGAGTCGCATCGCCTCGACCTCGGCGGGTCCCACATTGAAGCCGGCCTTGGAGACATACGACAAGTCGTGCAGAAGTACCGTGTTGCCCCAGAGGACCTTGCTCAGAACTGTGAAGATTTCCTGGTCGGGTCTGAGGGCTAAGATATCTGCCACTGAGGGAGTTGAGCAGGGAGATATGGTCCGTCCAGTTCGCTTATAATGCTGTCCAACCTGGATGTTCTGCATACTCGGGAGCCCAGCTAATCTCAAGGTTTAAAGAATGACGATGTAGCAATTAATAGAATTTGAGCAAGGTACTTAGTGAGGCTGGGTTCAAATTGATGGCCACCGATAGCCAAGTGAAAAGTGACTTAAGCGACCACGCTGACCGTGAGAGCATCGATATCCACAGAGCCAACAGTTGTGAGCTTGAATGCTCTGCTTTTGCATCCCTTCACCCTCACCTGTCTTTGATTTCTTCATCTTCAATGATCTGGTCTTTATTTACTGTACTGAGCTTGGACAGCTGAGCAACTTGCGTCCGGATGGGTCCGGGCCTTACTTCATTGTTCGTCAGCCTTCTCTCACTGACATACTCATATTCAACCATTTACTGGTGAAAATATCGGTATCTAATTTCCATAAGCGATTCACTAAAAGATGGAAATCACACCTGTTACCAAAGTCAGGCTAAAGAAAAAAGTATGTGCCAAGTCAATGGCCGTCGCGTTCAAAACGCCCTTACTAAAACACTGCCCCCAGAGCACCCAAAAAGGGCCATGCATACAGTCCACTGCATCCTCCCTATCTCTCAAAAACCTGCATGAACTGGCTATCTAGCGCACAACAGCCTCCAGCACTGAAGCACCTGGTAAGACCTTTTCCCGAGCTTCTAGTATAGCCTGTCACTGAGAACCATCAAGGGCCGGGATATCTGTCTGCTGGTGAAGTCATCCAAGGGACAGTCTGCCCTTGCCCGAAGGTCGCGATGCTGCTACCAGAAGAATTATATTCTCATCCGGTCTTTCACCTTGACTGGCTCGGCTCATTTGAATCCCATATTCAATCAAGTGGTCCTCGAGTCGGTGCTTCGGAGCCCCGTCACAGTTCCTCAGCCCTAGTGGTCTGTTCCCCGTAGCAGTGTAATATGAAGGGAGAAACAATCATGCTATAGGGGATGTACTGACGAGCGTAATACTACAATTGGGAAAGTAGTAAGATGCTGGTACGGCAGCAACGCCTTCTATCCTACGGAGCTGGAGTCAAGGCCGACCCCATAGGCTGTGCTTCGCCACCATTAACCGTTACTAGCCAGGGCTTCGTTTACCACTCGCAGCAACGGTGGAGGCGCTCCGTCACGTGTTGTGATACTGGCAGTCAGGGATTGCAGGATACTGTCGAGAAGGCTGCTGGTCTTTTGTAAATTGGATTAATGGTTTGAATTATTATTTGTACTAATTCTTCTTTGCGAAGAGAATATACATGATTCAGTCAGTGGATCTGAACAGAAGCTCTTTACCATGTACAGTGAATTATCGGTTGATGAACAATACCGCCCCGATTGATCAGTAAAACAGGAGGAGGGAAAAGGAGGAACGTATATAATACAAAGAGATTGTGCGGCCAAGGATGTATGAACTCGACCGGAGATGCGCCAGATCGTAAGAGTTGAGCAGGGGAATCAAAGATTATAAGTGGTATCAAGAGAACTCGACGTTTCCCCGTGATGTGCCAGATTCACTGGGAGATCACCAGGCTCATCATTTTCGATGAGACAGAGAAAGTAATGAGAAAAAGAAGATCGTCCGCCCGTAAGAGTCCGTAAACGCCGTTTCTGCGTAGGTGCATGCTCCTATCGCATGCTGTATTGTAACCAACAATGCTGGGGGGGGAAAGGAATTAGAACAGCCGCTTGACATCGACAATCTCGACATTTCCCGGGCGGTCTCGTTCCATATGGAACCACCATTCTCGTCCACTTCGGTGACTGTAGTTCCACGACCCAGTGCAAGCATCGCGATCCCAGGGAAGTGCTGCTATCGACATTGGCGTGGACGGGGTTATAGGCGTATTCGGACTCGTACCCAGCGCGGAACGGCTTCCGATGCTCCCCCATCCAAATCGTGAAGTAGTAGTCGAGGTCGGGGATGGCGGCTCCTCAGCCAGCGGCTTGGTGTGTCCCTTGACCCCAAAGCAGTCCGCCCCAACTCCAGCAGCGTATGTCAGGGATTGATTAGAAGCGTGTACGTTCTTCCACGAAACCAATCCCCCATCTCCATCCTGCCCAGGTATATCCGGTCGAAGAACAAACCGCGGGATCGAAACGTCCTGTGCACTGGTCCTGGAACCAATTCTGCCCATAAATGCCGGCATATGGAAATGGTACACAACAGCCGGTCCCTCATGCTCATCCGTCTCGACATCGTGGTTTTGCCGCTCGCGTCCCACGCCGCCGATGTCAAACTCGTCCATTCCAAGATCAGATTCATCGTCGGAAGACTCATCTTCGAGTGCGTTGTCCGGTACATAGGAGTCTGAATGGTCGGTAACGAGGAATCTCATCCCAGTTTCCGTATCCTTCGCGGCCATATCGATGAATGTTTGGGCTCGGATGCGAGCAGAAGTCAAGTTGTTTCCTGCGGGTAATGCCATTGGCCGGGTTGTGACTGAACCATGGGAGCTGCGGGGAAGACTATAGCGATCAGGTTTGAGCAGCGCCTGTCCACGTGGCATAGGCTGGCACACAGCCTGCAAGACCCCGGGAGGTTCTATGTCTGAGGGCGCACGCAGAGCCTCGAGGCGAGGAAATCCGCTAGCAAGAATGCTTTGAGCAAGATGTGAGTTTGGTGAATCCGTATGCCGGGGTGGTTTGATGAACGGGACGTAGTCGAGTCTGCCCAAGGCAGCACCGGAGTCGGGGCCGGAAACATCCCAGTGAAGATATTCGAGACTTGACGAGGCCAAAAGCGGCTGGAAAACGATACCGTCGGTATTCAGCGTCGGGCATTTATTGCTTTGAACGAAAGTGAAGCGTTTAAGCTGACTGAGAGATGCTAGCATTTTCGAGATCACCAGGAGCGAGTCGATGTTTTGCTCAATAAGAGCGAGAGATTCAAGGGAGCTAGACTCGGGTTGCGATGCGTACTGGCAGAGGCCCGTGTCGGTGACTCCCGGGAGATTTTCCAGGCGGAGCGATTCCAGCGGTGGTAGGCATTGCAAGGTGCTGTCATTGAAGGCGTCTGCGTCGAAATTGGAGATGCAGAGGTTTCGCAACGAAGGGAGCTCACTGCACATGCGAAGGAAGATACTTGGCTCTAGGGAGTTTTTCTCATCGAGCCCGTAAAGCATTAGAGTTTCCAAGGATGTCCACTGCGCATGATAGTCGAGGAACTCGAACATTTGTGATGGACCCAAGCTCCAGGGGCAGTATGTACTTCGAGGCGATCTCTCAGTTATCGCCGCAGCCTCTCCCAAGATCCACGTGTGCTCCTTCAGCTTCCGCCGCGTCGATAACGCATGTGTCAGGCGGTCAAATTCGTGATGGTAAGGAATGGTCAAGCCCAGCAGCCGTTCCAAATTCGGGCAGACCATGACCACGGACGCGACCAAATCCCGATATTCCTGCCATTGGGTACTGTGTCTGATTGTTGTGAATAGCAGGTCTAATTGGGGTACCCGAAGCTCTAGAACAAGATTGGCCAGCAATTTCCTCTCCCGGAGGGTTCGCCGTAATAGCTTGAGGCGACTTCCGCGCTTCAATCGATATTTCTTCAATTGGTTCGGTGAATCGTTCCCAATGATGTGTATACGGTTGTACCTAAGATGGGAGGATCTATTAGCTCCAATGTCGTTCTTAGACTAGTGCATCACTCACAGTCTTGCTCTGACTGCCTTCTCCCACGGGCGACAGGTTAGTGAGAGCGCATGTAAGTCGCGTTGGAAGCATGTTAGGCATCCATTTTGGTTGGGGCCTGTATGTAAGTAGTATAATTGATCTAAAATCACATCGTACACCTCCTGGGGTAAACGCTTGAAGACCGACTCCAAGATCTTGTCCAGAGACGCAGCCGAGTCGCAGAAGCGAGGATGTGATGCCGAGAAGACAGGGGAGGTAGAGTATTCTGTGGGTGCAGTTGAAACACTGTAATTGCTTTTGAATGAAGAGACTGATGATGTGCGAGATGAGACCGGCTGCACCGTCACGGCATACATCGAATCCTTGTAATCTGAAATGACCTGGCTTTGATGAGGAATAGCGCTGTAGGAGACAGGCGTGCTCGTAGGTCTACTGGCGACAACGCTCATTTTGAAGATCGGTGTTGCATGAGACACTCGGTCGAAGAACAGTGCACGAATCTCGGGTTTTGGTAGGGAATGAAGAGCGCGTGGGTGCGTGCGCAAGGACCGTTGAAGACACTGAGGGAAAGGGGGAGGGACTCCGATAATGAGAGTGGGGAATTGATAAACCGAAGAGAATGACAGTAGTATGTATGTACAAAGATTGTGGTGCTTGGGCACACCGACCAAGTATGTGCAAGAGATAGACTAAAGGTGCAATGGAAGGAAGGACAAAATGGATCAGATATGGTCTTGTAACAAGAGAATGCTAGCGACAATGGTCGCAGTCTAAAAGGACAAGGATTTGAAGCAAGGTTATGGGAAGAGAAAAAAAGAAACAGATGGAGCGCGACTATTTTAGGAGAAGGAGGGGGTGAACAGCGTGGGAGATGTGGGCAACGAAAGTTATCAGAAACGCCAATAGGCCGAAACTCAGTTATTCCCCCAAATGGCTTAACGCAGGGCCATCAATGGCACAAGAAAGTCAGAGGCAGAGCACCGCGAACACGCCACTGCTTCTTGGGGGGTAAAAAGTGTATGAGAAAGACTTGGGACGGCAGTCGAGGGCCGATCGTCTCCACTGGAGCAAGTGAGGATCTTGAATGGCACTAGACCACTAGTGTGTTGTCCTGAGAGCCGTGCGGAGCAATGCAGTGTGGTGCATGACTCCAACTCGTGCAGCCGTGCTGAACCAGATCACAAAGTTGTGGAGGAAGGCGGAGAATTTGGTTCATACATCCAGCAGTCTGTCTCATCAACAATCTGCCTTGGGTGGCTAATCCGGCCTGTCGAACATGTCCTCCAGAAACCAATGCAGGGACAGACTGGTAATCTTTACTTTGAAGCGAGCAAAGCGAGTGAATTTCCAACTGGATGAGGTTCTGCCAAAGAATATGGAAGTCCGCCCGTGAACTAAATTGTTAGCCGGAGATTTAGTTCTCTGGGGTCAGACATGGCGGTAGTAGCAGCGGCCCAAACAAGTAAGGATGAGAGAGCGCAAAACTCGAAGCCCGTCAGACTGTATGAAACATCCCGATTTACTCCGTACTGTAGTGTAAACTGTACTTGTGCGAGTGCTTTCGCTTCGCTCTATATTGGGAACTCAGTGTAGCGTAACAGGATGCATGGAGAGGGGAATAAGCAAAACAATGATGACGAGGACCCCAGAGAAAAGTTTGGGTTGGATAAGAGGGGAGGAGAAAAGGAGGTGTGGCATGGATGAATTGAATTCCGTACATGGAATGGGATGCCTCGACACCCGTGGAACAAGGCGAGGACACTAGTCGGTTTCAAGGCTAGCTCGGGCTGATGGGGCTGACGCTAGAGTCAGGAACTCATCACGCTAAACTACATTCAGCCGGTTCCTGCTGCACACCAACCACTGGTCCAGTCAGATCCTCTCCTCACATCTCCTCAAACCCCCTTTTTCGATACATTTGCCAAAATGTTCTCGAGTACGTGATCATCGTACTCCGTACTTGCTTCTTGTGTCTCCAGACTCGATCACTCTGCCGTTGCAGGATGTTGCCCGGAGCCCGGTTTCTGATTCAAGTTCTTGGTATCTCTGTCTGAGATATTAATACCCTCCAATGACTCAGTAATGTCCTGGGCCTCTTACATCTGAGACTCGGTGACTGAGGATTCGGAACAACACAAGCAGCAGGAAATCGGAGAAGCGGAAAGGGTGGCCGCCTCCTGAGGATGAACCACTGTTATCAGCAACGAGCGCATGATCCATCTCTCGATGGAGCCATCCCACTTGTCGGTTCGCACCGTCAAATAACCATTGGCTGATGCGCGGGACCCATTTGTGCAGAGCACATTAATACCACCCCCATATTGATCGATGTGCCAGGTGGACTGTTCTGAATAGGTTAGTAAGCCGTGGTGTCTGCACCAGTGCACTCTGAGCATCAATCTCAGACAGCGAGGACGGGAGCAGGATATTTACTCGGACATAACAGTGCTCAAGCCGTGCCCACTCGACTCCGCAACAAATGAAGAAATATGAATACCTCTCTGCTGATGGCAGAAGAGGGAAGTACCAGAGACTACCAGGAGTATGCTCGCCATGCAAAACTTGAATCCAATTCTTGAGCAATGGATTACCAGCACCAGCCAAGACAGGACGACACGTACACAACAGACAGCCGAGCGGACAACTTAGCGAGCATCCGTTGCCTACGTAGTAGTTCCTAGCAAGTTACTTGGTACTACTCCACCGCTCAGGCAGTGGCAAGACAGTCGCTGTCCCAATTTTGTTCCATCTAGTATCACGATCCTGGTTTGGCTATCACAGTTGCCGTGTGTGAAGCAACAAAAGAGTTGGCAACACTCGAGTTGGCAACACTCTGTCATCGGTGAGTAAGCAAGTACAGTCACTACGGTGCTTTCGTAGAAAATTGTGAAACGGAATGGGCCATCTTTCCCAGGGGCTGGGTTTTTTTTTCGACCAAGATCTAGTGGGGGTGGCTGCAGTGTTGCGCAGTCGGTCGGGAGGCGACCCTGCAGGTACAGTACAGGTACGTGCTGCATGGAATCATGTAACTGCCCGCTTCCAATGTAACTGGTGGGCGCATCTGATTTAGAGTACCAAGGTAGCCTCAGGCCACAACCTCCTTTTCTTGGCCATGTGAACTGTAAATGGAAAACTTATGTGTGATTTCGACTTCTGGAACGGCAATACCGATTGATTAATCTTGAAAAGGGAAAGGGTCGTGATTTGCAAAAAACTCAAGTCCGAAAATCCCCAGGTCAATCCAAAATTTAAACGCGGGACACGGTCGATCATGACTTCTCTATGCCAATGCGGTAGGCTCCCTACCGTTATGCTTTTGACTCCGACTATCGCAATCTTGCTTGCTTTAAACTTTCGGAGACAAATACATTGATGTTTGCAGCTGCACTGCCTAATTAGACGGTTACTCTGGTGACTTGGGTCTTTCCCGGCAAGCTCACAATAATTCAGTGCCTAGATAATTCGTTCCAGTTACCTAACCTTCGGCATTAGTGGCGTGGTTGTCGACTAGTGCTCTACACATCGACTCAATTCTCATGCCACAGGCGACTACCTAGTACTTAGTCAGTTAAGCCTATCCATTATCCAAGCAACAACTAAGCCGGGAGCTAGTGAAAATGGCCTACATAGTACGGAGTACTTCCCTGGATGATGTCATCGTACCCCGTATAACTAACGGTTCATCTATCCATGCACTAGGCTGTAAGGCACCTTTCTCCCTGCGTCGCGCTATCAATTAATCACCACGCTGCAACCATCCGAGCGATACTTCAAACGACTACCACTGCCCAAAACAAGACTCCGAACAGCACAAGAGATCTTAAGGCGCATCCAAGTCAAACAATCATCCACCCCTTCCTTCCTTCGTCTATTTTTATCTGCATCCAACCCCCTTCCTACCATGATACAGCCACTCGGCACACACTCAGATCCCGCATTGAGCTCACTTTCTGCCTCGAACAGAAGAGAGAAAGCAGATTTTCGCCCAAGTTCACCTGATACATGAGTATGTACGTGGACACTCTTCACGCACGGGCCCCCAAAGCGCCCATGAGCATTCGGCTTTCTTGGCAAATATGAGTCGTGCTTATTCTATACGGAGAAGGGCCTGCGGCTGAAAACTTCACCGAGTTTGACTACTCAGTTGTTGGATATTATGAGTGAGTCTTCCAAATAGCCCCTCTGCAAAGAACCTAGGCCTGGTCTAATGAATCATGATTCTAAGTTTAGCTCGCCTTGTGCTGCGAGCATCAGATGCTGCAATAGTCTTCTCGCTTACAGGCACTCGCCCTCCATCTTTGGGACACAGTACAAGAGCCCAGAGCTCGGTAGACTGTGAGACTGTGCAGATTATCAGGAGCCATTGCCACGCAATTGCCCTACGTGATGGAATTCGGTTTGCCCTGTTTTAGGTTACCTTGGCCATCTCGCTTCCCGAGCGAGGGGCTGACCGCGAGGTATAACATTCGAGAAAACAGGCGTGAATTCCAGCGTGGGCTTTTTTTCCGGAAGCTAGTGCTGATACTTTACCACGAGATGCGGTTTCCCTGCTTTTCGACGACCTGATCGTTCCTTTGTCATAAACAGCTCGAATGACAAGAGCTATAGGACTGGGTCTCATAACACTTTTGCACGCACGATCACAGCTAGAACCCCCGATGGTCTAGTTGGTTCATGGCGTTCGGCTGTAATGGTATAATTGTAACCGAAAAGTCACCAGTTCGATTCTGGTTCGGGGGATCTCTTTTTTCTGGCTGAATGTACTGTTCAGTGCTTGGATTCTTTTTATTGACTTGCCCTCTCAGTCGGCGAGGCTGTCGGTGACAATATCTAGCAACAATGCTTCCAAGCCGATAATCAGCAGCGCATTGTGTTTTGTGTCGAGCGCAGTGCCGCGGTCTTCATGGCCCGGAATTGCGCACCAAGCGGGACGCCCATCTTCGTGGTTGCACCTGAAATTCAGGCCTGAAGGTTACAAGCAAAGAATTATAGCGTCATAACGTATTACATTTTTAGCCAATCAATAAGAACCCCCGATGGTCTAGTTGGTTCATGGCGTTCGGCTGTAATGGAAGTTGTAACCGAAAAGTCACCAGTTCGATTCTGGTTCGGGGGATCTATACTTTTGTTTCGGAAGTGTGGTTGTCGCTTACCTTTTGTAGGTTAACGCTTTTGCAGGGCTATAATGCATAATTTTCAGCCGCTAGACCAACAACCCCCGATGGTCTAGTTGGTTCATGGCGTTCGGCTGTAATGGTATAATTGTAACCGAAAAGTCACCAGTTCGATTCTGGTTCGGGGGAATGTCTTTTTGCATCCAAAGCCTTTGGGTCAGCCCTAAGAGAATCCATCGAAGGTAGGTTGCTAGTACACGAGAATGCGTTCTTAGAGTCTGACCTATTAGGGGAGCGACACAACGCAACTACTTTAGGAAAGAGTCGAGTTCAGGCACAGGAGAAAGCCATCGCAGCAGCAGAGTCTAGTAGCGACTGAGAAAGCTGGTCAACGAGTGCTTCTGACCCTGCCCACCTACGCTGCCAGACAATGTGAGAGGATCCGTTCAGAAGTTGTTCCGAAGACAAGGAATCCAGCCTACAAGTTCGCAGGAGGCCTACTGGAATTGGATGCCTTTGTGAGCCATCAGCGAGATGGCACGTTCCAGAATCCATAGTTCATTAGGCTCTAGGCACTGCACTGTTCTTTCATGTTATTATAGGATGCATCCAGGAAATTGGGTGTCAAATAATCATCCTTGACAGCTCCCAATAAGGCGATGAGTTTCATGCATCCCTCGCCTGGTTCTTTTAACCACTGCAAGCGAACCAAGACCTAGACCGAAGCACCAACCCCTCCTGTGTCTCCCCTCCATCAATGGGTCTAAGAGGAACGAGAGTTGTGATTCTCGGCATTTGCACGCAGCCTCGTACATGTCCAATACATGCGCATGTTGTCATGACCCCAAAGGGATTTTAGAATATTCCTTAGTGGTTGTTAGATGATCATACATAGAATGTTCATGCTTGCATTTCCAGCCCCGTCAGCCTCTACCGCGCCCATTCTCTTTTGCATTGGCCTTTCCGGTGTCACGCTGGCCCTAGCTTGTATTCAGCCCCCTTCCATTTGGCTAGGGATGTTGGACTCATCTGACCCCGAACTCGGCTCGCCGTCCTAGCATTTTTGGGCCTCACCGCGCAGAGGGATTGGCGCATAAAATGAACATGGTAGTGCCTTGCACTCTCCTTGCATCTACCACATCATGGTCATTGGCCGCAATACTTGGATTCCAGTTGTTCGAGCTGATAGTATAGGCCTCGGTTGATATCCCTGCTGGCGTGTGCAAAACATGCAGTCTTACTCCCTGGGTGGGACCCTTTGCTTCGATAGTCGGTGTATAACGGCCGAATCGTGAGGCCTGAAGGTAAGTTTGTGCATGACCGATGGTTTACGGTAAGATTCGGCAAATAAGGAAGAAGAAGCTGTTCGGTAGCTGCTCGAAGACCATAGTAGGTAGGGGATGTTTGCAATACCAAAAGAGCAAAAAAGAACATTCCCCCGAACCAGAATCGAACTGGTGACTTTTCGGTTACAATTAATACCATTACAGCCGAACGCCATGAACCAACTAGACCATCGGGGGTTGTTGAGGTAATGATGACTGTGTTAATTTACTAGTGGCCGAGTCTGGTAGCTGAAAACTAGCAGATAGAGAAAGAAGACTTGCAGACACGGAAGGGCGCGCCGCGGACAACGGAAAGTATAAAGATTGACTGACCATGGATCCACCATCGATTGCGGTAACTGAAGCTTGAAGTCTTACATAGTGTCAGGTATCGCTTCGGATGCTTTTTACGAAGTTATAAGGTGCAACACTGCAAGTTGAGCAAGGCCTTCGCACGGGCGCTTGCTGCCATTCTCAGGAATACACCCATGGCTACTTGGAGACCCAAGTGTGGTCAACAACGGCCCACAAGTCAAAATCACCGTGACTAACAAGACCGCGGCCTGCTTTGTCCCATGTGTCTGCGGCCTTCCAAGATATCAAAAAGATGGGTGAAAAAAAGATATGATCCCCCGAACCAGAATCGAACTGGTGACTTTTCGGTTACAACTTCCATTACAGCCGAACGCCATGAACCAACTAGACCATCGGGGGCTTCTCTTGATTAGTCATATCAACATTGTTTCTATAGACGGCCAGCAGCTCTATCGAGCAGATCTGGTTCCTGGTTACTCGGGGTAAGACTAGCGAACAGCCTGGTTAAAGAATGGCTGGGTACATTTCCGGGCACAGACTGTATCAACAGTGTTGCGCGTGTTTCTCTAGAAACTACCGCCTCAGGTCTTGGTGCAGAGACGCAGACTGTATATTCTCCCAATCCAAGCTCTCATGGGCTCCTGTGACAGCTCGGCAGTATTCCTTGACCAGATGTAATATTGCAGTAGTAGGACTTCCCTTCTGCGGCGTGGCCGTGTATTCGAATGAGCTCGTTTCGGGGCACTGGGACGCACCCTCGTACCTGATATGCCGACAATAAGGCACCCTTCCCTGTATTAATTTGTCACCGCCTGTCGCAAACGGTCACCTCTCTCGCCAATAGCGGAATCCGTGGCTCGAATGCGATTTCTCAGCATGGTAGCACACAACAGGGCAAGTTGTCGTTGGATAAGAGAACCGCATGCTACTATCACTGACCGGTTGGGACCGGTCTGCCATTTTTTTTTTTGCGTGAGCGTGTTCCAATATCTACTGCCTGACTACTATCGCGCCGCCGATCAGCCGATCAGCTTCGCTGTCACAGTGGGTGGTCGCCCATGACTAGGATGCTATATTTCTCTCTCTGTTGGGGCCCGGTTGGTTACCATACTTGCCTTGGCTACTGGCGTCATCAACACACGCCTCGAGCTCTCCTCCGGTTACAACTTGTGCTGTCGCGAGTGCCAGATGATGTACTCTTGGGAGAGGCATATAGACTATTCTCCTAGAGGTGGTCTCAGTGCATACCGGACTCGTCGACCGAATGGGAGCCTATGCTACAGCTCCGCCTGCGAGTAGCACGCACCTCGTGGCGTCTTCAGTTGAGATTTTAGCAGACAGACCCGCATAGTACTTATCAAGCACAATACATAGCCTGATATGGCTAATCGATGGTCTGAATATATCGGTTGTAGTTCGTAACAGCCTTTGTCTTTGTGTTGGTCATTCTGGGTTATCAACGTTAGTATGTGTTCCATTTTACTAGGCTTGGCATTTGAGGCGAATTCACTACCCAGGTGAGGCAGGGAATCCCCCATGGCTATCCGAGACTGGCTGTATACGGACTTGATCCTGCCCGTGCAGCCACGGCGGACATCACAGGTCGGTTGGTGCGTGGAATTTGCGAAGTGTTTTGGTTCGCTCATGTAACATACTGTAATAACAGTATCACGTGCAACGGGGCAATGGCGCATCTGGGAGCGCGTCAGACTGAAGATCTGGAGGTGGCCGGTTCAAGCCCGGCTTGCCCCAACGTTTCCTTTTGTTTTTTTTGGTGTCTATATCAGCTCTAGCGGGGCATCCCATCCGATACGGAGTCTGGAAGTGGAGGCATCTTCCCCCTTCGCCGGCTAGCGAGGCGGGTAGGGCTTCTTGCCCATGGGATATCTGCCACCGGACACCGCCAACGTTTTGCATCATGCCTTTAGTATACCCAGCGATTGATCCAGTATGCCCAGCGTTTGTATGTGATTGCATGAGCTAGACATAAACATAAGTCATTAACAGTGACCTGCAAGGTACCATCAGAGGATGAATTAGTTGCTAATTTGCACTTCAAATTACAATTGCACTAATGTAATATAGAAGATGTATCGTTCATGTCAATACAAGTCCTTGCCGTGATCAACAGCCCGACGAATATTCGCCGGCAGCGCCAAGAGAGCTACATACAAGATAAACTGTAATTCTGTCTTAGAGAGTGTACAAGACTATTCAAATCACCAAAACATAGCCGCAGTTGACAATTGCCACAGGGGTTGTTAAGGATATCTGCTGTGAAATAGCTTAGCGGGAATGGTCTATAAGTACCAGAAGAAGGGAGCACATTTCACCAATTCGAAGGCAATGGCGCATCTGGGATTCGACAGGTAGTGTCAGATTAATATCTGGTGTCAATCCTCAATATCCTATAAGTACTAAGAAAGAATGACATACTTGAGCTGACGGGACGATGGCGCATATGGGTGTTGAGCATATCTGCTGTGGAAACCGGGTTAGCGCAGGTAGTCTATAGAGACCGATGAAAGGAAGCCCCTTCCATCAATTTCGGGACGATGGCGCATCTGGGAGCGCGTCAGACTGAAGCACTAACTTCGGCCGCCAGGTTTCATCCTTCGGGATGTCCCTAGTAATCTGAAGGTGGCCGGTTCAAGCCCGGCTCGTCCCACTTTCTTTTTACCCGTTATTTTTTTTTACCTACCGCTGCCCCTCCATCATCTGGCATCTGTGAACATCACCATTACATCTAAATACCCGACTACAGCTATCCCCCGTATCCTCTATTGTTGCTGGCCGCGGTTCCGCTCAGTGTACGACTCCCTAACCCAATGGTTGCGCAGAAAGATTCCGCTCCAGCGAATAATTTCATGTGACTACTAGGTAGGTACAAGTACTTCAGGCACTCTCAGCCTCGTGCGGACCATGTCTCATTGGTTAAGGAAATTCCCCTCCAAAGGCCCAGGTTGGCGTCGAGCTTTCCAGCTCCAGCCTCCGCCTCGTATGAGGAACCAATACGTCCCCTGGTCAGTTGCGATAGGCCGCCAACACGGGGCATCTGGTGACTAGGTTGCACCTTCGTGCGGCGGTGGCAAGGGACCTCTATATCAGCTTGGGCGAAACAAGCGAGTTGAACGAAATGAACAACACCAGGGCAGTCTGGACCAGCTCCACTACCAACGGCGTGGATAGATAACTCCTGGGATGAGATGGCCTCGCTACCGCCCGGCATGGAGGCCCAAATAGTACGTGCGGAAGAAAAAGTCGCATATGGCACCACACCATGCGGTTCCAACTCTCCGAGCTAGACCCTGAATCAGACGCTCTCTCCGAGTTCGTCGCCTGCCAGGTTACCAGTTTCGGGAACCCATTCCAACCCGATTTACCGGTCTTTCTAACCTATCTTTGGAGGTGAATCTGAGGCACAGAAGCAAGAGGCGCTCACGAACCTCGTGCAATTGCACCGAGAGTGGGCTCGCGAGAACCCGGTCTCTGTCTTTTTTGCAGATCAGGGACCGTAAACGGGACAACAAGTTAGTTGCTGGGGTCCATTTCAAGGTCCACAGACAGAGCCCGCACGCGCGAGGAGGAAAAGGGGACCTGAGCGGCGACAGCGAAGAGCACGACCCGTCTGCTGCGCTGTGGTATCCAGAGAGGACTCGACGAGAGTATATCACGCGCTGCATCGAGATCTTCACCAAGCTGCACATGAAGCTCATGCAGAAGCCGCATGTGTGTAAGTTGTTGCTCTCTTGCCATCGATCTGGCTTCCACTCCTGCCCGTGAGCTAACTACGCGAATCGGCAGATGCGTTTGTCAGGTTCGTCTTACCCGAGTACCGCCAACTGGGTCTGGCAGCTATGCTCTTGGCTGAGGTCTGTCGACGAGCAGACGAATTGGGGCTGGAATCTCGGTTCGAAGCGGTTATCGCATTAGGGGTGACAATCTACAGACGCCATGGTTGCATCCCCTATAGCGGCGGTCTGCTGGTTTAGCCTGCCGCGACAGAAGTGGAGGCTCAGGATGTAGATTAGAAGGATATCGAGGCCAAAATGCAGCCTCTGCGATACTGGCCCATGTGGCGGTCCACTCATGGAAAGCCAGAGCTCGGGAAGACGAGCGCACCCTGGGGCGAGCTGAGTACGAATAGGAGATTCTTGGGCGGGATATGATTTCCGAGGTGGCGAGGAGACTAGCCTACTTGGCAATGGAAATCTATGTTGGTACCCATAACCTTTACAGGCACTGTCGTGCGGTTCGGTATGGTCACACCCCTGCCAACACCTCGTTGAACCACGACAATCCACAGGTTGTTATCTCCTTTTGCCCATCTGCCATTCACTCAATCCCATACCCGGTGCCCCGTCATATATGGCCACATGCAATCTGCCCTAAGGAGCACGCTGGTCTCGCCTGCTGGATACCACCCTGCATATTGTGGGTCCAGCTGTCGTTGATTCTCGATATCAACCGCGAAGTGTAGTTCGGCTAAGAATTCAAAAAGGGGAGAGCTATCGAAGACATCTTCGGCTGATAGCAGGCCACAATAGATCTACAGCGAGGTACAACTGATCCAGAGCCAGGAGAGGTATGATCTTGCCTGCTGTACTCTCGGCCCAACCGGATTGCCCGTCGACGCTTCGGGTGATACTTTCTTCATACCCCACGATCTCCGACAAGCCACACGGTGCGGTGCGTCAAGAGCCATCGACTAGACCGTGGACAACCCTGAAGTCATTGCAACCGGCTGAACTCCGTCCCTTGTATTGTATCACAGTAGTCGCCAGCAACAGAGATGCTAGCCCACCTACCCGGATGCTATTGCCGCTTGACAGGCCCAAAAGATCACAGTACGAGGAAGTATACAGGCTCGAACAGAGTCAAGGACGGCAGATGAACCTAACATTTGTACACACGCCATGTCCCAGTGTGCTAGTCACATTCCTATGCTACGCCAGTCACTATCTGTGTTAGAGAGTGCACCTACTGAATAATGAAAACTCTCAGCGAACTACCTCGTAGCGCTTACTGCTGTTGAGATAGGTAGACTCCCAGGCGGTACACTCCATTTTGTTGCGAGGTCATAGTGTACTATAATGAACCCTTGCACATCGAATACCCCCGATGGTCTAGTTGGTTCATGGCGTTCGGCTGTAATGGAAGTTGTAACCGAAAAGTCACCAGTTCGATTCTGGTTCGGGGGAGTTCTACTTTTTTGCCGCCTCTTCTTTTTTTTGTCATCAATTACCAGGGCTTTGGGAAGGGACCATCTCAATCGGTTTTCCTGAGGTGGCTCTGGAAGTATCGCTCAGTCGATGTCCTCAACACCTGTGACTGTGATAGTACATAGAAACAAGCCCATTCGCCCTTCGGGTCCATACAACCAACAGCGAACGGTTCTCCTTGACCGATGTATCCAATCAGTGGGAACTTCAGCGGCGGAGCGAGCCTTCAATGCAACCGTGCTGATCCGTCCTTCGGGCATTCGGGTTGAACTATATATACCCCTCTACAGAGATCCAGACTCAGCCTGAACGGGGCCGGTTAGCTTATTCTCCCAGGATGAACAAAAACGCCATGCTTGAACATCGGTCCAGCTGGGATCTGTGCACAATGCCATACCCTCGTCCTCGTCCCAAGGGCCAACCATTGCCTATGACGTTGTGGACAGATATTGGACCAGACGGACTCGCCCGTGAATGTGGTGATGCAGGGGCTATGCAATACCTACCCTCGACACGTGGGAGATAAGATCGTCGTGTTCTCCGGCAAGGAGTCGCCGAACCTTAACCTCGACGGATGACGAAAATGTATGTGTATATACTTGGCTGTGCTGTGCGTACAAGAACGACAGCGCTATTGTTTGCTCTCGCCGCTCGGTGGGCTCCTGTGTCATGGGTTCAGTACAGTGGAAGGGACGTATGATTTGAAACTTGGTGGGCCATGGTGTTGAAATCCAATGCAGGGTGTATGGCTGCACCGCGCCTTCCGGGTGACCGTCCTCGGCTGTATTGGGGCAGGATGTCAGTCTAGTGCTCCTCGAGACTTTCATGGTCAATTCTTGGGGCTATACTGGGAATCGGTGTATATGGGCGGGATTAAAGAAGAAGAGAGAGGGGCAACAGCAAGTTTAACGAAGTAGGTAAGCCAGCCAACCACCAAGCAGCCGGGAAAAAAAGGAACATTCCCCCGAACCAGAATCGAACTGGTGACTTTTCGGTTACAATTAATACCATTACAGCCGAACGCCATGAACCAACTAGACCATCGGGGGAGTGGTTATACTTTTGTTACAAACTGTGGCCTATTGAGATTCAAAACTAGGTGAATATTTTAATGGCTACATGCATGATCGATGTTCAAAGAATGAGACTCCCCTCCATCAGCTATGAGCTAGTTTCTTGGTAGTAAGTCCCTTCTGATGATGGGAGTAAATCTCTCAAAGGATATGTGTGCTTATCTAGTCGTTACTTAGCCTAGATGCGATGGCCTATCTATCATGTTAACTTGAGCGACGTACAATATATTGGGATAGGCCAGGTGGGCGGGCTGTGAGATATAGAGCCCATGAACATAGGAACCTGCGATGGCAACCACGTGTATCTAACCCATCCGATGTATACCCTTCATCTCTGCTCTCGAATCCGGTGACGGGTGGTAACCTGTGTGCGGTAGCGGCATGGTCTAGACCCCAAATGCCAGCCCAGCTTCGGTGACGACAGCGACGGATATATACATCTCAGGCACTGAGGGGTCGCGTCATTCAACGCAAGTAATCCTGACCCCCTAGGACAAGAACAAAGAAACTACAAGCCATCCGTAGCACAAAGGGAAGCCACACACGACATCCCGGAGCGCGAAAAGGCAACAGTGCAAGAAAGCAACTCGCGGAAGACCGGTACCCCGTTGCCGTCATGCAATCCTCCCCAGGCTAGTAGTCTTCGCCCGCCATCCATCAGAGGCCAGCCACCACAACCCAGCAAACACCGCACTGAAAGTGACGAAGCTCACCACAGTCACCACACATACCGAAGGCTGAATCCCACTCCCATATGTAGACATAGACAGGGAGCCATAGCACCACACCAAAGCCTCATAGACTTAGCGAAGTGCTCCTACCAGAGACAGACAGACAGACACACACCAGAGCTTCTCATATTCATATCAACAGCATGAACCCACCCCAGCCATGTTCGCATCCCGAGCACAAGCTAACCAAGCAACCACCGAGGTCGGTCTATCAGTCACCCCCCGCCCAGAGAACAATCGACACGGAAAAGCAAAGCAGGTTACAAGCACACTCCTGTACAAACACCACACCGAAGCAGGAGAGTGTCAGGAGTTCGAAATATGCTGCGCCTGCGCAAAAGCGGTCTCTTCTATACACCGTGCGACCACACAGGCACCTCGGATGCGCACGTAGTATGCGAGATAGACGTCCCAGATGATGATGAAGATGATGATGATGATGATGATGATGATGGAGGACAGCCGGGTATAAGTCTCAGGCAGGGTTGATCGACGCTATCGAGATTCTCCAAAGTTACTTCACTTCTCCGGCCCAAGCCGCAGAGCAGGTTTGGGGTGGACGATGCCCATCCAAGTATGGCAAAAGTAAGAGACTTACCAGAAGAGCTTGTCGGCGACAATTGGTGTTAAGATGACGAAGGGAGCACGAACACTTCACGAGAAGGACGTTTTGTGATCGTGGTTCAAGCAATGCCAACGATAATATTGATCATGACAGATCAGGACAACTACAATCTACCAACAGGGACAAGAACAATCTACGATAGGAAGAAAATAGAACGAAATGATTCATGATTCAAGTTTTGTAGGATCAACTACATAACCCAAGTCTAGTTCCGTAATTCCATATTTTGTAATCATGAAAACATCATCACAACATCATCACCCTTCAGAAACCAGCTTATTTCTTACCGGCCTTCTGGGCAGCCTTGGTGACCTTACCGGCACCACCAGCGGACTTGTCGACGGCCTTGATGACACCGACGGCAACGGTCTGGCGCATGTCACGGACGGCGAAACGACCAAGGGGAGGGTACTCAGTGAAGGACTCAACACACATGGGCTTGGAGGGAATCATCTTGACGATAGCGGCATCACCGGACTTGATGAACTTGGGGTTCTGCTCGATGGCCTTACCGGTACGGCGGTCAATCTTCTCAAGGAGCTCAGCGAACTTGCAAGCAATGTGAGCGGTGTGGCAGTCGAGGACGGGAGCGTAACCAGCGCCGACCTGACCGGGGTGGTTGAGGACGATGACCTGAGCAGTGAAGCTGGCGGCACCGGCAGGGGGGTCGTTCTTGGAGTCACCGGCAACGTTACCACGGCGAACCTCCTTGACGGAAACGTTCTTGACGTTGAAACCAACGTTGTCACCGGGGACACCCTCCTTGAGCTGCTGGTGGTGCATCTCAACGGACTTGACTTCAGTGGTAACGTTGGCGGGAGCGAAGGTCACGACCATACCAGGGGTAATGACACCAGTCTCGACACGACCAACGGGCACAGTTCCAATACCGGAGATCTTGTAGACATCCTGGAGAGGAAGACGGAGGGGCTTGTTGGAGGGACGGACGGGAGGCTCAATGGCGTCGATGGCCTCGAGAAGGGTCTTACCGGTGGACTTGCCAGCCTTGGTCTCCTTCTCCCAACCCTTGTACCAGGGGCAGTTGGAGGAAACCTCGAGCATGTTGTCACCGTTGAAACCGGAGATGGGGACGAAGGGAACGGCCTTGGGGTTGTAGCCGACCTTCTTGATGAAGTTGGAGGTCTCCTTGACGATCTCGTTGTAACGGTCCTCGGACCACTTGCAGGTGTCCATCTTGTTGAGGGCAACAATGAGCTGACGGACACCGAGGGTGAAAGCGAGCAGAGCGTGCTCACGGGTCTGGCCATCCTTGGAGATACCAGCCTCGAATTCACCAGTACCGGAGGCAATGATGAGGATAGCGCAATCGGCCTGGGAGGTACCAGTGATCATGTTCTTGATGAAGTCACGGTGACCGGGGGCATCTATGGCGGATGGGTTAGATGATGGATCATCGCTTGCAGAGTCATGGGAGACAACTTACCAATGACGGTAACCTCATACTTGGCAGTCTGGAACTTCCAGAGGGCGATATCGATGGTGATACCACGCTCACGCTCGGACTTGAGCTTGTCAAGAACCCAAGCGTACTTGAAAGAACCCTTACCGAGCTCAGCGGCTTCCTTCTCGAACTTCTCGATGGTACGCTGGTCGATACCACCGCACTTGTAGATCAAGTGACCGGTGGTGGTGGACTTGCCGGAATCGACGTGGCCGATAACGACGATGTTGATGTGAGAACGCTCTTCCTTACTGTTGATTGGAGATGAGTTAGCTCGATGATTCTTTTCGATGCTGGATCCAAGCCACCCGTGTCGTAGTGGCTGGAAAACTCTGATAGTGGGCTGGACTTACCCCATGGTGACGGTGTTGTGAAGTGAACTTTTGAAAAGGTTCTAAAAAAATTGCTCAGATACTACGGCCACAAATGCGTAGAGGTGCTGAACAACAAGAGTCAGTAAGAGAGGAATGAAGAAAGGAAGAAGACAGAGAAGGGAAGCGAGAAGAAGGGGGGGGAAGATATACGTACTGAAGCGGACGAGGAGGGAAAGAAGAAAATTCTGTGGGAGGGGGGAGGAGGGGAAATCCTTATATGGAGGGGTCAAGCGAGAGGGCGACTAAGCGGGCGGGCTCCAACCCTTGGCGAATAATGAGCGCAATTGGACATGGAGGGGTAAACCAGGTTGACCCAGCCCCACTTCCAGTCTGGTTGGTTCCAACTGCGGGACCAGCGCAAAAAAATCTTCACCTGCTGGGCGGAGCCTGGACTGCTTGCAGCATGAGCAGACTGAGCAGACTGAGCAGAGCCCATGCGATCATTACTTGGTTCTGCTTATCCTGTCTATTATCGTGAACCACTCGGAGTCCTTACTTGCGACCGTATCCACTATATCGAAGATTTTTTTTTCTTCTTTTCTTTACCCTTTTCCCTTCTTTCCACCTATCCAGATATCCAGATACTCGGTAGTCGGTATTACCCCCTATCCTCTTCTTCGGTACCTCTCCCTCAAACTTTGCCTCCAGCTGGCTACATACTACCAAATACGTAAACTCAAGGTGGGGGTTGCAGCACGTAGGTACTGTTCAAGGTTCCCGTAAGTACCCCTCGGTTTGGACTGAAATTCTGGGCATCAACGCAGGTAAGGAGTGGATTTTGCTGCTGGTCCGACTTTTGTTGGCCTTGTTTGCAACAGAACCCCGCGGCAGGTGGCAACGTTGATTTGTCCGTTGGAAGGGCAGCTGTGGCACGGCCGAGTGGCGCCCGCCCCGATCCACTGTGGGCTCGGTGGGATGTGAGGTCAACCTCGCGGTCGCCGCCGCCGCCGCAGCAGCAGCAGCAGCAGCAACAAATGATCATTATTTTTTTATCTAACGGGAAAGGAAAAAGTCTGTGTTGCTATGATACCAACTTTCTTTTTTTTTTTTTTTTTTTTTTTTTTCGCCTCCCGGTGGTTGGTGTGTTCCGTTCGATGAACTAGATTTTGTTCCATTTGATGGACCTTGAAGGGAAAAGGACTAAAAAAAATCAACATGTTTGATATTGATAGGCAAATTGATCGCCTACCGGTCGACTACTAACGAACAAATTTTTCTTTTTTGCCGCCGCCCCTCCCTTTTGTTTCTTTTTTTGCCATCATGTTGTCTGTGTGTGCGTGTGTATGTTGAGATTGCCCCTCACCGAGTCTGAGTATGAGGGTCGTCGGTTTTTGGCGGCTCTCTGCGCCTACGCATGCTCGCCGCCCGCTCACAACTTCTTTTTCTTTTCTTGGCCTTTGCCTATTCGAGTCCCCGAGGGTGTAGGGGGGGCAAATAAAATGACTCAAGTTTGGTACCGTATGAGAGCTGGACTAGCTGCCACACAACACAACACATCAACAAAGGAAGCTTACCTTAACTTGAACCAATCCAAATCGGAGGATTATCTGCCCGTTGCCGGTCCAAAGGTAAAATTCCCATCAGCACGGTTTTAAAATATTTTTTTTGTTTTGGGTTCGGCGCTTGCTCTGACAGAACTAGCCCTTCCTGCTTCTGCCTGAACTACTAGTCAACATCCTTAGTGCTGTTTTAACTACATTGGAACATCATGCGGTCAATCATCTATTGAGGGGTATCTGTTTAAGCTAGATAGATGTATACATCATCACACAGGCCATCGTGAGGGCCCAAGGTCGACATCATGAAGGTTAGACTTCAAGAGTTTGAGACCAAAGAAAAAGATCCACCAGAAACCGAAACCATTTGTGTCGGAACACAACTCGACTGCTTCTTCTTCTCTATAGTCTAATCCATAAGACAAAAAAACATTTTCACCCAACATTATAGGTATATAGTTCCCACCCTGGATCGAGGGGCAAGACACATCAATTTTCTCTCCATCTGGCGCCGCACGTGGTACACTGGAATGTAATATCCGCTATCAGCAAGGCATGTCGGGCAGTATGCATACATCCCGCAGGAGAGCCGCGGGGAGGGGTAAAACCAAAGAAGAAAAAAATAATAATTAAAATTGGCACCCACCTTCAAGAATGTAGTCATCGGTTCATCTGCACTCCGAATCTGCAGCTGGAAGAAGTATGCACGGTCGCCATTACAGTTCTCTGCGGGGCATTGGGCTGAAGGAGGAGGAGGGGGAGGTCAGCCTCTGCAAGCTTCCTTCTCTTTTCTGTCTGGGTTCTCTCCAAGCTGGCGGTATCGAAACACACAGCCAAGAGGGAGAAACATTGTAGGCGATGCAACTTACTGGCCACGCTATCCGCATTCGCAAATTCTTCCTTGCCGCCAAATACATCCTCGACCTCTTTTTGCTTCATCGGAGTCTTCTCGAACCAGCTCTGTTCCAGGACATATTGGTAGGGGCAGGTGCGGCATTCGAAGCGGTTGACGCCCAATGGATGTCTTCCAGTCGGCTCTGCTCGAGAGATGGTGAGCGCATTGCTGCAGTTGGGACAGACTATTGAGTAATCGGGGTCAGAGATGTCCTATTCAGAGAATAAGGTAACTATAGCTGGGCTGGCGGTACCCCGCGCGCGAAGGAGGGACTCACAGGTCAACGGCATGATGAGGATATTCCTGGCTAGAAGATCCGTCAATCAAAGATATCTAGTGGGTAGCAATGGTGTCACGGGTAGCAAGCTTCTTCGCATAATGTGTGGCCCTGCATAAAGGCGACTACGGGAAGAAATTCCAGTGCAGCAGCTGTCACTGTTTCGCGCAGTAGTCAGTCAGGGTCGCATGCGATCTCAGCGATAAAGAACTAGGCTGGGTTGAGGCTCTTATCAGCCGGCGATGCCGTTGGGCGGACGAGATTGACAACCCGCCGATTGGACGCGGGGCAAGACTGGAAAAGGGCCGGATTAACTCAGCTGCCGATGGGCCGCCCGCCGCCGCTTCGAGCGGGCGGGGAGTCAACAATAGGGAGGCATCAGGCATAAGGCAATAACACCCATCGAAACACAACTTTAGCTTTTACAAACCGATCCGGAATTGTAAGTGAGGCTTGCTGCGATCTATTCCTGTCCCTCATGGCCCGGCCTCACTTGTGCAAGCCTATATATAGACTTGCTCCCCACATGCCTCGTGCTAATCTTGTATTGATTCTCTAGTTGCTCCCGACACCGCCTCCTGACTACTTCGCGGCTTCTCCGGCGGCATTAATACACAAGAACTCCCCAGGGCAGCAACTCTCCTGAATCTTGACGGCTTATTTGGAGTTTGATTGCGCTTCCTCGTCTCTCCCCGACGCTCAGTACCCCGCACACGAAATCATAATGGCTGACGAGGTGAGTTCAATCGTCACCTCCGTTGCCCTTCTACATTGCTCACACTAGTGCATAGGGCGCTTCCCCGCGTGAGCTGGTTGTGGAGGCCTGTCGGCGCGACCAGCCTCACCTGATAGAACAGGTGCTTGAAGGCATGACGGACAAGTCAAACGAAGAGGTGGCCGAGTTCTTCAACGGGGTGACGGATTCCATGGGCAACCATGCTCTACACATCTGCGCCTCATACGGAAGCTGTCAGTATCCACCTCCCAGTCATGGAGCCCCCAAGCTAGTCCTGCAAACTGACCAATTTTTTTGGATACATACAGATGACACCATGGACACTCTCTTCGACATTCAGTACTTCGAATGTGACCCCCTGACCCGCCTCGACAAAGATACCCCGCTGCACGTCGCAGTCCGCTATGCCAACGAGAAGGATGCCGAGTTAGGGCTGGAGATGGTCAGGATGATGTGCGACGCCGGTTGCGACCCGCGGGTCCGGAATAAGCACGGCCAGAAGCCCACGGAGCTCGTCTACAATAACCCCGAGATCAAGTCGGTCCTGCAGCAAGCTGAGTACGTGATGGCCGAGGGACTCCGGGAGGATGCGGATAGTGGTTCCGTGCACGACAGTGCCAGCGACAGCGAGTAAATATGTAATAGCGAAACACACCACCCTGTATAGCGATTTTCTTAATTCATATAGATGTATGCAAGCGATGTTCACCTTTTCAGTTTGGGAATGTTTGTCTGTGTTTTCGGAATTGCATAAATTGTGTAACTACGTGGCTGAATGCAGGGTCGACACTGTGTGACGTGCAGACAGGGATGCCGCTGCAGTTTCGTGGTTTGCATGGAGTGTAGAAATGCAAGTGAGACCGCATCTTGCAGAAACTTCATCCCGCCTTCCGAGTCGGATATACGTAGTAGCAGGAAGCACCTTTAGAGCTTAAACATATGGCATAAACTAGGGTATCATTCAGTCGAGCAGGACCAGGATAAAGTGATAACGCAAAAGAACAAAGAACATGGTGCATAATTAAACGCTCTATTCACCTTCAGAGCCAGACTCGGTTCGTCCACGCCGTCGGGGCTGTTGTCTTCTTCGGGCCCGCTGTCCTTGACCCTCCTCTTCCTCGTTGGCAGGGGTGTTCTCGGCCGGTCTCTCTTGCGCGCGGCCTTGAGGCGCCTGGAGCCCGAGGCTCCGCGCCAGACGGATTTCCAACTCCTCGTCGGGTTCAACTGCATCCTGCTGGCCGTAGACCTCGCGAACCAGTCCAGCCACACCCTGAGCTCCCACCTCGACCTTTCCACGCGGGCCCAGAATGTACTCGATGACTTCCTCCCCACCATCGACATCGCGGTTACGCACCAGGTATCCTTCTTTGCAGAGTCGCTGAAGGAACCGGTCTGTGCGATCAACAGGCGTGTAGGTATTGGTATTCGTCCGCTGGAGATACCTATCCAGCTTCTGCTCTTGGATCGTGCCCCCATTCAGCAGGATCACAGCAATGATGAACGAATACAGCCCAGTGTAGGTACTTTCCAAAGGAGCCTTGCTCGGGCGCAAGATTGCCGGCCTGCGATATTCTGGAGGCAGGAGACTGGTGAGTATCCAGTTCTTATTCCCCGAGGACGCTTTTTCGACCTTCTGAGCAGCTACAGCGCAAACCAGGAGAAAATCCCCCCGAAACCGAGTCAACAAAATTCCGCCATCCATTTCAAAGCCGTGCATGAAAAACTCACCTCGCCGTTGGTGAACGGTCACCTTCTCCCTCACCGGCAACTCGGTCATCTGCATTCCGAACTTCTCGCCCAGAACCCGCTGCGCTTCGTCGAACACGGTCCGGAACTGTCGTGCCCCTTGCTCCCCCAGAACCTTGGCACTGATATCGGTGCGGCGGAGCGGTTGTCGGGAGTACTCACTGGCCAGCGCCAGTCGCACGAGCTTTTTGACCATCACGTCGGTGCTCGTCGGGGCCCGGATGTCGTACCCCTCGTCCGCGTAGCCTTCGGATGAGGAAGAGTCGTCGCGTCTCCGGCGGCGGGGCGCATTCTGTGTGGGAGGCGGGGTACCGTCTGCCTCCTCGCTTGACTCGTTTTCTGGGACCTGTTATTGTGGGTTATCAGTGTTATGGTTTCTTTGGCTATTTTGAAGGGCTTATCGGCAGCAGAGAGTACGTACTGCGCGGCGTTTGCGATTCGGAGGCATTCTCACTGACGCTGGATTCGGGTATGGTGATGAAGTAATTTGCTCTTGCAATCAGACGGCTTGATATTGTCTCTTGCTGGGCGATGGGTGCGAAGGTTTGCTCTTGATTCTCTGGGATGTAGAGGGGTAGTTTCTCTGGGCTCCAGGCTTGATGTGGTGGTTTCTTTGTCCGATGGCGGACGCGCTCGACGCGCCAAGCCAATTGTGGAACTCCGTCGTGATATTGCCTCTTTGGGACTATCACATGTCGATAAGAGCTGAAGTACAGTATAATTTCATACCTCCCATAATGTTTACCAATATACGGAACTGTTTAATATAGATCATGAACTTCATGATAGTTTGGAAAGAAAAAGAGGCACTTTCACCAGATATTCGCAGAATGACCGCAGTTGAAGACCCCGTTCTTAGTCGGTTCGTTGTATGCCCGGCAGTCCTTTGTTTATGCCCTGCAGGGTACTCGCCAGCGTGCCATGAGCAGCGCTGTGGCATTGCTTGCGTGCTATTCCACTGCTGCTTGGCGACCGACTACCACGATGACTAAAAGGAAATCCAGCACGGAAAATACATCTTCTGGCCATCAAGAAGATGACTGGCCATCAAGAAGATGAGCAAAAAAAGAAACTCTCCCCGACTGGGAGTCGAACCCAGGTCTCCCGCGCTTGTTCCCAACTGGGATTGACAAGCGGAAATCATGACCGTTAGACCATCGAGGAATTGTTACAGTGAGGTCCTAATTTGTGCAATATAATCCTTGAATCAACTCTCATTCAATGGTTTGATGTTTTGTCGCAAATGCGCACTCTTTTAAATGGGTGTGTGGTTATGCCTTGACGGCCAGGACAAATATCCAGTCCCTAAGATCGCTTGAGATGTGTTCGAACATATTTGCTTCTGGCACTGCAGACGATGGTTAGTGGATGAACAGATGGGCAGAGATGGGATCTAGCATCTCGGCTACGGCAAAGTCAACAGTGGCAGTGCGAAACTGTACATGCTCTTGGAAGACAGATCGAAACGGCTCACGCTTGGACGAGCAATTATGAGCGACTCATCAATGTAGTCCTTCTGTGCGAACATGACCGTCATCTATGCTCACGATGAGCTAGCCTCGTGGGCTTCGAATGAACTAGCCTCTCTCCGGCTAACCAACCGTCAGGCGAGAGTGCCTCCATGGCAAGGCTCTCAAACGTCTTTCAAGTTGAAAGGGACTTTCTCTCTTATGGCCTAGTTGAGTTTCGTCACTAGCAGCCGTGCACCTCGGAACTGGGTGAATAGGGTTTGAGTCCATGTGTACAGCCACGGCGCCAAAAAAAGGCCTGCGTTCTGCCTAAAATATTACTAGATTGTCCTTCCAGTCGAAGTTACCCTTTTCCATGAAGCCTTCTCTGTTTGGTATTGATGTTTGAGTTGAAATCACATAATGTCTCACAATACAACAGGACAGAGGTTGGGAGAGATCCTTTCTGCGTGGCAGCCTGAAGCCTCTGAAGGGCGATATCATGAGTATCTGCGATGTCTTTGGCCGGAGTATGATCACCTCGGGGCATATTCTCGATATGATAGGATCTGGTGTGCGCAATCGAGGAGACTCCGAGGTCTGTCAAGGCTCAGATCTCCCTCTTGCGAGCACCCGTTCATGCGATCGAATTCTGCAATCAACAACAAGGTAACATGAAACATCATCAGCATGATGGGATTAACCCTCATTCCATGCAAAAGCACAGTAGCAGGAGATATGCGGCGGATGAGTTGATTGAGGAGAACGGGATGAAGGATGCTCTCTTACATTTTTCTTTTCTTGTCGCTTGAAACCGAATCCCGTAGACTTCGGCGTGACATGTGCGCGATGCAGAACATGCCAGGGGACCATACCCCTTTACTATTGAGCATAAGCAATTCGATGGATAAGTATCCGCAGGTACAGTTCCATATAGCATCCATCCTCTCTCGGTCTCAATATAGGCTCGACATGAAGCAAAACAGCACCCATAGACACCTGACCCATATCCAAACGCGAGGGAGCAGGAAATCCATCGAGCAAGCCAAGAAATGTCAAACGGTGTGAAATGAAATCCCGTTTTCCAAGGATGGACTATAAGAGCGATGTGACTGACAAGTCGAAGTCTTAGTCTCAATATCTTAGCCTCTGTCTTTGTTCCGCGTTCGGCATGAACACCAGGGAGATGAACTCGTGACCATTCATCTGGATTTATGGCCGTGGCTATCGTCGTCATCACGATCACTCTGGCAGCGGCATCATATAATTTTACCCCCGATTTGTTTTACCGAGTCTTGTTGATCCTGAAACTTATACCTTACCATTTCGGTGAGATCTGAGGGCACATGTGCGCATCTATCGGCTGCGGCGCAGGATCAGATGGAAGGGTCCTGCTAGTCAGGCATAAGACATGGGTAGTCCGCTTTAATTGTTGAAGTTGATCGTGAGTGTGTAAATACTTGGCCACGTGCTTCCCTTGACTGGGCTACAAATTCGCGGTCATTTTAATTCTGCTACCCGGGTCAATTCTTTGTATAGAACCATGGTTCATATCTGGCTTCAGGGTATGCTGGTTCTATCTATATCCAGGGAACTAAGTCATATGGATTTTGTGCTTTGCTGAGGAGCATACAATGAGCTTTTCTGACCTGTATGCAAGGGAAGAAGAATGGTGCGTGCCGACAAAAGATAGTACTCAGTAAGTTCCTGAGGCATGAGGGCAGGGACACCAAGCATAACAGGAAAAGTGGAGGTGAGGACTGCTGTGACCTCGCAATATAACAAGATAGTAGAGGCGCGGCCTAAACTTGTCATAGCGCGATTTTCGTAACATTTAATAGATGTAAATAGATGTGCATATAATATTCTAGGAATTCTGAGATTTGGTAACTAAGCAGAGATTCTTGTTTTGATCTATTTGTTGTCTAATTAGATAAACCATACAACAAAATTCGAAGATTTTGTACAAAAAGAAAAAAAAAGTATTACAATAATATTCGTAATCAGATGATCCAGCAAAAGTAGTATGGTAGAACTACTTAGACTGTTCTAAGAGTTCTTTGGAAAGCCAGAATTCGCTTGTTCGCGTTGTTATATCGCGAGGTTACAGTAGTTGATGGCTACTACTGTCTTAAGCCAAGTGCTCACACTGCATTGTGGTCCACCCACTACAAGAAGTTAAGGTGGTTTAGTAGATAGCTACTGTAGCCCATACCGTGACTTTTCTTTAACCCCGTTCTTTCCTCACCACACTCTGCCCCTCTTCCTCTCATGTCCATCGCACGACTTGTACTGTACCACCAACCATGTCGAGCGAGTTAATTCATTATCACTGAGAATGTTGTCTCCGAGTCTCATATTCGGGAATATCCAGGAAGCACCGTCACCCAGGAGGACGTTCTGCACCTACACGTCAAGCAATACCCCCCCAAAGGATCGACCTGAGCCGGTGCCGATGGACGCTGTCACGATTGATGCGGGAGATGGAGCTTTTCCGCGAGAGTGAAAGACAGTGGGCGGAGCCGCGAAGGCGGGAAAATCATCTTGTTCTGGAGGAGACATGGTATCGAGTTCTCAAACTTTTTGCGGTTGGTGAACATGTCTTTCTGATTCGGGGTGATGCTCCGAGCTATGTTCCGCATTGCATCGGTGCAACTTGCCCTCCGTCCAGCATGCGGCACGACGGCGTCGATTGGTCGAACTTGTATACAGCCAGCCGCATGGCCAGCGCGATACCAGGCCAAGTACTCGCACTATGGTGAGCTACAAGCATTGCTGTGAAGCAAAGCCGGGTACGTCGGATAGCAATCCGACTGAGGCACTGTACTCCGAATTTCGTCCCACGCTATATCACACCAGTGAGGTCCTGATGTGATATCCCGGAAAAACCTTTGTGAAGACAATTTCAGCCAAGTAAATTCTGAATCAAGATTGGACCTTGCAACCAGATACATCCATATGCTCCATGAAACACAAAAGCGAGCAATATAGAGCGCACCAATCCGGAGCGGGCAACATTAGCCCTAACGAACCTCTGGCCGCCTAGAACTACCTCAAGTCAAAATGTTGCTGATTATGTCAAAAAAAAAGACATCTACAAGCAAGATCCTCGATGGTCTAACGGTCATGATTTCCGCTTGTCAATCCCAGCTGGGAACAAGCGCGGGAGACCTGGGTTCGACTCCCAGTCGGGGAGATCTTTCTTTTGTCTTTTTTTTTTGTCTGTCTGCTGACGGCTGGTGGGGGTTGCTTTGACCCACTGAGTCTTTTACTTGGTTTGTTTTGAGGGATAGACATTGGTTGTTTGACAGATAGTGTTGCGAATGTCGGGTTGATCGGTGGGTTGGGTTGATTGCAGTGGAGAGGATTCTTCATCCGGTCTGGATGGAAGCTTAGGCTTGCTGATTTTGGATGGTGGCCCGACGCTGGGAATATATGTGATGTCTGTTTTTCACATCGCAATGTACGTGAAAAGATCTTGTTCGTGGCTGGTGCACTAGTTGCTGATGGCTATCGTGCTTGTATGGTCTAAATGGCCTGTACGTTGTATGGTACCGCCGTCGAATTGCGTATTCAAGGGGCTCAAACGTCCAGACCGCGGTGTATGCGCTGGTGAAGACATCTTGTCGGAGTTCGTCTGAGAAAAGACGATCTAAGCTGATGTTCAATCCGGCCACAAAGGCATATGTGCTTGGAATGCTCCTCCTGGCACGGAGAAAGAAATAAAATGAAGATTCTTGCCTGCACATGGTGTTTTATGACTTGACCAGGCAAAGGCAGGAACATCCGGTGCTGTTAATCGTCTTCTTCGTCCTCTCTATGAGCATAAGGTAGCTGCAGCTTGATTCTAGTGATATGCCAATGGCAGTCTCTGGCATACCCAGTGAATGCCAAAAAGACAGAAGTGATTTAGGCGGAGTGTCAACTGAAATCCACTTACCAGAAACAGCACCGATAAAAAATCAATGACCTTTCCATTGTCTGGTCACTCAAATCCCCATAACGAGACGGATTGTATCTCCTGGACACAGAAGACACCAAACACAAGCCCTAGATTGCTGGCAAAGCTCCATCAAAGCCTCCCCAACACAGGAAAGACAGGGAGATAATGAAGAACCCCTTTAAATCAGAATACAAATACCACGACAGCATCAGCATGTCCACATCACCTATAAAACAACATCTGAATGCCAGGATCTCTGCTATCCCATCCTCAAACACCCCGACATCGTTCCAAACACAGACACCGTTCCCAACCCCAAGACGAAACCCGCCCTGAACATAACCACCGGCAGAAACAATGTCCCCCCCCTTCTTCAACTTCACCCGCCTCCCCACAGGCCAAGAATCCTGGGCCCTCCACGCCTTCCTCGCCGAGCAGCTCCAAGCAACGCCCGCCGACGCCGGCGCGACAACAGCCCCCAACGTGGGCTCCCCGCCCTTACCCCACGAATTCCAGCACTACGAAAACATCCCCGCCTTCGTGGTCGTGCGCCTCGAAGAAGAGATCCACGACCACCTCGCGCCGCTTCCCTGGGAGCAGTGGACGATGAACCACATCTTCCGGGCGCTGCGCGACCGCTCCCCGCAGAGCATGCCCTTCTACGGCGTCGTGCACTCCCACCACTGGGTCCGGTTCTACCGCGAGACGACAGGCCCAAACCCGGGAACGACGGGCATGGCCATGGGCAAGGACACGATCTACCCCATCGCCGTCAGCCAGGTACACACGCTGCATCGGCACGGAGACGAGCAGCTGATCGCGGAGTTTGTGGAGGCGGTGCGCTCCCGTCGGCACCGGCGTCTTCGTCGTCGTCGTGGCGCGGCGGAGTTGTCTCGGGCGTTTGATGGGGTCCCCGCCCCTAGGGTAAGGAGGGTTCCTTTTCACGAGAGTCAGATTGAGTGGGTGCGTGGGGAGGACCAGGAGCAGGGGGGCGAAGGGATGGAGGGGTTTGAGACGGAGGAGGAAAAGGTGAGTGATGAAAGGCCGCACCACTCGCCTTCGCCTTCGTCTTCGCAGGGGACCGAGGATATGGACATGGACATGTCGGATTCTCTGTCTAAGCTGGGTATGTATTATACTACTACTGCCGAGAGCACCCCGTTTACTGCTGAGACAACCCCAACCCCGTTTAGCGACGGGGAGGACCGTTCCTCGTGGACGCTGGGCCGTTCGGAGGAGCCGCCGGTCTTCCACGAGCGAGAACCTTCTCGGTAAGTCAATTCCTTTATAGCCCTAGAATATGGTGCTGTATATCAACATTCCCAAAAGCACAAAAATAACTTGAATTGAATAGGAAGAAACGCTTCCTGTGGAGCTTGATATCCGAGACTAACACGTACACTTTCCTTTTCCGTATTTGTAAGACGTTTAGGAATGCATCGGAGTACCTTGGCTGATGCGCCTATGGAAAGGGAGTATGACGGCGATAGTAAAGCATGAGAGGTGCGAAGAGCAGCCCTGCTGTAAGCAGCCGGGTATGTAGGTTATGACCCGCTACAGTCCAAGCTGCAAGCAATTGAGTTTCGGCTCTACCATTCCTACTCGACAACACCCACGCACAACCCCAATACCCCCAAAGTAAGCAGAAGTGCAGACGCAGCTGACTCTATACTCATATTCTTCTAGTACATCAGGCTCGGTAGTCCTCGATCAAGCCACGGCACGACACCTGCTGCTGAACTTCATAAGAGAGTTTTCAATTGGATGAAGAGGGGGGGGGGGAGAGGCGGGCAATGAAGCACAAGATAATCTCTTCCACAAGGGAGCTAGTCATACTACACGTAGTACTCCTAGATCTTACGTACAACTCACCAAGCAGCACACAGGCAACCTGAGGTTTCTCCTTACTACTTCATACTACTATGACCCACGACAGAATTGCACTGCAGGACCAGCGAGCTGAAGCAATTGTCCTGGCTAGAACTTTGGGGGGATTTGATTAGTTGTGAAAAAGAGAGCTTGCAGGCTTCATCTTACTCTCCAATCTACTGAACAGTAGTGCCGTGAGGATAAAAAGTGTTTAGAGACATTCAACATAAAAAAGGAGAATATTTCAAGCAAGATCCTCGATGGTCTAACGGTCATGATTTCCGCTTGTCAATCCCAGCTGGGAACAAGCGCGGGAGACCTGGGTTCGACTCCCAGTCGGGGAGATCTCTTTTTGCTTCTGCTCCTGCCGTACGCATGGATCTATCTGCCAAGGTTGATGTCTTCTTGAATGTCTACCAGCTCCCCTCAATGCATTCCGCGAGAATATCGGCAATTCTGATTCACAAGAGATACACTTATCAAGAGCTGAGACCCATGATGTGTATCCAAACGCAAGCTATAACTAACACACATGCACATTCCACCAGGGCAGAGAGATGATAACCACCAATGTTCGTTACAGGAATTAGAACTAAACGTGCACCACGTACCGCTTACCAAGCGAACAAAGCCACAAGAGCGCAAAACTTTCTAAAGACGGGAAAGAAAAGTAGCAAAGCAAAGAGTCGAAGACATCGGAAAAGTTCGAGGTCCAAGACGGAGTTGGGACTATTTGTCGGTCTTTTCGTTTACAGCTTCCTTGACCTGCGTTTTCTTCGCCTGCAGCAGGGAGCTGACGTAGGCCAATGACTCTTGCGACAGCACCAGAGTGGTGCTGATGATGGCCTTGCTGCCAGCGACGACACCATCGCCCCCACATTTCTTGTACTCCGAGTTCAGTGTGTCGACCACATGGGCCTTCATGTCACCGGCGAAGCGCAATGGGAAGGTGGCTCCGTCTCGGAGGGATTCCTTCAGCTTGTCGGTGTCCTCCCGAACGATGGGGAAGGTTTCGTCGACTTTGGTCAAGCCCTGGTCGCCGAGCGAGTCCACGCGAGCAACGTAGGGGGCAATATAGACGTAGGGCCTGGAGAAGTACGGAAGAAGTGGCTTGGCCAGACGGCTGTACCCTTGATCGGCATACTCTAGCGTCTTTGCGCCATACTTATTTGTTTTGAAGACGGTGATTGAATCTGCAACCACCGGATAGGATGTCAAGTGCTAATTGGGATCGCGTGATTAGTTTAAGCGTGCTTGAAGGGAAGGACGGATGAAGATATGCTTGGAGGTCCAAACTCACATCGATGAAGTGGGAATGAACTTTCTCTCCATTAACCGAGTTCTCACCCATTGTTCCGTTTTCCGCGTGAGGCATGGACGTCTACGCTCGAAACGGGAGAACATTAGTACCGTATAGTATATAGGGTAATGGTGTATGAGTAGGTATGGCAACTTAGTATAGAATGACATACCTGGTGATCGGATGTGTAAGTAATCAAGGCGATAACCACCCAATGTTAAGAACGAGGAGGGGTTTTTGGGGGTGGGGGCTGGGAATGCGTTCAAAACTCCGGAAGAAGAGTTCGAGCGCAGGGAGAATAAAAAAGGTTCTGGAGGGAGGAAAGGGAAGAGAAGGAGGGGGAGAATTGGGAATTTGGAAAGAGGGAGGGAGCGAGGGAAGAAAGGAAATGCAGGTGAATTTCCGAGGGAGGGTACTACCTTAAAGTAAATCAGAAGAAAAGTAGTAGTTAAGTGAAGTAAAGTATGAAAGATAGCAGCAATCAACCTGCCCTGCTAGGGAAGATGCAGTCGGAATGATCTTCCCAGACAAGATGAACCGCAGGTAACTTAATTGTTAAGGTAGCTCAGACAGACCTCTCGGCTTGATCAGAGGTACCACATGCTATCAAGAATAGCTCAAATTGAGTGTAATTGGGCCTAGTTCCCTAATTCCCTAATTCCCTCCAGAGATTACGGAGTACAGCCAGAATCATTGAGGGTTAATATTATTGTTGGAATTATCATTTTAATTTTGGATTTTTCTCTTACTCTCGAGGACATCGGAGCAGTTGGCAGCATGTGATAGCGGAGCCGGTTTAAGAAGTAAACGACCCAACTTGGTTCCAAGTTTGTTCATTCATGGAGGGGCATCACAGTGACTGGCTAACTGGCAAGTGTCCACTTAGTCAAGTCGTACGGAAGGGGTGTTGCTCGTGCTAGCTACATTTTTCGTCATAGGGTACCTTTTTCATCATCAATCAATCAATCAATCACACCCTCCAAGGTCTGGAACTCGAAACGATGCTGGATGGCAAAGGAAGATTTGACCAGGGTTTAACCCCTCTTCTTGCCTTCATGCCTACCCCATACAGAGAAGGCAAACCGTAATGGAGGTGAAATCTCAGCACAGAAACAAAAAGAGAGAAAAAAAAAGAATAGAAAAAGAAAAGAGAAAAAGAAAGGAGAGGAAAGGGCAAAAGAGAGGGGAAAGAAAAGAGAAGTCGACGAGGTGGAGTCAACGCCATACCCAGCCCTCATGAAAGCCACCCGCATTTGTACTTGGAACTTGCAATGGGAGCCGCCGCCCGATAAGAACTGTTGCAGTTGCGTTGTCAATGTGGCAACCTTGTGGTTTCAGCAGGGTACTTCAACGAAGCACTTGAAGAACCATTGGGTGGTCCGTACAGTAAGATAGGGTTGGCGACCGAAAGTCTTGCGTTCTCGATGGTGGTGATGATGATGGTACTGAGTAGGATGATGGAATTCATCAATGGGGTGATGATTTGATAGCATGTGATTGTGGGTCTTCCATCTCGCGGCCTTTCTTGTCAACCACGGACTTACTTCCATCACCACCACCACCACCATCCATCCATCCCACATTAGTACATCCTACACACCATATTTCCTAGATTATGCTAAGCACCTCAATTTCATTTGCCTCATGAGATTCGAATCAGGACATCTGCACTTTTGTTTCCCATGTCTCTTGCACGTGCAGTCGACATCAGAATCTTCTTCCTGGGCAAAACTCCCTGGATCCGGCCCCTTCTGGCGCCTTTCCTTATCAGAAGAGGGCGGCTACTGTCACAAGCTGGGAAGCCGACCGCCAACTGGATACATCGCAAACCACATAGACCTGCTCCGTTAACGGTGGTGTATGCGGCACTTAACTTACTCGCCGACCGATATTGATCCATAGTCTTTCAATTTGCGGACAACCTTCTCCGCTGAATTACTCAGTTCGAGTTGTTTAAGGTAAGTCAGCATCTCTCGTCGCGCCTGGACCCGAGGCTTGGATGGCGTTACTCAAGGTTCCATCGACTCCCTGCATGGTTGAGTGAAGGTCCTGCCCTTAGGACTGAATTTCTCCTACAGTACAGTAGTTCGGTGCGCTTGGTGGTCTAGGCGCTATGGCGCGGAGCGTACTGGACTCAATGCCATGCATTAAATTCTCGCCCGTCTCGGAAACGTCCAAGTTAGTGCTTATTGGAGCTATGTCCCCCCATTTCTCTTGTGTTCCGGCGTTCTGGGCTACGATGGCGATACTGTAGAGTTTGACCATCCCATCACTGACTTCCTGGCAGGTCTAACCCGTCCAACCAGCCAGCCTGGTTAAATATTTAGCTCCGTGCTATTTCGGGCGTTTAGAAAAGTATACCTATTCTGCACCCCCTCTATGCAGCTTTCACGGAACGCCTACACTTTTTCCGCATGCCCGGGAGGCGGATGTTGTAGGATCCTGCGTCTCTCGCCTCTATAAACACCGTAGGTAGTCCGTAGAGGTAGAGGCCTAACTCTCGCCTATCCGAACTTGAGCATTGAGTTTCGTGGGGGCACAGCGGGGAACAACCGACAACTTCGAAACCGCGATTTACTCTTTACAGGAAAGTTTGTCGCTGACCCCTCGTACTTTGGTTATAAGGGTCTCGACAAGAGGCCCGAGAAAGCGGTAGCGATTGTACCTTAACATGGTCTGAAAGTCCACCCCAAAGCACCGCGCAGAGGGAACAAGATTCGGGGAGGGGTGAGTATTACGCCCCTCTACTATCTCCAGGGCCATATCTACTCCCTTGTGCGCGATATCGCGATATCAGCATTGCTTGCCAGCTGTACATGTACTGGGCAGGTCGTATGAGGTATACGCCGACTATTCGCTGATGGCCAAAACGATCAATGGCCCCCTGGTCTCAGAAGTGCGTCATGGTCGGGGGTTGGGGAGCCACGGGATGTACAGACAATTACTGTGGTCGATCGTGGGGATGAATCTGTGTTAAGAGCGCCGCTTTTACCCCAACATCGATCCCTACGAGCTGGGATTGGTTTCTGCATGGAGATTGTCGAATGCCTGGACTCTGGAGGTGAGGGCGGGGCACGGGACGGCAAATGATAAAGCCGAGTACAATCTAGGCCCAACGAGTCCCGGGCAATCTCAATCCGACATCAGTATTCGAGACTGTATGTTGGAAACTTGTAATGCTGTCATGATCAAGAAGCAAAAGGCAAGGATCGATTGGTATCAGAATGCAACGGTAGAATCGAGTTAAGAATGTGCACAAATCTGCCAGGCTTCGGGTCAATGTCGTCCGACACGGTGTGATTGGGGGATTGGTATGTTGGCAGCTAGATCAAGTCAATAGCTGAGGAACCGTGGACCGAAGGCGATGCCACAGGCCAGAGAACAACTCGTAACAAAAAAAAAGAAATTGAATTTGTTCATATTTTCCATTTCATTTCGAGACGGACGCCAGATCTGAGTGGCTTCCCTCATGTAAATAAGAAAATGGGCCAAGTCCTGGACCTGTACATCGACGCGTTCCCATTCTTCCTCCAGCTATGGTATATTGCACGTTATCCCTAGCTCATGAACTGGACGTCTTCGATGCTTTTCTTTTTCCCTTTGCCTCATCTAAGACCTTGCGCGCTCAAACGACAAAACGCCCCAATTATCCCGTTTAGAAACCTGTAGAACCGTCAGCAATGCTGCCAGTATAACGAGCCGCGAGCGTCAGTAGACGGAGGGTGAAACGTACGCAGAGGAGTGAAGAACCAACGGTTCTTGCCGCTGGTGTAGCGGTCCTCGAGGGCCTTCTTGACGTTCTTCTTGGCGTCCTCACGCTGGGAGACCTCCTTGAAGGTGTCGTTGGAGACGGCACCCTTGAGACCCTCGAGCTCGAGAGTGTAACGGGTGGGCATCAAGTGGTTGTAGTTGACGACCTTGATGAAGGGCTTGATGCGGCTGCGCTTCTCGACGGTCTTCTTACCCATGCGGCGGGTGACCTTGAGGGGGTAGCGCTCGATACCGGCGACGATGGCGTAAGGGAAGGGGTGCGCCTTGGAGCCAGTGTCGTTAGGCTGGACAATGACGACCTGTCAAATCGCAAAAAAAGACCCTCGTCAGCATATATCCAGTGTGATTCCAAGCCGACCAAATGATATTCCTCGTTCTTGATGTCGCAGTTGTCGCCCTCGTCCGATCGTTCGACCATTTGCCTCCACGCAATTCTTCCCACCGAAACTCCCGGCTCTTTTCACTTCTCCATTTTCGCAGACGAGACGTAGTTCCACATCGATTCCGTTGTCCTCCGTATACATGGGTATTCCAGCGCCAGAAAAACAAGTAGATTGTTGTCGTACCTTCTTACCGGCGTAACGGCCACGGGTGATGATGGCCACACGGCCCACTTTCATGACTATCGTAACATCCTGTCAGTTTTTCGATCGACGACGCGATAACAAAAATCGAGATGAGGCGGCATTTCACTAACACTTCATTGTGAAGGTCCCGGTGAGCGGCAGGTCGATGGGGTGGTTGTCGAGATGCTTCGGTCGAGTGAGTGAGGTTCTCCGCGTTCAACGGTCTATTTTTTTTGAGTGAAGAGGGCTCAGGGCTTTGTGTGCCCGCACTCCATTGGTCACCTTACCGACTGATGGCTACTAGGCTGTTCTGGGTAAGCGCTCCCAAAGTAGCTTAGCGCCCGAGACGCTGGGCAGTTGGTTGCCTGAATATGCCTCAGGCGGCGACTTTCGATCTTTCGATGCGATTGCGTCAGGCCGTCAGGCCGTTCGAGCAAACTCAACAAACCCAACAAACTCACGCTCACCGCCTCCATCCCCAGCCACCTCTAGAAGGCTTGGCTGATTGTTTACGGGACAACCAGCCAGGGCATCGGTTGCTATGAGGCTATCCTTGATGTGTACGCCGCACATTGGACCGAACGGCGGTTGATGCCCCATGAGCTACCAACTACTCCCAGCCTTCAACTCCACTTCCATGGTCGAACTGCCCGCTATATTAACTGATCACCTCGGGAGTTTATTCCTTTTCCCCCCGAGTTTTGCCAATTTTGCTAGTTTCGCCAGTTTCGCCAGTTTCGCATCTTGTCCGCGTTTGTCGCATTGCAGTTGTTGACGTTGTTGCTGTTGCTGTTGCTGTTTGCTGTTGTTCCTTGCCGCCGTTGTTTCCCCAGTCCTCCCCCGCCCTCGTGCCCTTTCAATTGTAGCCAGCGCATTTGCTTTCAGTCTCCATTTTCCTGTCGTTCCTGCTTTCGTGATACCTGCTCTTACTGCGCGCTTCTTACCCAAGACACAATTGCCCATTTGCTTTTCTTGCGCGATTTGACGACCTGCTATGCCTTCACGACCTTGACTTGCGGCGCATTTTTCATGATCATAGCTCCTTCTCACACATTGCGGATATCCATCCATCGATCCACTTTCCGCTCAGACATCGACAGACACACACGCCACTTGCTCCACCCCTCCCTGGAACAAGTGAAATTGAAAGCTCATCATGCCTTCACACAGTCGTGAGAATTCTCATGACCGAGAACTGGTGCTGAGACATCAGTCCGTGCCCATGTACGTGCCAACCCCGTGCCCTGAAGTGGGGGTCTCCGAAGATCCTCAAGTTTCATCTCATAAAGCGATGGATGACTGACCTTGGATTCGTGGAAACGAAGGTGGGACAGTTCGGATCCCGAACGGGCACCCCCTCCGCTACCCATGAACCCCAGTTCTACCAGCCCTGTGACCAGATCGAATGTCTCCCCAGGCATTCAAGCCGCAGCGGCCAACTTCGCAGAAAAGATACGCGAAAATGCTCCTAGTCCATACACGACTAATCCCATGCCACCTAAATCACCAGAGAAGTCCCTCATCAAAGGCCAATTTCATAAGCGTATGCAATCATTTCAAAATAACACAGATGCTCGGTCCGAGTTCCTCAATTACCTGGAGAACAGGTCGCCGGAGCGGCCCCAACGGGCCTCAACCTTCGAGCCAGGATCCAAGTCGCTGGAAAAGTCGGCCTTGAATAAGACGCCCAGTTCGCCAGATTTCAGAGAGCCTGACCGAGACATGCCTAGCCTTCTCATTTCCAACCGGTATCTCTCCAGACCGATCCTTGGAGAGAGTACTCCACCTTCGGCAACCATGCTAGCACTGCAGAACATGCAATTACCCTTGGAGAGTGATGCACCACAGAAGCTCATCGAGTCGGACCCATTTGTGGGGCCCAAGCGCCCTGATCCCTATTCCTTCGAGTCCTTGTCTACCCAAATCCACAGTCTCACGGATATTGCCAGCAATCTTCAGCGCGAGATGGCTCAGTTGAGCCGACGGAGTAAAGACAATGCCACCGACCTTGTGAGTCTCAAGGCCGCCACCAACGCCCGAGATGAAGACATACGAAAAAGCCTCCGTGATCTGTCATCTAGCTTGGCCTCGAAGTTCCTTGATTCTGAGGCTGCCACAAGGTGGGATTTCAGTTCTCTACCGGGTTCTGAGAATGGTATTAACAACAGGGAACCGGACAGTTCTCCGAACTCGAAAAAGAGCTACGCGGGACCGCGAATGTCTAGTCCTAATCCTTTCGCCGCAGCGATGGAACGCGAATTGTGCGGATCACCCACACCAATTTCCGATGGCTCTGCAAGTATCGCACTGCTGGAGAAAGTCCTGCGAGAGATGGCGACGAAAGAGAATCAGGACAAGCTTTTGGAAGTCGCGGAAGAGATCAAAGCTAGGCCCATATCGGAGGCGTCCGGTAACCCGAATGATGGCGCTGTAACGACTATGCTAGAGGAGATTCTAAGTCTTGTTAAGGATGAAGCTCAAAGCAAGGCTTTGGTTCGCTCACACGCCCGCGAGCTCGACGATGACGAACAGGCAAACATCCAAAACAGCCTGGCTCGTTCAAAATCTATGGGCGCAGAAGACATGACAGCCAACCCAGAGCGCGCTCTTATCCCCATGGATGATCACCGCACGGAGGAGATGCTTGCTATAATGAAGATCGTAAAGAACAGCGTCATTGAAGGGGGCGGCATGACCAACCAAGTGAAAGCCCTGGTACGAGAATTGCGTGGAGAGGTTCTAGGAATGGGCAGAAACTTGGCCCGCCAAATTGAAGAAGCCGAATCCTCTCGAGCTATCGAAGACAAGCCTAGCGGTCTTCAGAAGGAAGAGGTTGCTGCGATCATTGAAAATAGCCTCCACGACCTCAGAGGACAGCTAGCATCGATCATCGAAGACAGCAAGTTCCATGCCTCATCGCTCTCTGACTTCCGAGCTAATGTGAACGATGAACAAATTTACTCCATCATCAAGCAAGCCCTGGACGAGCTAGACTTCTCGCAATTACGGCCCGAGCCTCAAGGGCCCGTACTGGAACGGGATGACATCCTCGAGACAGTGAGAGAAGCGTGGGAATCGTACAAGCCTGAAATCGAACTGCAGAACTTTGGCTTGGAGCGAGACGAGATCCTTGAGTGCCTCTCAGAAGGTCTGAAGGATTATAAGCCGCAGCACGAGGAGGCTGTTACCTACGATCAGGTGCTCACAGCTGTTCAAGCTGGTATGCAGAGCTTTGAGCAACCGCCAAGCATCACGAAAGAGGAAATCGTACAAACGATTCACGATTGCCTCGCAAACTTTGAGCCTCCGGCTCCTCCAGCCCTCGGACCTGAGCACCTTGATGGGATTCGCGAAGAGATACTGCAGGCAGTTACCGAATCTGTTACGTCCCAGAGTGCCTTGAGTAGAGAATCTCTTGACTCAGGGCTTGGCCGCGATGAGATCTTAAGTGCCTTGTCAGAGGGCCTCGAGGCGCACTTCGCTTCAACCAAGGCTACAGAACACCCCCACATCACCAAAGAAGATGTGGCTGATGTATTCAACGAAGCATTTGCTGCCCATCAATCGGCCCTCACCACCAACGTCCAGCCGAGTGTCTCCCGCGACGAGATTCTCAATGCCATTGCAGAAGGAATGGAAAGCCAGAATGCTGTCACGCGTGAAATTGAGCTCAACCGAGACGACCTAATGGAAGCTATCTCCGCTGGCTTACAAGAAGCAAACGCTGCAAACCAGAATTCTGGCGACCAGATGCTCGAACAACTTCAAGAGCACCTCGATGGCATGAAAGAAGAACTGAGCCACCACCTTTCAACGAACGAGAGAGACAGCGAGCAACTGCTCAATGCTATCAAGGATGGTATTGCTGTTGTGCGACAGGAGTTGGAGGGGTACGCTGCCACTGCAGCGGAGTCTTCTGCGAAGCACGAGATCATGGACACAGTCAAAGAAGGTTTCCGACTGTTGCAGGCTGATATGGAGAAGACCATAACAGAAACTGCTCTCTCTAACAGTTCTCGCGGCAATCCTGATACTCCCGAGCTTCTTGACGCCATGGAGAAGGAGTTCGAACACCTCCGACAGACTATGAGCAATCTTCTTATTCGAAGCAACGTGTCCACCGAGAAAGATGAGATCCTAGATGCGATTCGTGACATTTCTGACCAGCAAAAATCGTCGAGCAACGAGGAAATCACCAAAATAATCAAGGAGCAGATTGAAGAGCTTCGTGACACCATGAATATGAGCCTTGTTCGCGCGGAACCGACGGAGCCAGCAGAGCCCACTGAAAAGCATAGCGACAAAGAAGATATTATCGCTGCGCTGCGTGAGAGTCTCGACAACTTCCGCGGGGAGAATAATCAGCCCAAGGATGCGGGTGAAAATCTGCTTGCGGCCACTAGCGAAATCATTGATACAGTCAACAACGGTTTTGGTACAATAAAAGAGGATCTTGCAAAGCTCTTGGAGACACCAGTGGAATTTGATCATTCCGAGCTTCTCGACACGCTGAAGGAAGGCCTTAGCAGTCTCAAAGCGGACGTTGAAATGCTGCGTCAGTCTCATACGGAGAGTCATATATCGAATGACGAGCCAGAAACAACTCGCGGAGGGGAATTGATGCTAGCCAACGTTCCAAGCGAGCCCATCAATCCCGGTACGAGTAACGACTTTGAGGCACTGAAAACCTTGATTTCACAGCTTCAGACCAAGGTTGAGGCTATTGAAGGTGCTCCTAGAAGCAGCGAGCTTCCGGAAGACATCGTCAAGAAGGAGCATCTTGATGAAGTCCTTCTTGGCCTGCACGAGCTTCAGAGCGCTGTAACAGGAATTGTTGCCCGCGACCAACCTGCGGACGAGACAACGGCGAAAAAGGAGGACACGGACGCTATAGAGACATTGCTCCGCAACACCAAGTCTCAGCTAGACGAGATGAAGTTTCCGGCTGCAGATGAGATTGCCAAGGCAGAGCAACTGCAAAGCTTGGAAGCAATTGTTGCAGAGACGAAAGAAGCCATTTCCGAGCTTTCCACCCGCATAGAATCGGAAGGCCCGACAAAAGCCGAGATTGGGACGCTTGAGACGCTCATGAAGGACATGTGGATTGCCCTGGATGAGTTGAAGGGCAGAGCAGCGCCCGAAGAAGAAAACGCCGAGAAATTGGTCAAGGCAGACTTGCAGACTGTTGAGGCGATGATCTTCGAGGTCAAGACCCAGGTTGAGGAACTCAAGTTGCCAGACGTCGAGACATTGCCGACGAAGACGGAAATCCAAGATCTGACCGCGCTTGTCACAGAATTCCGCGAAAAGGTCGATGCTGATAATGAGATGACTGGCCAGGCTTTTGATGCACGGAAAGTGGAACATGCAGGTCTCGCAGAGAAAATCGAAGAGGCCAGGGCCGTCGTCGAGGGCCTCGGTGACGAGCTTAAGAGTAAGCTTGATGGCAGTGACCAAGGGCTCGCTGAGCTCAGGCAATTACTTGAAGGTCTTGCAGTGTCTGCAGAAAGCTTCACCACCGTCGAGAACGTGAACGAACTCACCGAGCTCATCAACCGGGAATTCGAGCGGGCGCGGGGTGAACAGGATGCAACCAAGCTGGAGAAAGAGGAGCGAGACGCTGCTGCCATGGTCAAGCAGGATGAGACCCGAGCAGCCATCATTGTCGAGCTGGGCTCGAAGATCGACGAGAAGCTCGGAGAGGTCATGGCGAAGTATGATGAGGTCCACGCCGCCATGGACACTGCTCTGGACTCTAAGTTTTCTGAAGCTGCAGATCGTGACAATGCACACCTTGAGGCAGTCACGAGCACCAAGGCTCTGGCAGAAGATATCAAGCTTGTGATCGGGTCCATGGGCAACAGCGTCACTGAAGCTTGCGAGCGCATGACTGTCGACGCCCAAACGTTCTTCGAGAAGGTCGACGAGTCTTACAACAAGATGGAGGAGATGCACAATCAAGTGAAGACGCAGCAGGAGCAAGCTCGATCAGACCTCGAGAAAGCTGCTGCTGCCACCGATCGCGTGGAAAGCCAACTGCATGAATTCCACCCACAAGTGCTTGAATCCATTCAGCAAATCCTCGCTATCGTCGGGCAGCACTACGACCATTCGCAGAAATCTGCGCAGGAGATCCGGATGGACCTTTCTACGATCCCTTCCACAATCACCCCGCTGCTCCCAGCCCTACCGCCACCGGAGCCCGAGAAGTACGACGACACCCCTGTTCAAGAGAAGCTCAACAATCTCCTTGAACATGCCAAGAATAATCAGGTTCAAGAGACACTGAGCACCCTTATGGAACGGGTTACCAATGACCAAGTCCACGAGAAACTGGATCAGCTTCTAAGTCAAACTACAAGTACCAATGGTCAGGTCTACGAAAAGCTCGAAGAGCTCCTTGGCCACGCTACCAACTCCAATGCGCCGGTCCATGATAAGCTGGACACTCTGATCGACCATGCCACCAACACCGACCAATCCGTTAATCAGATGATGAAGCTTGACGAGATGCACAAGGATATTATGGAGACCTCTCAAAGAATGAACGAGATGTTCGCAGCCCAATCCGCCATGATCGCGGAAGACAATGAGCGACGGCGAAAGGAGGCTGAAGAGGCAGCGATCGCTCTTGAAAGACGAAATGCACAGCGGGAGCAAGTGGAAGCCGAGATCGAAACCCTCCGTGAGGAGAAGGACTCTCTCCTAAACATCATCCACAGCCTCAAGTCCGAGAAGGACAACCTTATCAAACAGACCACGAAACTGAACAAGGAAGTCGCTGGCTTGGAGATGGCTCTCGAGCTTCGTCATGAGGAGATGCAGCTCATGGAGGACCGCGCGGATAGCCTGGAGAAGCGGATCCTGGAAGGTGTCCTGGACCATGCTCGGAGTGTTCTTCTTAGCCGGCCCAACAGTCTGAATATGAAGAAGGCGCGTGGATCACGAGCTCGAGGTCCCAGTGCTGCAAGTACCGCCAGTACTGCGAAGGATGTCCGCAGCTTTCTCGGCAGCAGCGTTGGAATGGCGCTAAAGAAGCGAGGCCCCGCTGGATCGCGGGCCGGATCTGGGGCGCCTCCCACCAACAGCAAGGAAAGACGCATTCTCAGTCTCAGCAACGTGACTGGGAATCGAGGCGCTGGAGATCGACATGTGAGCGCAAGCAGCGGGTTCACGGGTCTCAAACGTAGCCATTCCGTCAAATCCAATTTCTCCCAGCGGAAAGCCTCATGGGGCGGCAAGAGCTCCGTCGCTAACAAGGAGAATGAAGTGTTTCCAGAAGAGGATGAGAATCTGAGCGAGGACGGGAGCGATGCAGGGACCGAGCGAAGAACCAGCTACACAGGGACCTATGCAGACAGCATGGTCTATGGACCCGGTAGTGTGGTCTCCGGCGCCGATCGACGGGTAAGCGCCACTAGCTCAGTTGGCCCACGGTCCGTAGCGGACGATCACGACGAGGGGAAAAGTGAGGCATCGGAGGTTGACGATGATGCTCAAACGACGAGGGCAGATGACCCTGAGGAGTCCGAGGTGGGTGAAGAGGACTTTGAGGATGATGAAGAATTTGATCACCCGCTCAAGTTGGACGAGCAGTCTTCGAAATTGGTGGTTTATGGGCAGCACAGTGACAGTGGTATTGGACCCGAGGTCACAAGTGTTGCGGCATGAAGTCCCGTGGAATGACCTTTTGTCACTCGTTTTCTTTTGTACCCTGTTTGACCCCGAGGATTCACGTCGCGTGATGTTGATGTTGATTCTTCATGAGCATATACTACGACGATACTATAACTTACTGCACACCCACTCCAGCGTTGGATTAAGCCGAATGCTCCTGTTTGAAGAGATCGTTTTTAGAGGAGGATGAAGGATGATGGTGATGATGATGTTGGAAACGGTTTCTTTTGTACTTTGTACTTTGTACTTTGATTTCTTTTGTGATGAAGTATCATAAGCGATAGTCCCTCAACTGTTCCTAGTTTAAATGAACGGAAATGAAGCACATCATTAAGTAAATCAATGAAAGAAAGAAAGAAACGGATCACATGCTCTTAAAACCCCCCCTCCCCCCATAGCTGCTGAGTCAGCCTTCTTCTCCTTCCCCAACAGAACCAGAATCAGGCCAAAAAACAACAATGGGGGGCGGGCGGTATTTATTGCATGCATTGACCGGAATTTGCTGCAATAACCATGTACTGTCCAGTCCAGTCCAGTCCAGTCCTGAGCATGACCCCTGATGCTCAAACTCTCCATTGGAGACTTAAATATGGTTCAGGGCCTTCTTCCTTGCTTCTAGTTGAGTCTAGTCTAGACCGACTAGTCCATTGACTACTACTAATTTAGTCTCCGTCTCCACCTCCGTCTTCCTTCCTTCTTCCCCCCCTCTCCATCTCTCCGAACTACTCTCTCGCTTTCCTCTTCCTGTTCTCCTCAATCACACTATTGACATAGCCCCTCCCTTGTCAAGTCTGGGGCGTGGTCAACAGCCGGAATGTTGGACCCATTTCCCCCGCCGCCAGAATGGCTGCGTGAAGTTGTTGAGCCCTGGGCTCTCTACCTGAACGTGCCCGCTGTGACCGAACATGCCCACGAGATCATCTTGTCCTTCACCGGCTACCTCTTCATCCACTACATCCTCTCCCCCTGTCTCTCTCCGTTGCTCTTCCCACGCCATTACCCCAAGCTGAGCCCGCGCACTAAGCTCAACTGGGATGTCCATGTCGTGTCTCTGGTGCAGAGCACCTTCATCAACGCCATGGCCCTGTGGGCTATGTGGGTGGACGAAGAGCGATCCTCCATGAACACCGCCGAACGGGTCTACGGCTACACAGGAGTCTGTGGATTGGTCTCCGCCTGCGCTGCTGGCTACTTTGTCTATGACTTGATCGTCAGTACCGTCTACATCAAGATGTTTGGTGTCGGAATGCTGTTTCACGCCATTAGTGCCCTGTGGGTGTTCAGCTTCGGTTTCGTACGTACATTTCTCGTCTATTTTCTGAACGCTGTAGCTCACTCCGAACTAATTGTTTCATTTTCTGACTGCAGAGACCTTTCGTGAACTACTACTCCTCCGTCTTCATCCTCTACGAGCTCTCCAGCCCTTTCCTCAACATCCACTGGTTCCTTGACAAGGTTAACATGACCGGCAGCAAGCTTCAGTGGTACAACGGCATGATGCTCCTCTTCACCTTCTTCAGCTGTCGTCTTGTCTGGGGTACCTGGCGATCCGTGGACGTCTACAGAGATATGTGGTACGCCCTGAAACAGACCTGGGATGCTACTGACGTGGCCACCGCGCTCAACCAATCTGTCGATATCACCGCCCAGGTGTTCCGGACCCACGACGCCTCTCTCAGCGGTAGCCTGGATGGAGCCCGTGCCCAGGCCCAGCTTGAGCTCTCCAAGTATGCCAATCACACCGCCACCGGTACACCAACCTGGCTGGTGCTGACCTACGTGATCTCGAACGTGGTCCTCAACTCCCTCAATTACTTCTGGTTCTCCAAGATGGTCGAGACCGTCCTGAAACGGTTCCGCGGACCCGCCGCTGGCGAAAAGGAGAAGGGTTCCAAGGGAGCCGTGACGGACTCCACGAAGGCAGAGAAACTTGAGCAACTGAAGGAGGACATTGCTCAGCAGGTTGTCTTGGAGGCTGCTTCGAAGCTGGAGCAGGAAGAAGGCAGCCCTTTCTTGGAGGATGTATCCGAGGAGAAGCTTGCTTCCGCCGTGGATACGGGTCTCGCAGAGGAATTGAGAAAGAGGAGGGCTCATGTGGCCGCCGCATAGAGAATATCCCGCTCCCCCCCTCCCCATTAGGGGCCTCCATTCACGTCTGATTCTCGACATCATCTTCAACTTGTCTCTATATTACAACAAACGAGACGATACGAAGAGAACCCCTTGTCCCAACTCACCTCGGCCTAAACCCACTCTTATACAGGGAAATCGTTTACATTTTTTAGCTTTATCCTTCCCGGGCTCTTACAGTTCCACATCATCGCATTTATGACTCTGTTCGTGGTCGCATTGCTTACTTATTAATCCCATGCTCTTAATATCTTTCCAACTCGACTGATTCAGCGAAGTGTCCTGTTCCCTGTATCAAATTTCTTTGTCCCATGCTGTGATCCGAGTTCATGCAAGACGGGATGGTACGGTGTTATGAGGTCTGTCTTTCTGTTGCTCTTTTTCTCCATGGGTTCAGATGATTCATGCCGTGTTACGTGACTCAAACGCAGAGATTATATCTTTATCAATGTCTTCGCATCCCAATTGGTGCAAGTCTTTCCAACCCCGAGATAGAGCAAGGAAGAGAGCACTAGAGCACCGTAATCCACGTGTTACCGCACCCTTTATAAAGATTTTTTGCCCAGACTGTGCCTGTTTGCCTGAAGTAGGTGTTACACATACCGGAAAACAACCCGGGAGAAACAAACCATGGAAGACATTTTCAGTTGACATTAGATAAATGGCCAAAGGAGAAGTTGAAGAGAAAAAAAGTCACCGACTTTAAGCATCCCGGATGAGAAAAGTCCAAACACCACGTAAGCGCCCCTCCCCCGCTCCCTTCCCCTTGAAATCAAACAGTTAGATAGATCAGAGAAGCTTTGATTCTTTGCCCGGATGTGAGTCCGCAAGTAGAAACGTGAAGATGGACGATGTCATAGACAGGAACCTTATTGGGTGATTGGTTAGCTTATCTTGTGAGGGCACAGGATCCTGTGAGGAAGAGCAAAAAGAGAGAATTCAAGATATCAGGAATGTTACGTGAGTAAAGAATCGTGTTTTGACAGCATGCACAACTTTCTTGTGTGTCTGAGTGAGCTGGGTAAACGAGGTATTCATCATCGGAGAAGGTGTGTGTGACACCTTTTAAGTAGAAAAGAGAAGAAGTAAATCATACATACCAATCTTTCTCATTGAAAAGGAAATTTACACACAAAATCCCCAATAGAGGGTATGATAAGAAGGCTTTTCAGAGAGCCCTCCCCATGGCCGCCTCGGGTCTGGCAAGCATATAGCGCACCGCTTCCCTCGCGACGGGGGTGTCCCACGCCCCATCGGTGCCGCCTCTCCGGAACTCCGGCCCGCTGGCGTCCTCGCCGCCGCCTCTCGTGGCCTCGCCGAGGATGGTCTCGAGATCCCTCCGCTGGCTGTTGACCCAGCGGCGGAGGAAGGTGGCGGGATCCTTGCTCAGGGCCGTGAAGAAGGAGTGGCGGGCACGCGAGTGCGTCAGAGCCTGCACGATGAGCGCGACCTGGTCGTCCAGCGTGGAGATGTGGCGCATGGCGGCGGTGTACTGCGGGTTCTGGGTAAGGGCGAGCATCTTGGACCGCAGGGGGTCCTCCAGGGCGACTTGGATGTCGTAGACGGTGGGGGTGGGGTCGTTGTGGTAGTCGGCGTCGACGCGGATGGTGTAGGGGAGTTTGATGGGGTCGATCGGGCTGGTATGCGGGCCGATGCTTTCGGGAATCTGGGGGAAGAACATTTGGTCCCGACCGAAGATCTGGATGGGAAAGTATGGTTTAGTATTGGGAGCTGATGGCATGGGGAAGAAGTAGGGTGGTGTGGGGCCTGAACATGAAAGGAGAAGAGGGAACATACCGATCGTAGGCGGTGGTCACAGCGTACCAGCCGCTTCTCTTCATCCTCCTGCAGGCCCATGGCGCGGATGTAATCCCATATGCCAAGAACAATGCCACTGCGAGTTTCCTCCTCCACATCCAGCACCTCCGCCAGCTCCTTGCTCAGCTTATATCGCTCTGGTGTCTCGTCACGCACTAGGCTGACCGTCACGTTGAGGTTCTCCTGCGATGCGCGGGAGAACTGAATGGAATCGAAGTCTGCGGTGGGAGGAAGCGTAACGGCGTTTGGGGGTAATTGCGGCTTATTCCAGGTGATAGGCTTGACATCCTCCGGGTTCGTGGTGGCCGGTCTGTCGAAATCGATCGTGATGGATTTGAAGAAATGCGAGAAGCGCTGCTGAGACCGCTTCTTTGACGCTGCGGGCTTTGTCTTGGTCTTCGGAGCCCCGGGGCCATCCTGCTCCATCGCGTCGCCGTTCGCATCGGCGGATTCGTCTACACCAGCCTGCTCCTCGTCGCTGTCCTCCGAAGCCGTCGGGTCGCTGTCGTCATCCAGCAAACGTCCCTCGATGCGTACCTTATATCGCCCGGACCCAGGATTGCTGGCACCGTTCTGGCCCGAGGCATTCTGCCACGGTTGGTTCTCGACCGTGTTGGATATCCAAATGCGCATGGTGCGGTATTTCTTCACGGTCTTGCTGATGGAATCTTGAATATCGAGTCTCTTGCGCACGATGGCCGCGTCCAGCCGTTTCTCGAGGTCGCGAAGGCTTTTGTATTGCTGAACACCTTCGCCAATAACCACTTCTTCGATTCCCTCCGGAATGTTCCTGTCTGTGGGTTTGCGACTGCGACGAAGCGCGGCCTCGTTGGCAGCGTTGGCCGCCATCATATTACGATGTTGCTGAGGAAGGAGTTGAGGGGGAACGCCGTGTTGAGCCATGGGGGCAGCAGGCATTGGTACTATACAGAGTTAGAATGCATGTCTTAATGAAAGCATTGGGGCATATTGGGGCTAGAAGGCTAGAGAAGACATGGCAGGACAAACCTTGTGCTTGAGGGCCGCGACGAGGCGTGGCAGGAGACCGTTGGGCGGCCTGTGGTGGGAACCCACGCCCATAATTGGGAGGGATAGGAGCGCTCATGGCTGGTGGCATCTGCGCTAACACGTCTGCAAGGGTAAAGCTGGAGTGGAGTCTAAGGAGGGGAGGGAAATGGTTGACGCGAAAGCCCTGCGGCGATGGAAGGTGAAGGCGCGCGGGCGAGATGAAGTGGATGTTCTGGGCGGATAGACAGAGGAAGTTGGAGATTTGGAGAGTCAGTCGCGATTCTTTCGCCGCGGTCACGCTTTACCCGTTTCGGATGCTTTCCAGCAACACCAACCACCACCACCACTTCAACAACTCAACTACAAACAAACAACACATCGAATAATGACTGCCTTGTCATCAGGTATTTGTAGTACTATATCATTGCTCGAACATAAATCAATAAGCCTCTACCTGAGTCTACTCCAGCAGCGATGCTTGATTAGTGTACAGCTCTTCCACCACATTGCTCAGCTTGGCAATGGTTTCTAGAGCAGCGTCATATGCCTGATCACGCTCCGTCTCGTCAAAGACAATCAGGCATCCGGCTCCTTGATCTAACACTCCAATGATAACCTTGTCCAAGATCATCTGTGAAAGCTTCCTCTCCACCTGCTGCGTGTCCAGTCCCACCATCTTGGCAATGTGGTCAAGCTCAACTCGGCTGAAGGGTTCGATAACCTTGATGAGATTCTGCTCCAACATGGCATCGTACAATCTGCGAAGGTGGTTGCGGATGAACGCATCACTACCCAACTCAAATCTGTAGTCCGACAAAGCCTTCTCGTACTGCTCGAGGGACCGGTCCGCGTGAGCACGTGCCACGGCCTTCATGGCCTCCAATCGCGGGCTAGCATACTTCTGAGCCTGCTTAGATCCCAGCAGGTTCGTGACATCATCCACCAGGTTCAACATAATTTTGCACAGCAACATGTACTGGAGAGCAGCTGTTGCCTTCTCGCCCTCGTCGAGAGAGCTGTAACCCTCCAGCGCCTCGATGAAGTACGAAAACGATGTGTTGAAGTCCTTGTCTTCTGCATGGAGCATACCGCTCTGCATGTCCAGGCCGGCTTGCAGGTTGGGAGGAGTGTAGACCGAGGCGGCAGATGTACGGGCAGCCGTCAGGGCAGCACGTGCCTTGGCCTGGTTGCCCAATGCATGATAGACGCGCGACTCCAGCAGCTGTACTTCGACCAGCATGAGCTTGTCGTCCAAACGCTTCAGCTCGCGGAGAAGAGAGTTAATGAGGGTGAGAGCATCGTAGTAGGTTTGTTTCTGCATATAAATGGCCACCAGCCGGGTTTCAAGGTTCTGGCGAAGGAATGATCTCCGCTCTGCGACGGCCCAGTCGATACAGGACTTGATGACGGCAACTTGAATATCGAGGGTGTTCGGGATCTCACTGAACAGGTCCAGCAGCTGGCGGACTTTTGAGATGAACAACAACCGTCAGCCCTTTGTGCACACATATTTAACCCGAAGATATTAGCTTACCCAGCTTGGCTGTCTTTGCCTTGGCGAATGAAGAGAAGGAATCACGGCTTGTCTTGATCAGTTCGGCAATCTCCTGCGGCTTCTTCTGGTCCCGGTAGACCTCTCCCAGCGAGACCAGGGCATTTTCATAATCCCGCGACGAGGCCTCGGTCGAGCCGGGACCTTTAGAGAGAATCTCCTTGAGGGTGCTTTCAGCTTTGGCAGGGTCGTTCTTTGCAAGAGTCCGGGCTTCCTCTATCCGCCCAGCAGTTGTCGGAGAGGGCGCCATGGCTGAAGACGGTGCTGTGATGGGTAGGAAAAGGCGAAGGTCGGAACAAGTAGTGACAAGGTAGAGCCAATGAGTAAGTATCTATCAGCGCAGTGTGTAAGGAAGGCTAAAAAGCCGATGGGAGATGAGATGGGGAGGGTATAGTGGACGATGGAGGACAGGAAGCTTACAGGTTTGGCTATCGTCACTCGCAGGCCGAGCTGCAGCTGCCGCTCTCACCGCCCGCGGCTTGGCGAGCCAACCACAATCGGCTTTAACCCGCCCGCCGATGGAAAAAAGATTCCCAGAAATTTTATGTCCGACTTGGATTTCTCTTTTTCACGTTTCGGTCCCAAGGAATTTGTGAGAGCGCCATGGTGAGTATTCCTGGTTTGGATTGCTGAATCTTTCAATCGGACAGTCACTAACATATGTCCTACAGAAAATCAAAGCTCTTTCTCGTCCCACTTCCTCTCAGCAGGCTCCGGGAAGTGCTGTCGTTCGACAGCCTCGAAACCTCGACCCGGCACAGCATCCTTTTGAGCGCGCCCGGGAATACACTCGCGCTCTGAATGCTACCAAGCTAGAGCGTCTGTTCGCTGCGCCCTTCTTGGGCCAACTGGGCGACGGTCATGTGGACGGTGTGTACACATTGGCCAAGGATCCAGGCTCTCTGGAACGGTTCGCCAGTGGTAGCGGTGATGGTGTGATCAAGGTCTGGGATTTGACTACGCAGGGAGAAGTGTGGGAGACTCAGGCGCATGACAATATTGTCAAGGGTGTATGCTGGACCCCCGACCGGAAGCTTCTTTCTTGCGCCAGCGACAAGACCGTCAAACTCTTCGACCCATATAACTCTTCCTCCGAGGCCCCGCCACTAGCCACCTATCTTGGGCAGGGTGCCTTCACTTCCGTCACGCATCACCGTGATCTCCCCCACTTCGCTGCCGCGTCGTCCCAAATCTCGATCTACGATCTCTCTCGCCCCTCCTCCACGCCGTCTCAGACCCTTCACTGGCCTACGAATGTTGACACGATCACCTCGATTGCCTTCAACCAGACAGAAACCTCCATTATCGGCTCTACCGGTATCGATCGCTCTATCATCATGTACGACCTTCGCACCTCGTCGCCCCTCACGAAGATGACTCTCCGCCTGGCGTCGAACGCGATTTCTTGGAACCCGATGGAAGCGTTCAACTTTGCCGTGGCGAATGAGGATCACAACGTCTACTTGTTCGACATGAGGAAGATGGACCGCGCGTTGAACGTTCTCAAGGATCACGTTGCTGCTGTGATGGATGTGGATTTCAGCCCGACTGGTCAGGAGCTGGTCACGGCCTCCTACGACAAGACGGTGCGCTTGTGGAACCGGGCTACGGGCCACTCTCGCGACATCTACCACACACAGCGCATGCAACGGTACGTTAACACACACACCATGTCTTGGTACTTTTGACTCTTTTCACTAACATCTTCGTGCAGTGTCTTCTCTGCCAAGTTCACCCCCGACAACAAGTACATCCTGTCGGGCTCCGACGACGGAAACGTCCGCCTATGGCGCGCCAATGCTTCCGATCGCAGCGGCATCAAGAGTGCCCGTCAGCGAACCAAGCTCGAGTACGACCAAGCTTTGATCCAGAGATACCAGCACATGCCCGAGATCAAGAGAATCAGGCGCCAGCGCCACGTCCCCAAGCCGATCAAGAAGGCCCGCGAGATCAAGAGAGAGGAACTGAACGCGATCAAGAGACGCGAGGAGAACGTCCGGAAGCACACCAAGAAGGAGAACCTGAAGAAGAGACAGAGCGAGCGCGAGAAGATGATCCTAGCCCGGGAGCAGTAGATCGGGCTCCATCATATATCTTGCGCTTTCCCTTGGGTCCTTGCTCGCCTTGGGAGATTGTCTGGGCAGTCTTACGCTCTACGCTCTCGCCTGAGTGGAAGAATCTGTCTTGATTATATACATCGCGTGGCTGGTTCCACATCCTTGAAATATTCATCTATGGCTGTCCGATCCCCCCCGCCCCATCATTACATCAGTCTTTGTCTACGGAAAGCGGCTCGCGTTGCTGTGGTTGTTCAGTCAGTGGCGCAGTGGTGGCTGACGGTTCCGTCTGGGACGAGGAGGCTTGCGCGACGGCGCTGTCGATCCCGCTCATATACCGCGCCAGCCGTTGCAGGCCTGCCGGCATCATGGCATACCAGTTAACCAGCATCGCAAAGGTGGGCAGTCGGATCACAGCGCCTCTCCCGCTGTCGATCGCGGACACGATCTCCTGCGCGACGTGGATCGGCTCGAGAACGGGCGCAAAGAAGCTGTTGGGCGTCTGGACCGATTGGAAAAGCGGCGTGGAGATTTGCCCGGGCTCCACGAGGATCATCTTCACCTTGTCATCGTCACCGGACGCGCGGAGCTCTGCTTCCAGCGTGCGATGCACGGCGCTCAGCCCGGCTTTACTGGCCGAGTAGTCCGCCAGCCCCGCCGCGCACAGCTGGCCCAGAACCGAACTGACGGTGACGATGGTCCCGCCCGTGGCGGCGGACAGCATCCGCGGCAGGAAGACCTGGTAGGCATGGAAGGCCGCGAGCAAGTTGGTCCGGATGGTTTTCTGGAACGCTTCCGCGGGGATATCTCGGAGCGATTGACCGTTGATACGAGCGGCCGCACAATGAACCAGTACTGTCGGAGTTCCCAGCTAGAAATAAGAAAAAAAAAGAAGAATCATCATGTCAGCAAAACCAGTACCATCCTCGTAGAGCATGTGGCCCAACCTCACTCCCTTCCACACATTCAGTCGTAGGAAGAAAGAGAAAACCATACCTCCATCTCCACCCTCCGCACCGTCTCCTCCAACGCCACCCGATCCCCAACATCACACCGATAATACCCCACGGTATCATCCATCCCCTCCATCATCCCCTCCACCTCCTCCGCCCCCTTCACATCCAATACCGCCACACTCACCCCCCTCAACCCATAGATCCTCGCAATCAACAACCCCAACCCGCTCGCCCCGCCCGTGACCACAACCACTTCCTCACTCAGATCCACGCGCCGGGGCTCCCCGTACGCGAACCGGTCGTTCACGCTCTGCAGAACATATAGGGCGGAAAGGAATATCGCGTACCCCGTGGCGACGAGGAACGCCGGCGCGGTGTAGGGCGTGGCTTGGGCGCGGAGGCAGAGCACGAGGATCCAGGCGATGAAGGGGTGGAAGAGCGTACGCGAGAGGACGGCGAGGAGGAGGTCCAGAGTTATCGCTTGCGGACGAGTTTGGGTATTTTGGTCGGAGGAGGGGAGAGGGATCTTGGGGTTGGGGCTGGGGGTGGGGTTGGGGGTGGGGGTCGTTAGGATACGACGTAGTGGTTGGGGTTGTGGTTTGAGGTCGGACATTGTTGGGTTCGGTTTTTCTTTGAATCAGGTGGTTTGGGTGATGGGTTGCTGGGAAAGGATTTGGGAGGAAGTATTATTGTTAGCGCGGCTTCATGGTCAATTGCTGAGATGAGGTGGAAGCGCCGAGGGCTGGGGTTGGGATGCTTGATTGGTTGGTTTAGCTTTGTGGACAACTGGGGTCTAGGGAGTAGGGATATAGCACTACAGCTATATGAAGGTACAGTACCTTGATGTACAGCTGAGCAGGTTCTGTCCGCTGAGTGTGGCTGCGACGCGCGCAATTGTAGTTGTGAGGAAATGTAGCAAGCCCCGAAGAAGAAGGTAGGAGAACTGCTGCGCTGCAACTGCAATCGGGAAACGATAAGCTGGTGGGTGGGCTGGTGGGGCTGCTGCTCTTGGGTTGTGGATTGTTTGACAATCGCAAGTTAACGACGACATATTGTTCTCAGTCTGAGACCAGAATCTTATTCGCAAGACATTATCGAGATTTTATCAGGCAATTGACTTGTCTTAAAGTGTGAACGTGATATTCTATAAACGAGGTAGTCTACACAACCATCCTACGACTTGCCGCGACAGTCACTCAAGAATATACATTGTAACTATTTCGATCCTCGCCCCTCACCCACCCACCCTACACCATGCCACCACCAACTCTGAAACCGGTGCCAATAATCGAGAACGCCCGTTTGCCCGGATCAGACTCAACCTGGGACATCTCCATTGACAACGACCAAGGCATTATCAAAACGATCACTCCGCACAAAGGCGAGTCCTATACCGCAGCTTCCCGCGCACCTCTCGCCCTCCCCGCATTGACGCACCCGCACATCCACCTCGACAAGGCCTACATCCACAACGCGCCCGATTATGCGCATCTCCTCCCCTCCAGTGGCTCGTTTGCCGAAGCGCTATCCTTCACCACCCAAGCCAAGCGACAGTTCACCCAAACCGATCTGCTGAAGCGTGGAGAATGGCTCCTGGCGGGGGCTGTCACCGCGGGGGTCACGGCGATGCGCGCGTTCGTGGAGGTGGACCAGACGGTCGGGTTCACTTGTCTGGACGCCGGCGCCATTCTCAAGGAGATATGGAAGAAGGCTTGCACGGTCCAGCTAGTGAGCTTCGCACAAGATCCCATATTCTCGGGCGAGCATGGCGAGGAGAACCGACGGCTGATGGAAGAGGCAATCCGACGGCCGCAGGTGGATGTGATTGGTACAACACCGTATGTGGAATCGACTGTTGAAGCTGCGAAGCGGAACATCGAATGGGCCGTTGAACGCGGTCTGAAATACGGCAAACACGTGGACTTTCATCTGGATTACAACCTCGACCCGGCAACAGAGGCCCTAGTCTGGTTTGTCCTGCGGACACTCAGAGAAAAGGGCTGGTCAGCCCAGTCGACGCCCAAGCGGGTTATGCTAGGGCATTGTACGCGGCTCACCCTGTTTACCCATGATGAGTGGACGAGGCTTGCGAAAGAAATTAAGGACCATGATCTCCCTGTTAGTTTCGTTGGGCTGCCCACGAGTGATCTATACATGGCTTCTCCTCCGAGCCGAGGTAGTGCAGATCAACCGCGAGGGACTTTGCCTGTAGTGGACATGATTGACAAGCATAAGTTGGACGCTGTGATCGGAATCAACAATGTTGGCAACGCGTTCACGCCATGGGGCTCCGAGGACCCGCTGTCGTTGGCATGCTTGGGGGTGGGGATCTATCAAGCTGGAACCCAGGCGCATGCTGAACTTTTGTATGAATGTGTCTCAACACGCGCTCGTGCAGCAATCGGGCTGTCATCACATGACACCGGTCTTGAGTTGAAATGTGCCAGCTGTGCGGATATCCTGCTGTTCCACGAAGTCGATGAAACAGGCTGCGGGGCAATGAGGCCTCGGCATGGTATCGCAGGCATTGTTTGGGACCCCCCTGCGAAGATGAGCAGGCGTGTGATATCGAGTGGTCGGTTGAATGTTTCTTTGCCTTGCTTCTAATATCCCACATCATGTATCGCGTGGCCCGCTGGGGATCCTGCAGGAAGGACCTCGCCTCACTTGAGTAGAAAAACGAGGCATCTTCAGTGTAAGAGCGAAGAGTGAAGACAAGCACCAACGAAGTCTGATAATCATAAATCGGGCCGCATTGAGTGAAATGCACGCACTCTATTCCCAAAGTCTCGTTCCCATCGGAAGAGCAAATCTAGAATATCTATCAGAGAATATGGATCGTACACAGAAGGCGAAGGATGAAAGGCCTAATGATAGTGATACACATAGAAGTCATATTCACGAGCCCCATATTGGCACGTTCTGTTTCATTTGAGCGCGGATTCGAGCAGGCCCATGCAACGAATGGCTGAACGTTGAACAAGCAGGATCCTCGCTGAGGATATCCAAGTCATCCAGCCCAACAGGCAGCCGGAAGCCGTTGCCGGCGCGTGGATATAGACGATGCTCTTGAAACTGATACTCTGGCTCTTCATCAGAAGTCTCTTCGTATCTCCTTCGGTGAGATGAAGTAGTCGAAACATCCGGTGCAGATGCGGTTGGTGGTCTAGCTGATTCTTCCGCCGAGGTGGCTGCAGAGGCCCCCAGCCCATTTGTCTGCAAGACAGTTCCTTGAACGGAGGTAGAAGTACTCGTCACGGCTGACGAGCCAGGACGGACTGAGAAGTTTGATAACTGGTGGTCCTTCAGATTAGCGGGGAACATTGGCAGGTTCCGATTACCTTCCGATATGTTCATAAGAAGCTCAACAAGTGTTGCATGCGACAAGCCCGATAGAAACCCTCGGCGTTCTTCGACCGAGAAGCCCCCCGCGCTTACTTCAGCTCGAGGGACTATCAAGGAAGAAGTCGGAATAGGGGTTGGCTGTGTTTTCGCAAGGAACGGATTGCTCCTGACAACTGTTGGCTGAACAATGGTAATCGGCACAGGCTTGCATTCCCCACAGAACCATTCTTTCTCTTGGACAGTGACAACCTCTACGCTGATAGGAGGATCGTGGCATAATTGGTGCCAGGCCCCATTGCATTCATCGCAGAATACAATCGCGTTGCTCAGAGGGCTATGGCCCCTCTGGCATCGGGTACAAGTGATGTTACCATCCTTCGCTTTGCGTTGAACGCGCTTACGTTTCCGAGTTGTGGCCGCCGTGGAACCACGCGTGTTGTCCGACGTCTCCAGTGAGTTGCTTGTCTCTTTGGCAGCAGCCGGTAACGAAGGCGGAGGCACATACAAGGAGGGTCGGTTGACCTGTCGGCCAGACTTTGTCTGAGTTGCTGTCGGGGCAACATCAGATTCGTCGCTGCTGGAATCACCGGCCCGGATGACGCTCTCTTCGTCACTGTCCTTGTTGCGGCGGCGCTTCTTGTTCTTGGCCCCATTCGTGATACTCTTCCTATTACGGGAGCCTCCTGTCGTGGGCTTTTTAGACTTAGAGATTGAGCTTGCTGTAGACAAAGGTTTGGCAGTCGAGACGGTAGTCTGAGGCTGTAAAGGTGGTAAAGATGCCACCGCCGGTGGTGCTGGTGGTGGCGGCGGCGCTAATACAGGGCCATTGGATGATGCTTCAGGTATTCCATCTGTTGGTGCAGTTGGAGGCACTGGTGATGGTCTCGGTGCAATATTGTTCAGGCCCCCAGGAAGATCCACAGGGGTTTTCCGGGTAGCAGTACTTGGGGAAGCGGCAGGTAGAGGCACCGGTGATGGTTTCGGTGCAATATTGTTCAGGCCCCTAGGAAGATCCACAGGGGATCTCCGGGTAGCAATACCTGGGGAAGCCGCAGGTGGAGGCACTGGTGATTGTTTAGATGCAATATTGATCGGGACCCCAGCAAGATCCACAGGAGATCTGCGGGTAACAGTACTCGAGGAAGCCGCAGGTGGCACCCCATTGTTCGCATACGTGAATGGTGCCGTAGGCAATTCGATGATAGTCGAAGAGGCCCTCATAGTGCCTGTCCGAGAACCGTTCAAGTTGTTTCCAACAAATCGATTTCCAGTTGGAGGGTTCCAACTGATGGATTTGTTATCATATCTCTGCTGTGCGCCCTTTAGACTTCCATTGACTCGTGCGAGTAACTCGGTTGTGGCCGCTGAAAGACGCGGTATCTCCACCCTTCTCGACGGCGTACTCGAGGATCGGGTCGTATTCGACGAGGACAATGCTGAGGATGAATCAGCGATGGGCTGGAGTGAGGGCGCTGATGAATGCGAACCCGAAGTAGTGGTTGTGGTAGTGCGCAGAAATGCGTGGGTGGGTGGCGCTGTCTCTATAGACGCCAGGGAGGCAGAAACCCCATTTGGCTGTGACATATCCCCCCGGATCTGCCCTGTTCAGCACACTCACGCTGCAACGGCAAGGTGCTCTTTGATGAGCCCGAGATATGTATCAATGCTGCCACGGGTGAAACAGGAAAAGACCATCATGAACGGATCCAGATTTATACACTGTCACGTGATCGCGAGGAATTCATCCCCGCGCCCTTGGAAGGCACCGACTGAGTGCATTCGTTGCAACCCATTACTTGTGATGCAATTCCTGCAATATCTCCAGCCACCAGGTCGTTTTGACGGCATTAGCATCTGACTGTGTTTTGCATCTCTGAGGCTTTGCGAAACTACATCTCAATGCGGCTCAGCCGACAGCTGCGCGAAAACTAACCATGTATTCTAGAGGCGAACCCTCCTTACGGACCACACACACTTACTCCTCCTCCCTTATCACCTTAGGGTAATTCACCACTAGCCCAACGAGGGTTTGTCTTAATTCAAAACACGCCTATGCCACTACACCTGCCTGTTTCAACTGAGCTATTTCCTCCTTATCATACTCGAGTACTTCGGCCAGAATCTCGTCAGTGTGCTGCCCTAGAGTCGGAGGCGGCGTCCGAACACCAGGGGTTGCATGAGAATATTTGATCGGTGTGTTCACCAGCTTGATAGGTCCGCAGGCTGGATGATCAACTTCAGTGACCATACCCCGTGCTTGGACTATATCCCAGAGTCAGAGTCGTCATATAAGGCGAACAAGCCTTTGGGAGAAAATGGTCTCACCGTGAGCATGATTTAGTGTTCCTTGGATGTCGTTGACAGCGGCATACGGCATCCCGCTCCCTTCCAATATCTCTAGCCATTCCTGCGTCGTCTTTTGTCTCACTCTTTGCTGAATCAACCCATCAATCTCCTCTCGGTGTTTCACTCGGTCGCTATTGGTAACAAACCGGGGATCGGTCTTCCACTCCGGATAGCCTAGCCGATCGCATAACACGCCGAACAATCTGTCGTTCCCGCCGCCAAAGAGGATATCGCCGTCACGCGTTTTGTAACTTCGGTAGGGCACAATGGATGCTTTGCAATGCGGGGATCAGTAAGACTGCACAATCCAGGTAGCACTACTTCGCTGCGAACACTTACGGTGTGCCGTCCCCCACCGGCCAGAGTCCTTCTTCCCACTGATCAGCGCCGAGCTTGCAATGTTCGCCAAAGTCGCGACCTGACAATCGCTCAAGCATGCATCGATATGCTGCCCCTTCCCCGTCCGCCCGCGAGCAATCAATGCCGCCATGATGGCATTAGACGTGTAAAGACCAGTGGTTAAATCCGTCACAGCTACACCGACCTTGACCGGCTCCCCCTCCCTACTACCAGTGATGTGCATCAGGCCCATCTCGGCCTCGACCATGACATCGTAACCGGCGCGGTTGCTGTATGGCCCAGTCTGGCCGTAGCCTGTGATACTAGCGTAGATGAGTCGGGGGTTGATGGCTTTCAAGGTCTCGTAATCCATGTTGTACTTCTTAAGGCTGCCAGGAAGATAGTTCTCCACCAACACGTCGCATTCTTTGGCAAGACGATGTAGAATCTTCACTCCGGATTTATGAGCAAAGGATAAGCCGATGGATTTCTTGTTGCGGTTCACCTGAGCCAGATGTTAATTGCTTGACATCCAGGCATTTCTTCTGATTGGTGACTTACTCCCAAGTAGTAAGCGCTCTCTCCGGGCCCTTCTGACCCGTCAGTGTACTTGGCGTATGGTGGTCCCCAAGCACGAGTGTCATCGCCGCGTGTTGGGTGTTCTACCTTAATGACGTCTGCTCTGTAAAAGACCAGATATGGTCAGTATTGAATGTGGCGTGAAGCACTGAAAGCAGCGGCAGCATACCCCAGGTCTCCCAGGATTTGTGTACAGTATGGCTGCATGAGACGTCAACAGAGGCTAGTGGAAGGTCAATTGCATGATACTCACACCAGCGAGAACCCTCGTCATATCTAGAACCCTGATACCTTTCAAAGGCAGGGTATCATCTGAAAGTGCAGTAGAGTAAGTGCGCCATGATCGGTTGCTCCTTGATAGATAGAGGTATGTATGGTTGAGCTGCCGGCGCGCAATGAAGGCCCGCGGCATCTTCGAGGAGATTATCAAATTCATTCTCAATGGCTGATTCTCAATGGCTGAGGAAGGAGATAACAATTTGAAAAGCAAAATGAATGTCGTCAAAGATCTTGGATAAATAAAAAGGCGAACAGAAGCAAGGAACTGAACAAGTACTGAGTACAGTACAACCTACAACTAACTCATCGGCCGCCATGACCGAGCGGCGGCGCGGGATCGGCCCCAAAGCCGAGGTCAACCCGCTTTCCCGCTTCGCGACTTTCTCTCTGTGATCTTCAATTCCGCTCGATCCGCCCGCCGGCTTTGGTTTGTCTACTTCCTGCCATTCTGTCACCATGTTCACGGGTCTTGTTGAGAAGATTGGAAGTCAGTTTCTGTCTACTCTTTGCCCGTTCTATAACTGACTATGGTGCCCTTGCTTTTTAGCGGTCTCGTCCCTCGAGCCCCTCGATACCTCGTCAAGCGGGGGCGGGGGAACCTCGCTGACCATTACCGACTGTGAGGAGATCCTCGTCGATGCGCATCTCGGCGATAGCATAGCTGTCAATGGTACATAACAACCTCCATGCCTCCTTCACAACCATCATCACTGAACCTTTTCATTTGCGAATCCCTCTTCGCTCCGCGGTCCCCTCATCTCTCCGTCAAACACATCCCCCACTGTCCTAGCTGGTCGGAACCCCCTTTCCCCCGCCGCGGGGCATTGAACACATCAACACAAAGAAAAAACTGCACAGAACAAAGCTAGACTCACACAAAACTTCCCTTCTCCAAAAAAACAGGAACATGCCTCACGGTGACCGCATTCGATAAGACGTGGTTCAAGGTGGGCGTCGCGCCGGAGACCCTGCGCCGCACGAACCTGGGCGCCTTGGAGACGGGGTCGAAAGTGAACCTGGAGCGCGCGGTGCTGGGCGAGACGCGGATGGGCGGGCACTTCGTGCAGGGCCACGTCGACACGATCGCGCAGATCCTCTCGGTCACGCCGGACAGCAACGCGCTCGTGTTCCGCTTCCAGCCGCGCGACCAGGGGGTCATGCGCTACATCGTCGAGAAGGGCTACGTCACGCTGGACGGCGCCAGCCTGACGGTCACCAAGGTCGTGGATGGCGCCGAGGGCTACTTCGAGGTCATGCTCATCGCGTACACCCAGGAGAAGATCGTCACGGCGGCCAAGAAGCCCGGCGACTTCGTCAACGTCGAGATCGATATCGTCGGCAAGTACGTGGAGAAGAGCGTGCAGGCGTACTTTGCTGGGTCGGCTGCGTCGGCGGGCGGCGATTTCAGCATGCTGGAGAAGATGGTGTCGAGGATTGTGGATGAGAAGTTAAAGCGGTAGATTTACTTTCGATGATATGAAAGCAGAAAAGAAAAAGAAAAGTTCCTGTGGAATCGATGATGGGTTATGAGCTTTACGTAGTTTTTGATGATGCTAAGGAAAATGATAATGCTTTTTTTTACTTCGTCCAGGGCTCTTGCTGCTGCATGTGCAACCAGAAATCGTGGGTATAATTTTGAAACTCCTAACGAACCATAGGGTACATAACTTTTTCCTTCCCATCGAACAAATAATGAATAGTAATACTGGCGTCCGATGTACGGACGAATTGAGTTCCTTTCCATTGATCTTTCCATATCTCCATCATACCGACCATACATATCGAACTCTGCTGTGTAAGACACCTCATGTGCACCACACTAGGGGCATGGCCATGAGCATTTGACATGATGCAATGCGCTGGAATTGATTGCATGGGATCATTGGCACGTCGCAGACGTGTTGGAAGCTATCCAGCATGGTGAAGGTAGAAATGTGAAAGGGACTGGCAATCCTGGGAAGCGTCGTGTGGCAGCCAATATTCGTGATGGCTGACGACTCAGGAACATCGCATGTATGGAGTCGGTCTGGCGAAGGACATTTACTCATCCATAGACTCGTCACCATCCTCCTCTTCTCCCTCCTCTTCCTCCTCTTCCTCGTCATCCTCATCCTGCACCACATTCTCGTCATCCTCATCGAAGTCGTCGCTGAGCCAGTCTTCGTCGCTCATATCAACGTCCTCGTCATCATCGTCTTCAACATCCTTGCCATTGGCCTTGGCTTTAGCCTTCTCGGCCTTCTTCTTCTCAATGTTCTCCCGCTGTTGCTTCTTTCTCTCCTCCTTCTCCTTCTTCTTCTTATCCCAGCTCTTGTCCAGCTTGTTGACTTCGTCCTCAGACTTCGAAATGAAATCGTGCCACATGACTCTGCCCTCACACAGACCCTCCTCAACCTTCTGCAGCCGGAGCTTCATGCGCGGACCCAATTCAACCAGCTTGACCGCCCGCTTCTCGACCCCGGGACCGTTGCTCAACTTCTTCTGTGCCTTCTCCTTGTCGCCAGCCTTCATCCGCTGCAGTTCACGTTTCGTGAGAACCTTCCGGGTGGTGCTCTCTGCGATCTCCACCTCCGCATCCGTGTCCATTTCAGTTTCACTAGCAGAGGTGTAGCCCGCCGCCGAGGGATCGAGCAGGTAGTCCGCGGCATCCTCGAGCTTTCCGAGATTCGGCACGGCGGTCTTCTTCTTCTCCTTGTTCCGAATTTCCTTGGGATCGAGACGACGGATGCGCTTCGAGATGCCGGTCTTCTTCGTCGTAATGGCATAGTGTCTGAGGTTGAGAACATAGGAGTCCTGTTCTTCGCCTTCGGGAGCGAGCTCACGGTTCAGGAGCATGACACGACGGATGGAGGTGAGGGGGGTGGCTTGCGGGTTGATCGGAGGGAAGAGCGATTGGAAAATGGTCGTGGTCAGGCTCTCGAGGCGCTTCGGTACTTTGGAGTTCTCGTCGGCGCCGGGGGAGTTGAAGTTGTTCATCACGAGCAGCGGAGGCGTCTTGTGGTCCTGGCCACCGCCGCGCGGGCGCTTCAACGACTTCTCGACGTCTCTGCACAGAGAGTAGTTCTCCACCTTGAAATGCAGGGTCGGCCCTCGGGGGGTGAGCGCCAACCGCAGATTCGTGTTGCCCGTGGCGGATTTGGAGAAAAGAAGAAGATGGGTCACGCCCAGAGGGCCGGTCATTGTTGTGAAATCCCGGAGTCTGTTCGATTTGCGTTCCTGGTGACAATTAGCAAAAAAGAAAAACAAAAAAAAGTCGATCTTGTACAATGTCTGCTGGCATCGTCTGCGAAAAGTCGACCGGTTGTTAACGTACCTTCAAGCGCACAGCCGTATCGGGCTCAAGCATTGTCCGCACATCTTTGACCAGCTGACTGACGCTGGAACCGACCTGTGTAGCGCCAACTCGAATGACCATCGACTTGGGAGTTTTGCTCATAGACGAGGCGCCACCTTTGGCAGCAGCCGTGGCATTTGTCGCGCGAACATGGGTGCGCTTCTTGGTGCGTGCCTTCGCCATGGTGAAAAATGATGTGAAATGAGAATTACGGGGAAAATAATCACTAAGGATGGATCTTAATCCCCGGATGCCTGGATCAAAAGTAGGACTTTTTTCTTGACCCGCAGAAAAACTAAAGGCGGAGCAAAGCCGCGGAGGAGCCCGGATCAATGATTTTGCGGCGCCCAGTATCACCGAGCTTGCCTTAGTCCAGAACGTATATGAGTCTATGTATTTAGGTGAACAACCCATTGAACGAAATATCCTCGATTTCGGTTCGCAGCCCGGTCCAACTTGGCCTTTTAATACCTCCTGGTGGTATCACCGAGACACAGGGGTGGATAGTGGTGTGAAGGACCTCGACAAAAAAGAACAACGAGGATGAGAACATGCTTCATTGAGGAACACCCTCTTTAGTTGAGATAGATAAAATTAGAGCATCATTGACTATTATGAATTAAATAAAGGCGTGTGGTGATGACCCTGCTTGGCAATGGCAATTCAATGCTTCGTACGATTAGCGCCCTGCTTGATGAACAGGAGGCCATCACGTGGTAATTACTGGGGCAGATTACAAGAGGTAGAGAAACATCGTGGAATTTATCGTGACGCAAAAAGATAAGATATTCTTAAACATAGATGCCCATGTTGGTGTCCTTCTTCTTCGCCTGTACTTCCGAGATGGCATCGACGTAGTTCTCGTGTCCCACCTTACTCATGCCCTTACGAAGAGCAATCATACCAGCTTCCACACATACAGCCTTCAACTGCGCACCTCCGAATTCATCGGTACTGCGAGCCAGTTCCGCCCAGTTGACCCCATCATCCACGGCCATTTTGCGGGAATGGATCTGTAGAATGTTGGCGCGAGCTTCCTCGTTGGGCAGGGGGAACTCGATCTTGCGGTCCAGACGACCGGAACGGAGCAAGGCCGGATCCAGCACATCAATGCGGTTCGTGGCCGCGAGGACCTTGATACGATCATCGGAGGCAAAACCGTCGAGCTGGTTGAGAAGCTCCAACATGGTTCGTTGCACTTCACGGTCGCCGGACTTCTCGGAGTCGAAACGCTTGGTACCGACGGCATCCAGCTCGTCAATGAAAATGATCGAAGGGGCCTTTTCCTTAGCAAGGGCAAAGCAGTCGCGAACAAGCTTAGCACCATCACCGATGAACATCTGTACCAGCTGAGGACCGGCAAGCTTCAAGAATGTGGCATTCGTCTCGGCGGCGCAGGCTCGGGCAAGAAGGGTTTTACCGGTACCGGGGGGTCCGTACATCAAAGCACCTGGAACCAAGTTAGTACGGCATAACTTCCAGCCCTCCAGATTTCACACGAATCACATACCCTTCGGTGCCTTGATGCCAAGCTTCTTGAACCGATCGGCTTCCTTCATCGGCCAAACGATAGCCTCGACAATCTCCTCGATCTGCTTGTCCAAACCACCAATGTCCGTGTACTTCTCCGTCGGCTTCTCGTCAACCTCCATGGCCTTAACCCGGTTGTCATACTCGGCTGGTAGTGTATCCAAGACAAGGTATGAGTCTTTGTTAACACCGATGAGATCGCCGGGCTTGAGCTTCTCGTGATCCACAAGGCCGATCAACGGCAGATAGATGGTTTGCCGGGTAGAGGTCTTAATGACAGCGGACTTGCCGACACGGGTAGCATCGAGATCAATATTAGCTCCTTCCTCGGCGGCTTCAGCTTCGACATCAAGATCTAAGAGCTCAACAACGTTTCCGACAAGGTAGGGTAGTTGCCTGAGAGATGAAATGTGGTCAGCAAGAAGGCCTGGGTAGGGAACCGCCATCGCCACGAGTCGGCGCACACAGTAGGCGAACCCATAGCGACGTAGAGTGCAACATACCGGTTGTTCTCGATCTTCTCTTGGTTGTCTTTGACCTTCTCCCTCATCGTGTTCTGTTCGTGTGTCAACCGCTGGTATTCGCTCTTCATTATACGCAGTTCGTTCTCCAGCATTCGCCGCCTCTTGACGATATCCGCTGTGCTGGAAGAGAGAATCTCCTCATCGAGAAGTTCATCCTCCTCCTCTTTCTTCTTGGCATCAGCATCGTTCATATCAGCATCTCCGTCGCCTTCGGGCTTTCGGTCGTTGCCATCGCCCTGGTCCTTCTTCTTCTCTCTCTCTTCACGCTCGAGGTCGTCAAGGTCTTCCAAGGTAGACATGGTGGCAGGATTAGATGGGAATTACAATGACAGAATAAATTATGTTTAGGCCAACTCGGGAGGTATATGGGAAGTAAGAGGGCAAAGGGAGAGTGAGAATGGGAGAGATGGGGAACTGAGAGCTGGAGCCGGCTTGCTCTGAGCTTCGGCCAAACAACGTCAGCCGTCCTGCCTACATCACGTGACACCATTACAAATGACCCGGCCTCCGACTGCTAGGTAATGACTCCGTTTCTCATGTAACCTAGTGCTATTGATGTAGAGTTTCTGGTCCTTCACTTGTCGTATACAATTGCGATTATCCTTCGACTCAGACCCTACATGCCAGCTTGACCCACAGTGGGTAGAGGAGACTCCTGACCACACTTAAAGCATTGCGTCTACTGCTTTGCACTCTCACTCGCCTCTGCAACGGAGCATGCTTTCCCTCGCTCAGTCACTATCGCTTGCTATGAACACATCATCCACGCATGGTCTATGTACAGTATCTGAGCATGACCAGAATTCGCAGGCCTATTATATCAGGAAGTTCGGGTTGGCTTCTTTGTGACCTTCACCATGCCAATTACCAAGATTGTTGAGGACGTGTTCTCGGCCGAACTTGAGAAGACGATATTGAGAGAGAAAATCGTCATTATTGACTATCATGAGTCAGCAAACGTACTCGAACCTCAGACCAAAGACGGTGTGTAGCAGCCATCGAAGCACGAGCACTTACTATAACCACCACACATTCTCCGCTTTCCAGTGAATTCTGAACGCCCGTGGAGCATTCTCCAATTATCGAAGACTTTCAGCCGGTCAGCTAGGGGTTTCCAAACACCACCATGGATCAACTACTTGATACTTACTTAGAGCGGTTCCCGGTTCGAGTTGTGTCCAGATCTGGAATTTCTCGCGGCTGATAATCTCGTTCCAGTGTCGCGCCGCATTGTACCACTGCTTCAAGTCTTTGATCCCCCAGTTCGTCTTCGGTGCTCTGTCGTAATTGTTCCAACGGATCCGGTAGAGCTGTTCTAATTGCGGGTGGATTTCGAGCACCGGAAATTCGTGTATAGGCTGTATGCAGACATTCTCGTTGCCACTGGCATGAGCAGGCTGGCTTTGGCGCATTAGCTGGGCGTAGTGCGTCTTTTTCTCCTTCTGCAGCGTCTCGGCTGCTCGAAACCCGTCAACGAGCAGGCTAGCGCCCCCTTCGCCGTCGGTATGAGACAAAAGATGGAATAACTGGAGTCTCGCAGGATCCGTGAAATATGTGGTATCAGTGTGTGCACCGAGACCTTGGCTTGTATACGCAGAGTCCCCAAAACTCATATCAGACGTGAAATCCCAGAAGCCCCCTGTAATGAATCAGCATAATCGTGGATCAAGGGGTACTGTAAGTGCAAATAACATCATTCTCATACCATAATGTGTAGGCCTGATGAAAGCAATTCTTTCGAGAAGCTTCTCAGTGTCCCGAGTTGTCACAGGAACACCTATGACGAAACAGAACCCGTAGATATACTATCCAGACTCAGTGATCAGGTAGCAGATTGTGGAGCGGGGTGGGACTCACAATCTTATCAAGCCACTGCAACAAGCCCTTGTCGTCCTGCATAACATCGTCATATAGCACCGTGGGATATGGCCCCGTTCCCGTGAATGGATGATAAGGTCTATGAGCATGTATGGTGAGTTCCAATTGCAGCATGCATCATCCGTGTTTGTAGTACCTGGGTTTGGCTGTATGATCGGCTCGAAGCACACTGTTCGGTTTTTTAGTACCATTGGCTTTGAGCCATGCATATGTGTAGAACCCCATATGTCCATCCGAAACTTCTTGAATTTTAGCCTCGACATGACTTGAGTGACATCGAATATACACTTACATTCCACTTCAAGGCCTTCCGCTGCATAGATGACTTTCTTGATAATTATATCTGGAGGAATCTGGGGAATAGCAGAAGCAAGAGGGCTCATATTAGCAGAATATTTCGCATGTTCGGATTTTGCGCACATACCGCAAAAGTGTCTACCTCCCGCTGACGGGTTTGAGGATGATGGCATTTTTCACACTGACAATTGTCTCTATCATGGAGCAATACCCGAAAAATAAGTCTCGATGTGATGGGCATTGACCATAAAGCGACTTACCGTAACCAGAATGGTCCTCTGCAAAACAGTGTTAGCCGTCTCAGCCACTCATGCGTATGGAAGGCAGCTGATAGTGAACATTGCTTACAGTTTCTTAAAGACATCCTTTGAGAACTGCTGGGCTGATTTGGGGTCGTGTTTGGCTGTCTTGTTCTCTGTCCAGGCTAAGACGGTGGTTGCATCAGCTTCCAGTTGCTGGTGATATCAAGGCCCATGGTGTGGAGCTCGGGAGGGAAGTGTGTTACATTGTCCTGTAAAAAGGGGTCTTATGCTCTGCGGGGAAGAAATTCAGCTTGAATGAACTGGTTCAATTATCAGTCGAACCCAGGCGAAGATACACACCGAAACAGCGCAGGTCCATCGAGAGCAAGGCACCACCTTCGCCCTCCTATATCGATCATGAGCATTCGTTGTGGCAGCTCGGAGTATGATCTTCACCTGAAAGGGCTTGAAGAGGCGAGCGCCCGACAAACAAATCGCCTTCCTACAACACTCATTTCAACTATTGTGGCATCAAGAATCCAACCCAAACAATGCTCTCTCCGTATCGCGTGACAGAGAATCTCAATCTCTATATCCCCGAAAATCAGTGGACGACCAAAGTGCTATGTCACGTGTGAGGACCGGAAACCGAGGTAGCAGCGCCGACCCCGCAAATCGGCCCACCTTCAAGCTGTTGCTCTAATTTATGCTTAACAAATTCGAGACTCTGATTCTACCTAGTAGCTAAGTTGAACTTCTAGACTGGATCGTGCTCATATGTGCTTGCGGCATATACCAATTCGCGATCTCTTAAGATCTACACATGTGATATAAAGGTTTTTTCTAGTCAACTTATGGAACTGCAACTACAGCTTGGCCTTCGAGTCGGTAGCTTTCAACAGACAACGGCCATTGCTGAGTACCACCTTGCCCTGGTTGTTTCTCACAACAAAACGAATTTCTTCATCGCCGCCTTCCAACCTGCCCATCCGCCATATCTCAGTAATAAGTTTGTCGCCTGGTTTTACCGGAGAGGCAAAGCGCGCTTGGAACTCTTTCAGGTTTTCTGGGTCGCTCTGTCCAATTTCCCTCAATACACCATGGGCTGCGGCGTTCCAGCTGAAGAGTCCATGGATGATGGTGCCACCGAAACCCATCTTCGCACCCGGCTCGGGAGTTGCATGGAGAGGATTGTAATCACCATTGAGACTGCCCAGTGTGTTAAAACTTCATCGGAGAAACCAAGTCGTGGAGGTATCCAGAGGTCTTACCGATACAAGAGAGCCGTTTCGGGCGTCGTCTGGATCACATGGGTGGCGTCGGGACTTTTACCCTCCGGTGGAGGGTAATTCACCGTGCTTGGGCCTAGAACAAAACAAGTTAGGCAGTCTTCATGGGTTTGGTCGTAAGACCAGACACAGCACCTACCCTTTGGACCTCCCCAGCCGCCCTGTCCGACAAAGAAGCTGCTGCTCAGGATCTTCGTAAAGATGTCTCCAGTGGCTTGGTCGACAATCGACTGTTCTGTCTCCAGCACAGTCCCGGCCTTGCCCTTGTCATAAAGTCCAATGACTTTGTTGCGCAACTCGAATTTTCGACCTGCGCTGGATGTTGGAAGAGGCTTCAGGGCGATGATCCGCCGCTGACCATCCACGACACGACGGTAGTCGAGCTTGGGAGCTCCGGGGATAGGGGCACCGCCCGCCCGAGCATAGAAGTCAACCACTTCCTGATCGGTGAGCTTAAATGCTGTATGAAGTAAAATGCATCAGTGGCCGTTGAAATCTGAGCTGAGAGGCTTGGACATACGAAGGATAACCGGGTAGGTTGGAAAGACCGCGAATCTGGGGTGTAGTTCCTGCGCCGCGCTTCTTTAGCACACGTTGCAATGGGGTCTTGTGCAGACGATAGAACATACGTAAAGAAAGTGAAGTTCATCGGCTTTGCAGCCAATGCTATTAGCAAACAAGAGAATATCGCGCTTCTGCCAGGAGACTTCCTGGGGAGCAAACTCATGACCAGCCCCGGGAGCAGACATCTCAGCTAATGACGATGTAGATATTTGACTGCGTATAGTATGTGTGGTATTTGGACAGAACGGTGGAGTATTGTGTCTAATGCGCTACGTGATCTTTCTGAAAGCGAAGTTGAGCGGCTTGGGTAAAGGAGAAAGGGTTAATGCAGGACTGATTAGGCCATGGTTTTCATAAGAGTCTGGGACGATATGCTATGCTTTTGTACCCCGGACTGCGGGGCCGCAAACAAGCCGAGGCTAATGTAATCTGGACCGAGAGCGCCATGCCACTTTGAAAGGGCCAGCCTCATCAACCCAGGTGTCATAGTAAAAGCGGTTCGATGGCGCTAGATCGATTTACCGGCTCAAGGCTCAGAGAGAGGTATACAAAGCATTACGACAACTGTCAATGTTTTGGCCCGTAAAAATCGGAGACATCCGGAGTGATGGGGCTGCAGCTAAACAATATAAGGAGATCGTCAAGAGATGATAAGATTGAGCATCGACTCGGGGTATCTACTTGGGAATTTCGAGGAGCTTCAGAATCGTCCTTGTGGAAACCATCTCTCCGTGCCGCGCCAAATAATGATGCCGTTTCCTGCCTTCCAATAAAACGCCGGAACATAACGGAAATAAAATGGCATAAACAAACAAAGCAAGTCAAGAAAACCTATTCATCGACCCAACGTCATGCAAGTGTACTTTCTTTCAAATGCCATGCATCCCTCGGGTAAATAGTATCGAGGGTACTGACTGAATTCCAAAACAGGGAATTCAGTCAGAGAGATCAGTGTACCGACCCAGTGATAGATCAATTTGGTGATGAGGATTTCAACGCCTCAGTTTAGCACCTTCAAGAATTAGCTTCCTGATTGACTCGATGATGGTGACTGGTGAATGCACTTACATTCTGTAGAAGCAGCCACCCTCGGCGGAGCGGTTCGGGTCCGTAGTCTCCAGCTTGTATGTGATGCTGATATCAAGGTCGCGCTTGTTCTTGTCGTTGGGCTTGTTCTCTAGCATACCAGACACAACTTCCTCTTCCTCAACAGTGAGGACATCCCGCAAATAGAAAACGGTCTGCTTCCAGTGGGTGTACTTGGCATGGGGGCCAGTAGAGAAAAGGATGGGCTTGTGGCAAGCGCCAAATTCAATATCGAACCAAGCGATAACGGCGTGGACGAAATCGCTACGCTTGACAGTGAGCGAGTAGGGTACCTTGAATGCAAGATCTTCCTTGGTGACGGTGTAGAGATCGAATGAAATGATGGGGCAAGGGTCAGAGACAAGTGCCTTCATCTCAACTGTATCCACAAGAGGCTCAGTGAGGGCAGTCTCCTTCATGGGGCTGTAATCGAAGCCATAGACGTTGTCCCAGACTACTTCTCATTAGCGACGGTTTGAACTTGACGGAATGGCTTCTCTCACATCCAATCTTATCATCCTTGTACTCGCCATCTTCAATGGCGGCCAAGTACATTGTAGCCTTATCAGGGAAGATCTTGCCACCGGGAACGAGGTAGCGGTCGCGGGCATAGAGGACAGTGTCCAGCATGGATTCGTAGAGGAGGAAGTAGCCCATCCACTCCGAGATGATAATGTCAACCTTGGGGTAGGGCAGGACAACCTCCTCCATCTTTCCCTGCAGAAGAGTGATCTTGCTGGTCAGGCCGTTGACCTCAACTATCTCACGGGCCTTCTCGATAATCGAGGACATATCAACACCCATCACATGTTTAGCACCGGCCTTGGCAGCGAACCTAGGAAACCGACAACATCAGTATCCAATTATATGCACGTAACGGAGTCAGGCACCTACATGCTAAGGATACCGGTACCGCAGCCGACATCGAGAACAACCTTGTCCTTGAAGATGTGGCGGTTCTGGTAAATGGAGTCGCGGTAAGATCTGGTGCGGACATCGTCTTTCTGTTAAGAAAGAGATATTAGTAGGCTATTGCAAGGGGCTGTGTGCGGCGGACTTACAAGCATCTCCTCATGAATGCCTGAGCGGGGTTTGACGTTAGCCATCTTCGAGACTAGCTGAAGTTCTGTGCTTGGGATTATTTACCATGATGATCATAACTAAAATAAGGCACAGTTAGCACAATATCGAGGTCAGTCCCTGGGATTAAATGTACCTCGTGAAATAACGAACTTCAGCATGGTCCATGCCAACCATGCGATCAGCACTGCTGGACTGTTGTTTCTCAACTCCGGCCATGATAGCGAATCAGTCGGTTGCTTATGGGTGAACTAGAATTGAAAATTGCTTTGCAAGATATCGCAGATCCAGGGACCTAGATCACAAGCGAAATGAGAAGAAAATATCAACAAGTTTAGCTGGTGATAAAACAATATGCAGAAGTGAAAAAGTACAAAGCACTTCAGCGAACCCTTCGAGCGGCCGCCTTTTTTTTGGCCTTTGCCCTCATTGGGAATTTCTCCTCTGGAAGGCAACATACGCTAAGACCCAATATGGTTAGACTATTGATGAGATAGACTACGCTGAATATAGTCTATCAGCATGTGATCTGATATAGCCCTAAGCGGTGATTAGGGCTAAGAGCAGATGAGAATGGTAAGTGGCTTGGGACCGGCGGCGTTGGGACATGTAAGGTATTTTTTCGGTCTGCCAATCAAATTATGATATGGACAACTCAATTGAGCCATGGTAGCAATTGAATTGCAATTATGATTCTTCAAAGCAGCTTCTATTGTACTTGGCAATCCTACTGTAGTACAACATAAACTTATTGGCCAGTTTTAGATACCAAAGACTAACTAATGTGCTGCGGTCACTTTCGTGGCTGTGGGAACAGCCCATCAGCGCTCCAAGCAAAAGTTAAAGAGACATATGCTCCGTCTCCAGCATGATTCTTCGGTGTTTTATGGTGACTTCCTGGATTTTGAGGATCCATTCTTCGATCATGCTTCCATGCTATTTCTAGACCTGGGACCGGAAATGCCGAGCTCCCTATTTATTGCCGCGCGAAGCCACTCCGCTCCCGCTGCTGCCATGCGCCGCCTAGCTACTTCTAAGGGTCTACCTCCCTGAACTCACCTTTCTGCCGGTTGTGCTAAACTCTGAGATCACTATGTTTCTAGGCTCAACCAGGAGAAAGCTCTATTGCTGCTTTCTCATTCTCTTTTTTGCTTCTCTGATTGGCAAATCGGCAGCGTCTCTGGGCGATCACCTTCCTGATTTCAAGGAATGTGTTAAGGTACCTGAACCGAACTAGCTAGAGCTGTGCAGATGCAATGCGATGGCTAATATATGAGCAGGTCTGCAAGGCTGAAAACTGTCACGATGGCAACTCAGTGATCCGTAAGCTTCACACAGATTCGCCGACCATAATTTTTCCGACTAATTCGTTACCAGCTCTCCACCTTCGTCTCATGCTGTGGACGTGTCCTTCCGAGTGCGATTATACCTGCCAACATGTCGTGACAGATCGCCGTGTCGCTCGCGATCCTCCGATGTTAAATCCAGTACTACAATTTCACGGAAAATGGCCGTTTCGCAGAATCCTCGGCATGCAGGAGCCCTTTTCTGTCCTTTTCTCCCTCCTCAACTTTCTCGCCCACTGGCATGGAATGGGTAAGATCCGAGAAACTATTCCATCGTGGCACTCACTCAAGCCGTACTATATGGCTTTCGGATATTGTGGATTAGCATGCTGGACGTTCAGTGCCTTGTTTCACACACGAGACCTTCCATTGACTGAAAAGCTGGATTACTTTGGGGCTGGAGCTAACGTGATGTATGGTTTGTACCTTGCGATCATTCGGATATTCCGTCTCGATGGAGAGGAGCCTCGCCATAAGCCGACTTTGCGCCGTCTCTGGACAACTATCTGCATCTTTCTTTACACTTTGCACGTCTGCTACCTGAGCTTCTGGTCTTGGGACTACACCTACAACATGATTGCGAATATCGTGATAGGGATGGCTCAGAACGTTCTGTGGGTATCCTTTAGCATTTATCGTTATAGGAAATATGGTAAAGCTTGGATGACCTGGCCCGCGTTGATTGTGGTCTGGATTATCTTCGCGATGAGCCTGGAGCTGCTCGACTTTCCCCCTTGGAATGAGCTCATTGACGCGCATAGCTTATGGCATCTTGGGACAGTGATTCCCACCGCATGGTGGTACTTGTGAGTTGTCCCGAGCCCCTTAGACCTGGTCATTGAAGTGTTGGATACTGAGATACTGACTTCTCTGGGTCCTAGTTTTCTTACCAAAGACATCCAAAATGATGTGGCAGGGGAGAGACTCAAGCTCTAAGCTGGCTTGCGGAGACGGCTCCGCTTGGTGCCAGTAGCAGTCAGGTTTTGAGATGGTCCTGGTGGCCTCAAACAGTCTTAATAATCTGTAGCAATATTTTGGTAGAATGTTCAACGATCTCAAGGCTGCTCGAAACCTACTACGTAGATACAGTTGAAGTATCTCCAGATAGCTTCCTGGCTGTGCCTCTAATTTCCACTTTTTCCCCTGTTCCAACTTCCTTCCCGTGTCCCTCGGCTGGGCGGGTTGTTCCAAACCACGCCATCGGTGAGCGGCTCACCGCTTGGGCGCATTGTGGCAGTACAGGGGAAGCTAGTAGCCTGAGCTGGCCCCGGTTTTATGTTTCAACCCACTCATCCCTCCACTCGCTCTGCCCTTCTCGTTTTCGTGATATTTCTCCCTTTTCCGTCTGGTTCTACACCTGCTTCACAGTAGTACTGTCTGCTTCAGAGCCCCGAGCCGCCGTTTGCCACGAGATCTGCCGCCGCCCCCTCATTCGCACCTAGTTCGCGCCACAATGGCCTCTCCGGCTGTCAAGAAAGCAATCGCTGAAGCAGCTGCGCAGTACGCAAAGCCAGAAGGGAGGGTCTTTCAGTATGGTACTGCAGGAGTAAGTTCCTACTTGTGATCAGACATTTTGACACAGTAACAATCTGACTGATCTTTTGCCCGCAGTTCCGTATGAAGGCGTAAGTCTAGCTGCTCAAATCAACAACCTGAACGATCAACCCCGCCTCCACAATACCCCGCGATCGCCCCTTTGTTTCCATGTTAACTCACGGCTTACCAGCGACCTCCTCAATACCGTCGTTTTCACTGTTGGTTTGCTTGCGGGTCTTCGTTCCAGGAAGCTTAGTGGGCAATGGGTTGGTGTCATGGTCACTGCCAGCCACAATCCTGCAGAGGACAATGGCGTTAAGCTCGTCGACCCTATGGTGAGTTCCTTTACATTAATGATCTCTGACTGTAAGCTCAGTAACTGACTCAACCACTTAACTAGGGTGAGATGCTGGAGGTAGGAGCCCAAGTATGATCCACGACAGAATGTCATCTCACATCCTTTCAGGCCGAATGGGAGACCTATGCGACCAGACTTGCCAACGCCCCGCTCGACAAGGTCGGAGATGTGTACGAAGAGTTGATTAAAGAGATCGATGTCAGCATGGAGAACCAAGCTCGCGTTGTTTTCGCCCGCGACACTCGCGCGTCTGGCTCTCGCCTCGTCTCGGTTCTCAACGCCGCACTTACTGCTACGGAGGTCGAATTCCTTGACTTGAAGTACATGACCACCCCTCAGCTTCACTATGTCGTTCGGTGCAAGAACACCCTGGGTACACAGTATGAGTACGGTGAGCCGACTGAGCAGGGCTACTATGAGAAACTTGCCGAGGCTTTCAAGAGAGTGATGCGGGGCATAAAGATCAAGGGCTCTTTGACCGTTGACTGCGCCAACGGTGTTGGTGGACCCAAGCTCAGGGAGCTTATCAAGTACCTGCCCACTGCGGAGGAAGGTGGCCTCGACATCAAGATCGTCAACGACGACGTCATCAACCCTGATAGCCTCAACTTCGAGGTAAGATTCTTTCGCAGGCCTCCCCCTTGTTGCCGGCCTCGGGCTAATCCATCTATCAGTGTGGCGCCGATTATGTCAAGACGAAGCAACGTGCTCCTCCGTCCTCCAAGGCCGGTCCTCTCGAGCGCTGTGCCTCACTGGACGGCGATGCTGACCGTATCGTTTACTACTTCGTCGATGAGAGCAACGTCTTCAGGTTGCTCGATGGCGATCGGATCGCCACCCTTGCTGCATCATTCATTGGCGACCTTGCTCGTAGCGCTGGCATCGCACAGAAACTTAAGATCGGAGTCGTGCAGACTGCTTATGCCAACGGATCTAGCACTGACTACATTGAGAAGGTGCTGAAACTTCCCTCCGTTTGCACGAACACCGGTGTTAAGCACCTTCACCACGCCGCTTTGCGGTTCGATGTCGGTGTCTATTTCGAGGCCAACGGGCACGGCACGATCACCTTCTCCGAGAATGCCTCGAAGACGATCAAGAACACGGAGCCTCAGTCTCCTGCTCAGCAGCGCTCGCTCGAGTGCCTCCAAGGCTTGACGGATCTGATTAACCAGGCTGTTGGAGACGCCATTTCGGACATGCTCCTCGTGGAGGCTATTCTTTCACACAAGGGCTGGAGCCCCAAGGAGTGGCTTGCGACTTACACCGATTTGCCGTCGCGTCTTGTCCGTGTCGAGGTCGCGGACCGTTCGATCTTCAAGGCTTATGACGCTGAGCGTAAGCTCGAGTCACCACCCGGCCTTCAGGCTGAGATCGAGTCTCTGCAATCCCGCTACAACAAGGGAAGGAGCTTCGCCCGTGCAAGTGGTACGGAGGATGCAGTGCGTGTTTACGCCGAAGCGGCGAGCCGTTCCGAGGCCGATGATCTCGCCACCCGTGTTGCCAACGCAGTTCGAGAGGCTGGTGCCGCCAAGGAACCCTCTTCCTAGGCCACTTGTGGAGCCTACCCGCCAAGACCACATGTCAATGTACGGTGGTTCAAGCGGTTAGGCTGACGAACAACAGTATCACATCTGGACGTGCAGTACAGACATGCTGTAGAAAACCGAGTTCTAAGATTTCCTGGGAACTTTGATGAATGAATTCATGATCTTAACTTAATTCACACATAAGCAGAAGAATTTGCATCTCACTTTGCGCATCTTTATAGTACCTTGACGTCTAAATCTACACAGTTTACAAGAAAGCATATATTCGGCCTCTACGTCACCCCTTTTCTGCTCTTGCATTTTGTGCTTATTAGACAGCCATGGAAATTTAGCGTCCTTTATTTCATATGTCGCAGTATTGGAGAAGGACATAACTCAATGATTTGTTGTCATATTCACTGGTTCTGTGGACGAATAATCATGGACGGTGTTGCCAGCAGGGCCTTTTGTAGTTCTTAGCAACTGTGCCGTCTCGCCGGGGCATGGTACAACACAGATGCTGTCTTTGACAGTTACCTTCCTGCACACCCTCCTGGATGTGGACGCCGTTCACCCATCTAAGACTTTTGTCAGAAGGATTGTGTCTAAGCAAGCACCCGGCCGTTCCCCGAGACTTGACGATGGGAACCTTCCGTTGGTGTGTGGAGTCTATGAGCATAGGCTTGCGTGTGATCTCGTCTATTGAAAGGGGCGGTTGAGCGATGTGATCCACGCTTGGACACCATGCTGAGCGCTTTACTGTGCTACACTCGGCGCGGGATGTTCTGGTATACCTGGTTTGCGGCGCGTGTGGCTCCTTTACACTCAAGTGAAGGAGCAGACTGGAGCTTACCCAGTAATGAATGCTACCTGCCCCTCAAAGCCCTGTCCCAGCACTATCCACGTGCCAGCTCTGTCTCTTGAGGAACAATAGGACCTACATGGCCGGCTCCCAGGCAGAGAATATACGGAAGTGGTAGCTTGTGTCGGTGATTCCTGGCTCCGCTATCGAGTAATTGTCTGGTCGGCTAGGCCCTTCGGTTAGAACTGGTGTATCTCGGTAATCGTCCTAGTTCTTGTATGTCCTCTGGCACGAGTCATGGCCGCCTTGTGGCCCGGATGAGATTCGTAGCCATTGAGATAATATATATTTCGGGCTCGCTGCCCTATCGGTAGAGGACCGACGCGGCCTGTGCAAGGCCACATGGTAAACGTGCTGAGAAGGGTGTTAGCTCATCCCAGAAGGTACTTGCCTCTATTCAGGTGCCTGTGTCAACCGCAGTATGATTTTCTTTGTGATTCTGGGCTGTATTGTAGTCATCTTGCCTTGGTCGGATGAGCACTCTTTTGTGTGAGGTGATTGATTACAATATTCTTAAGTTTTTTAACAGCAAGGCCTGCTGGCCCAATGGTAAGGCGCTTGACTACGAATCAAGAGATTGCAGGTTCGAGCCCTGCGTAGGTCATTCCTTTTTTGAGCTTTCTATTTTTGCCATTTGCTACGCAGGCAAATACCATGTTTTGCTGTGGCATTGCGACTTCATCCCTCATGGGCCAGATAAACCACCCGCTGCCCAAGATATACCAGCCGATAATGACGCAATTATCCGTATTTGTTGTGCTTTGAGCTGACATCCACCCGTCCTGCCGCACCTCATGATATCGCTTCCGACCATATTATAGAGTCTTCGCTCCACTACTGAGTCTTGGCCTGGGGCTTGTTCCTCCATGGCGAAAGCTTGGCTATTAGCTACTAGTCGCCAACCTCGTGGGTGTCTATAGTTGGAGTATGCAATGATGGGCTGTGGTAACAGCAGGGGCCTTCGAAGGTGTCATTAAGTCCAACGGAGGTAGAGACTATGTAGGGCATAGTAGCATGATCCTAAGCGAGAAAGTGATGGATTGGCCAGAGACCCTATCGTTGAGAGCGACCCCAAACAGCAAGGCCTACATGGCTCATTACCACCATTGGCACTATCAAGTATATGTACACCCCCCCCCCCCCCACCGATACAAATGGCAAAAAGCAGCTGTACCGTAGAGCTGCAGATCGACACACTAGCATCCGCTCAGACCATGGACACCCCCGTCAGCCGTGTACGAGCAAGAACCCTTGCCCGGCGTAGTCGAATTCAGTGGGTACAGAACCACGTTGTCGTACTCGATGTTGTAGCAAGGGTACAGCTTCGAGCACGAGACCGAGGACGTCGTAGACTTGGTGGTGTTAATATACCCCGTGAAGTTGACAAACGCGATGTTGGAGATCAGCATCTTGCTCGTGCCGGCGTAAGATCCGTTGTCCCCACTGCTCTCGCTGATCGAGGGGCCCGCGTTGGCTCCCTGCACGTCAAAGTTCGAGAAAATGATATTCTTGACGCTGCCCCAGCCGTCTCCGCGGGGAAGATAGTCGCTCTCATACGAGTCCTGGGGCACGAGGGCTCCCACCCAAGTCTTGATGTAGGCGCTGTTGTGCATGTCCTCGTTGTATCTGATAATCTGGGTTGGCCATGCTTGTTAGTTTTCACTTGAACGAGGGGCTTGGTTGGTGCTGCAGTATAGTACCTTGACATTGTCAACTCGAATGTTCGCGACACTGGAATCTTCCAAGTACTGTCCGAGACTGCCGACCGCGATTCCATTGCCCCCGCGGCAGGTGACGTTCTGGATGTCGATGTTATAGGAGCGGGGCTTGATGGCAATGCAGTCGTCACCACCCTGGTAGACGAAGTTGGTGAGTTGGATGTTGGTGGCGTCCATCGTGTCTGGTAAGATGCGATCAGTTGATGGACATTACAAGATATGGGGTCGCAGAGGTACGTACCGAACCCATCGGTGTTCTGGACCCAGTTACTACCGTACGGCGCATCGACAGCCGTCGCGTTGCAGGTGATGTCGTTGAACCTCATGTTCGTGCCATTCATGATATTCAGACTCCACAACGGAGGGTCCTTGACGTAGAAACTTTCGACCTCAACGTCGGAAACATTCCAGAAGACGAAGGGCATCGGCCTTCCAGGCTGCGTGACGCCTGCCTCTGCAGTGTACCAGACATTGCCATTGCCGTCGATACCTCCAGTCCCGTACCCATTGATGCTGATGTTCTGTCCGGTAATAACGAACCCAGCGGCGTGATTCTGGAAGGCGACTGGGTAGGAGTGGTTGCGCCAGTAGGACAGATCATCCGAGAACTGATTATAGAACGTTAGCATGTGCGCATGGCGCCCATGAGCGAAGAAAGGCTCTTACCGTCCACTTTCCCCGCCATTCAATCGCGACATTATTCAAGACAGGGTTTAGTCTCTGTCCGATCCAGTAGGACTGGTCTTCAGGGAAAATGATGGTTCCTCCGTTGCCACATTCTTTGAAAGCTTCTAAGAGGTTCGGTACATCGTCCTTCTGATGTCCATTGGCCTTCACGGTACATACATTGCCTTTCTTCTGGACGTTGCTTGCGTAGCCCAGAGCAGAAAGCCCCAAGACTAGCGAAAGGGAGGATGCTGAGGTCAAAGAGAATCGCATTTTGACGGACTTGACGCGCAAACAGAATTCTGAGAGCCGGGCTGCTGTCTGCGGACCTCACATTGCGCCATCTCGCTTTTTCTAATAATTGCCGACGGGGGCTCAAGGGTCTCTCCGCAACGTCACAGCAAGCACGAAAGTAATTTATCGGGGTCAATTGGCCCGAGTGGGACTGATGAGATGAGGCGGGTTAAGGGGAAATGAAGCAGTGCGGAGAAAAAAGACGGGGTAGAAGCAGGAGATGATCCAATTTCCACCAATGACACCCCCATGCAACCTGCAACCTGCATCCCAAGACTTTTGTTCATTTCCCTTGGACAAGCTTCATCGCATTGAGAGCTTGTGCGGCACGAAGCTTTCACTTGGGATGAGTGGACCAGACCGATTTATCACTTGTAATTAACCGAGCCACGCCCGAGTGACTCGCGCATTTCCCCTCCTTTCGGTCAAAGCATCGCAAGCGAACCGAGATACAGATTAATTCCAACTCCAGGGAACAACTGTTCGACCCCTCTTTTTGGGTTTCTGGGGTAGAAAGTCCGGGGAATCATCTAGTGGAGATGCCCCCCTTGCTTATATTTATATCCTTCGTCGCCACAACGATGGGTCCAACTTTTCTCTCTCAGGTCTGTCGGGACTTGAGATACCTGCATAGGTCGCGATAGACAGCAATCATGCGTTGGCTTCCATCTCTCCTAGGAGCCATTGCTCTTCTTCCTCTTTCTGAAGCCACTTCATGTTGGCGTAACACCACCTGTTCCGGCCCTACAACTGCCGCCTTTCCAGGTTCATGGGAGAAAAACATCTTCGCTCCGGCTTCTCGAACCGTGAACCCGGAAACGCTCTTCTTGATCACCAAGCCAGATGTCACGCATGAGTATGCTCAGTATAAGCTTCAAGGGAATGGATCCCTGGTGGTCTACGACTTCGGAAGGGAAGTAGGTGGCATTGTCACAGTGAAGTATACCTCCACAGGTAGTGGAGCCCTGGGACTGGCATTTACCGAGGCCAAGGACTACATTGGTGAATGGTCCGACTCCTCCAATGGAGGGTTCAAAGGGCCCGATGGCGCGTTGTATGGGAACTTTACTGAAGCGGGCGAGCATTCTTATACAATGCCCGACAAGTACCTTCGTGGTGGATTCCGGTACCTGACGCTGTTCTTGATCACGGATAACTCGACTGCAGTTCAGATCAAGGACGTGAGCTTGGAAATTGGCTTTCAGCCCACATGGTCTAATTTGAGAGCCTACCAAGGATACTTCGATTCTAGTGATGACCTGCTGAATGCCATCTGGTACAGCGGCGCCTACACGCTGCAGACCAACGAGGTCCCCGTCAACACTGGTCGCCAGATTCCAGCGATGCCTGCTGGATGGGCCAACAATGCCACGTTGGGGCCTGGTGACACCATCATTGTTGACGGTGCGAAGAGAGATCGAGCTGTGTGGCCAGGCGATATGGGCATTGCGGTTCCGTCCGCCTTTGTTAGCATCGGTAACTTGGAGAGCGTCAAAAACGCACTACAAGTGATGTACAACTACCAGGTATGCAACTGCGAAGGAATTTATGACCAGTTTTGCTAATGAAGAACAGGCCTCGACAGGAGCGTTCGATGAATCAGGACCTCCCCTCAGCCAGAAGAACTCGGACACCTATCATATGTGGTCAATGGTTGGCACCTACAATTACCTATTGTATACCAATGATACCGATTTCCTCGAGACCAATTGGGCTGGCTACCAGAAAGCCATGGAGTATATATATGGCAAGGTGACCTACGCCAGTGGCTTGCTCAATGTTACCGGTACCCGCGACTGGGCCAGGTGGCAGCAGGGGTATAACAATACTGAGGCGCAGATGATGTGAGTACAGTACACTTTACTCCAGACCTAAGCCAGACTGACAATCGCTAGCCTGTACCACACCCTCAAGACAGGAGCCGAGCTTGCCACCTGGGCGGGTGACACCACTGGTCTGTCGGACACATACACCACCCGAGCGGAGAAGCTGCGGGAGGCCATCAACGAGTACTGCTGGGACGACTCGTACGGAGCGTTCAAAGACAACGCAACCGATACGACCCTTCACCCGCAAGACGCAAATAGCATGGCCCTGTTGTTTGGCGTAGTCGACTCCGAGCGCGCTGCTAGCATTTCCGAGAAACTGACCGAGAACTGGACACCCATCGGTGCCGTGGCCCCCGAGCTACCGGAGAACATTTCACCGTTCATCTCATCCTTCGAGATCCAGGGCCACTTTACCGTGGGCCAGCCCGCTCGAGCTCTGGAGCTGATCCGGCGAAGCTGGGGATGGTATTACAACAATGAGAACGGCACGCAAAGCACAGTCATTGAAGGATACCTGCAGAACGGCACGTTTGGCTACCGGTCAAGCCGTGGATACTACTACGACACGGCGTATGTCTCCCACGCGCACGGCTGGTCTTCTGGACCCACGTCGGCCCTGACAAACTACATCGTGGGCCTGACCGTCACCTCCCCGGTGGGGGCAACCTGGAAGCTCGCGCCGCAGTTCGGAGATCTCAAGACCGCCCAGGCGGGGTTCACGACCTCGCTGGGCCAGTTCCAGGCATCGTGGACGAAGCAATCGAATGAGTACAGCCTGCAGTTCACTGTTCCGAAGGGGACGACGGGAAGTCTTGCTCTCCCCTACCTCAATTCCAAGAAGCCAACGATCACAATCGACGGCAAGAAGATCACCAAGGGCGTGAGCTATGCCAATAACACGGCAACGGTGGCGGTGGCCAGTGGAGGGAGCCACAAAGTGGTTGTGAAATAGCCCGATAGTATCTAGTGAGAGAAATGAGTACTTGACCTCTGCATTATTACATCAAAGCCCGAGGGCACTCTGTAATTTATACCTAGTAAATTCCTCGACCCCCATACTTTTCCCTACTTTTCCCCACAACCAATCAGGGCAGGCCAGAGTCACGTGTCGGCATCTCCGCCGGAACCAACCAGCAGCAGGCCCATCGTCATCGACGCATCCGCCCTCCTCACCCACATTTCCTTCAAGCCATAACATAACATACGTGACCACCCCGCAAGGCACACAATGGCCACCCCCACCTCCCTCCAGGGCATCGCCATGCCCTGGCGCACATGCAACCAATGCATTCGCCGCCACTACCTCCTGTCCCGCGGCGGCGGACGCCCGCAACCGCGCCTGCACCTCTCCACCACCTCCCCGGTCCGCTCGTCGTCCGGCAGCAGCAGCAGTAGCAACGCCTCCAACCCCCTCCGCACATCGCGCGTACGCAGCACCGAAAAGGATGTTGCCAACTACCGGCGCTCAATGATCTTATCAGCCAGCGGGATCGCCGCGTGCGCGATCGCCATGTACGGGATCATCAAACTCGACCTCTTCGGCCTGGAACAAACAAAGCAGCAGCAGTCCTCCTCCATGACCGCCACCATCCCCACGGCCCAGGACGCCCCATCGCCGAAGAAGACCCAACTCGACGGCCCGAACGGCTTCCCCAGCAGCCCATCGCTGATCACGGTGCACGGCCAAGACCCCGGCGCCGAGCAAGTGGCAACGGGAACCAGCTCGGTGCCGTACTTCCCAGCGACGATCCGCCTGCCCAAGGCTCTGGACGCGGAGAACATCGCCTTGGCGGCGGGCGACGAGATCGCGCTGTCGACCACGGCCGAGAAACCCGCGGACGAGGAGGAGTACCAGCTGCTGGGGCTGGGGATCCGGACGGTCTCGTTCCTGCGGATCCAGGTGTACGTGGTGGGGATGTACGTGGCCAAGTCGGACATCACGGCGCTGCAGCGGCGGCTGGTGCAGACGGCGGTGAACCCGCCCACGCTGGCGGGGGTGATCGAAGCAGAAACAAAAGGCGGGGTGATCACGAACCCCGTGGGCGCGACGGCGGCGACCTCGCTGGTGTCGACGGAGCGCGACCGGCTGCGCCAGCTGCTTCTCGACACCGGCAGCGGTGGTGGCGGCGAACAACAGGGCGATCTGGTGTGGGACGCGATCCTGCGGGAGCCGGGCTTGCGCACGGCGTTCCGCATCGTGCCCGTCCGCAACACGGACTTCACGCACATGCGCGACGCCTTCGTGCGCGGCGTCACCGCCCGCGCCCAGAAGTACAACCCCTGGCGCGGCGAGTTCGCGGACGAGGCGTTCGGCGCCGCCGTCAAGACGTTCAAGGCCCTGTTCGGCGGCGGGGCCAACAAGAATGTCCCCAAGGGGCATACGGTGCTGCTCGTCCGGAACTCGCGGGGCCAGCTGGATGCCCTGTATCAGACGGATGTGGCCGACAAGCCTACGCGGTATATGGGCCGCGTGGCCGACGAGCGCGTCAGTCGGCTCGTGTGGTTGAATTACCTGGCTGGGAAGAATGTGTCGAGCGAGCCGGCTCGCGAGAGTGTCGTCGAGGGCATCATGGCGGTGGTGGAGCGGCCGGTGGGCACGGTGGTGCAGAAGGTTTTGTAGATTCGTCGGCTTGTAGATTTATTTACCTCCTACTCTTACTGTGCACTGTGTGTGTGTGTGTACCGTTGGGAATCTAACCCCTCTCTCTTCTCTCTTTGCTACAATTACAAGATTTTACATGTATGTACATGTACATGTATCTCTACAACCATACCCGAACTACAGACAAATCCAAAAACACCAAGCATCGAACGGAAACCAAGTATATTCAACCTGATTCTATCTCCCCTACATTATCCACCCTATCACCCCCTGGGTGAAATCTAAGCCTTCAAAGCCCCGGCAGCAGTCAGCAACTGCTTCAGCTGCGCGCGGTCCTTGCCCTGCAGATCCGAGTTGCCCCCGATGTGCTTCTGGCTGATGAAGATGTTGGGCACGGTCTTCTGCGAGGAGATCTCGTACAGAGCATCCTGGATGGCTTGGCCGTCGGCTACCCCACGAAACAATATTAGCACATAGTCCCCCAGCGACAGACAACAAGGCCGAAAGAAAGAGAAAGAGGGAAGGGCAACGTACAGATCTGATCCAACTCCAGGACCTTGTACTCGGCGCCCAGCTCGTTGAGGAGGCGCTTGCTGGCGACGCAGTAGGGGCAGTAGGATTTGGAGAAGACGACTGTTTTTGTTCATTAGTCGGTGTTTGGTTACACATGCCTTGGGATGGTAGGGGGGGATGAAGGGTCCAGGCTAGACTGGGACAGGAAAGGAAAACTCACCGACGCCATTCTCGTTGATCAGGTTCTGAGCCTTAGTCTTTGCGGAGGCCATGGTGGCGGGGGAGGGGCCGGCGAAGGAGCCGAAAAGACGAGTGAAGATGGAAGCTATGGTGGGCGAGTTTGGGAAGGAGATTCGACCGGCGCGCGAGACGGGTCGAAGGTGTGGGTTTGTTGTTTGGTTGAAAAGAAGGAAGAAGAGGGGGACGGAAGGGGTGAGGGGTAGCGACGGGATTATATGGACGGTAAGTAGTTGATCGGTGTTTGGAGGACGGGGATAATAGAGAGAGATGTTGGCGGGATGGCGCAAGTCTCGGAGTCAAACCCGCGGGGATTATGTAAGTAAGCTCCCGGCTGTTAACTAACTTATGGCATCATCGCTCCGAGCGTCGAAAGGTTCTGGAAGGAACCGCTTGACAAAGCATCCACGTTTTGTTGGGTGACAAATAGTCCGGATAGTAAATCTACTGTTATCTTCTGTAGGGTCACCAAACTTCAACTTGCTTACTGTAGCATGGTAATCTTCTAAGTTATCCTTTGTCTCCGTGCTGCACTGTAACTACAGCCTGTCTCGGGCATTTCTACTGCTTCTCACTGGCTGGACACTTACACTACAGCAACCACATCACCCGACCTCGGTCATATTCTCACAACGTCCATTCTCTATAACTTGCTGATTCAGATTCAAGCAAACACACTCACGACGCAAAATAAATAGCCCGCTCGGCCGACACACAAAAGGAGAGAAAAGAAAATGGTGTGTGAATTGTCATAATGACCGCTCCAATGCTGATGCTTCGCCAAAGTAAGGGAATTCCAAGGAATGACCAATGCTCAAAGACAGTAAGAGTGAGGGAATCAAACAGATCGATGGCCGCAATATGAATTGATCGTCTTCTGAAGACACAAAAGTTTGGACAAATAGAAAAAAAAATGGACAAGAATTAAAATCCTAGAGATTTGAACACCACACCCAACCTGCACGCTGAATAAACAGAATAAGAGAAATTGAGAAGCATGATGCAGGGGAAGATTAGGTAAATGCTGCTGAGAAGTAGCTTAGGCTGAGAGGGTTGATATGGCAGGATTAAATCACATTACGATGCAGCATCCGCAGCCCTTCTCCTTCGGGGGTGGCTCTTGCGCCGTCACCACCGGCGGGCTCCATTTGGGTGTCAGTGGTGCTGGCATTGGTTCCTGCACGCGGGGCATAGTGCTATACCCACTGCCTGTGACGGGCCGCGCGTCGGCTTCACCTTCCTTGGACGGGAGCTGCTCCTCGGGTTTTTGCTGTGGTGCAGGCTGCGCTTCTTCCTTTGTCTTCTTCTCCTCCTCCATTTGGGGCTTCTCCGACTCCGGGGCCTCATTCTTCGGTCTCTCCACTTTGAATGGTCCATCCGGTCCGATTGCAAGTGGAGCAAAGTCGCGGTCGTACATCGTGGGTGTCTTGCCTTCCTTGGCCCACTGCTCCTGCTGCATGCGCCGCGCGTGCGTGGGGAGAATCTGCTGGTCGGGAGGAAGACGCGGATCCGGTTTGTACATGGTAGCCAGCCATGGAGGATCCCCTTCCGGCCGATTGATGGGATTGGGAGGGCCCCGGCCATCTGCTCTGGCTCCAGGCCGCTGAGTGCTGGACGGGAGACGAGCTCGGGGAGTCGCCTTTCTGGTCGCGGGAGGAGCGGAGGTCTTGCGGCTGGTAGGTCCTGCCTTTGCTGGTGTTTTCTTGGCCGCCGTAGTCTGCGATGGGAACCCACGGCTACCAGGTCTGCTGCCATTGGAAGGCAGGCCGTTTGCCGCCTCCACCGTCAGTGGCTCACTAGCTCGACGCGGCATCCCGAACGACAGCGCCTCATCTTCACCATTGGTGAGGGCTCGGGTGCGCTGCTTGGGGAACTCTCGTCCAGCGTGTTCAGGCGAGATGGGGACCGGGCTGGCGGTTGGAATTGGGATCCGAGAAGAGCTCTTTCGCAGGCCAGGGTTATGGTAGAAGCTCGACGCTGCCTTCTCTTTCGTCTTGTCTGCAGCAATCTCGTCCGCCCGTCGAAGGTCCCAATCCTTTTGATCGCCTTGTGTAATATCATGAAGGTCATCGGCGTCGGAGAAAGGCTTGGAGTCGTAGGAGTCCCGCGGTGACCCATCATGTAGACTGGGCCACGGTTCCGTCTGCTCGTTCGGCGAGTGTGGGGAGAAGGAGCGTCCGTTGACCCCATGAGACTCATGAGGCCTTCCACGGCCACTCTGGATCCCGTCTGCGGCAGCCCGTCGCTGAAATAACTGCTGTAACTCTTCGCTTTCGATCTTGGCCAATTTATCTCGGTGGATCCATTTCTCGTTATCCAGCTCTCCGAGGTACACTCCGATACCCTCGCCTGTTTTTATTGTCCCATCCTGACGTGGAATCTCGGTTGAGGCGTTCGCCTTACTAGTGCTGCGGTCTACAGGTTCGTGTCTATAGTGATGCTGCGAGTTGAATTCTTCACTCTCCCGTCGACTATGGCTAGCGTCTCGGCGACCGCGCGGATTGAACTGATCGTGAGCCTGGACGTGTCGTGACAAGGAGGAGCCGCGAGAGCCTTGGGGTCGATGCCCTCGGGAGCGCGAATCATGGGACGAGCGCGACTTGGAGCGATGATTAGTGCTCTAGCACAATCCAGGGTCAGTTCGTCTCATTCCTACGACCCTCTTGGATCGGAGTATACTGTACAGTGGCTGCAAACTACCGCAGCGTGGCCACTGACTTCTAGGACACACTTACATCATGTCGGATTGGAACCGAAAATTCCCATTGACTCCCGTCTACACTGGGTGACGTCCATGCATCTGTCGAGTATGTCGCGGTAGCCGTTCCCGCCATTCCAGCAGCAGTAAATATGGATCAGACAAGTCCAGACCAGCTGGAACCCGGTGTGCTGTTATGAGGGCGATCGTGACGGGGTCAACGAGCGGCTGGTCACTGGGCAAGGAACAATTTTTCTTCTCTCTTTCTGTTCTTGTCCCCGATCAGGCCATCCCAGAGACACACAGACCAGAATCACCAACCGCTCAGGGCAGTTCTGGTCGAAGTCCCTCCTCGGAGTTGACTGAGTTGAGAAAACAGCAGTCTGTATGATGTGAGGGGTAGGAAGGCTGGGAGAAGATGGGAGCCGGACGGTGAAGTGAATCGGTGGGAAAGGGGGCCGGGAGCACGAGCGAGACGAGCCGAAAAGAGGAAATTGTAAATAAGGAGAAAGTGGAGAATTGAACACCTTGAAATCGCTGCGCAACCGTCTATGTGGTTCCCCGGGAGGTGGGTTGAGCACTTGTTAGCCAGGGACCGGCGGAATCGGTACCGTGGATGTGTCGGTTCGGCTCAGGGAACGTCAAAAGGCGGATGGCGGATGGCAGACGGCTAGGACAAGTCGAGAGCAGCTGTCAGATGAAGACTAAAGTAGTCGAGTATAAGGTGGAGGAAGTGAGAATGGATTAGATGCCCAGGTAGGGAGGGGCAGAGGTAAAAGACAAAATAAAGTATATTAAGCAGTGGGTGGAGGAGGAGGGGGAGGCAAGGAAAAAAAATGCCAGGGAAAGGAGTGATGCAAAGGTGTGTGTGGCTGGACCGTGGCGTCAGGACAGCATCCGAGACACTGTTGAGCGGAGAACACGGGGTGAGTATGAGGAGGAAGGATTTCAAAGGAAGAAGAGGAGAAGAGTGTCAAGTCAACTGTCCTAGGGCCCGGTGGTTGCAACAACAGGAAGAAGAAGAAGAAGAAGAAGAAGAAGAAGAAGACGAAAGGCAAATGTGAGGTGAAGAGCCGAGAAAGACGGGGTAAAGTAAAGGAGGGAGAAGAGGAGAAAGAAGAGGAGAGGAGGAGAAAGTCGAGGCGAGACTAGACTAGGAGGAGGAAGAGGGAGGGAGGAGAAGATCAGGTTAGGACAAGCCGCTAGACTACTTGAGAAGCATGAGAAGAAAGACAGCCCGGGACTAGGCAATTAATTAGGGACCACTCCGTATTTTCTACCTTAATCTCTTTCTTATCCTCCCCCTCCTCGTGAAGGAGAGAGGGAGACACAGCCTAGAACCAGTTGCTGGGTGGGCTGCGCCAATCAATCTGTGTCTCTCGGCAATGATGAATTAGATATGAATGTATCCACTGATGATAGAATAGACTCTGCCACCAAAAATTTGGGGAAAAAAAAAGGCTTCACTACCAATAAACTACCTAGCCCTCCCCCCGGACGGGTCCTAATCTCAACCCAACAAACCAAGAGTCCTTTCAACTCATCTGGGCTGTCTGCCATGCCGACAGTCGATCAGTCCGATTTGACATTTCCGACCACCCACCAGTCAGGCTGGAATGTCCCCAACGGTCTGGTCGGCCCGCGATGGGGAAAGGGACAAAGCACAAGCTGACAAGCTCGCATAGCACGTATCGCCACATTGTGATAGATCGTTAGGCCCCAAGAGGAAAGGGAAGAGTGGGAATCTCAAGGCCGTGACAGCGAAGAGATCTAAGTTCCATTTCGGTATAGTTCGATCTCAGCATAGAGTTCTGCTAGTC